ATTTATGGCAACATTACAAGAAATTTATGTTTAGTCTCTATTGTAAAAGCTATATGATTCTCATTGGTGTTTGCGGTTTCAACAAATCCCGGATAGTATAGTGGCTAGTACCTCCGCCTGTCAATCAGGCAGTCCGCGGAAGACCGGGGTTCGATTCCCCGTCCGGGAGTTCACTTAGGACAGTGTGAATTTTTTCTCTCTTGTTCGCTTTTGCTTACGTATGTATTTCAAGTCACAATCCCGACGTGTGGACTGGATATTTTTAGATGATCCTCAAAACCAGCCACGCAATGGGCCAAATACACAAACAGTCATCCGATAGGTGAAAGAGTTGATACTCTCCCTCCAACAACACACATTCTACTTTCCATTTGGCCACTTTACCAACATGGCAACCATCAACCCTTTTACAGTCGACGACGAGCGCGAGAACCCATTTGAAGCACCCGAAGAGCGTCCATCCGCCAACAATCCCTGGCAAACCGCTCCCTCTTCCTCGCACTCGCGCCAAGCCTCATCAAATCCGTATGCAGGAAAATCGATACGAGAATTGGACCTCGAAAAGCGAGAAGCAGAAGTCCGACTCAAGGAAGCTCAAATCGCCGAACGGGAAAAGCAGCTCAATGCCTTTCAAATTCCGAATTGGCCAAAATTCCGGCCAATGATTTATCATGATATTGAAAAAGACATACCAGAAGGTGGACGATGGCTTGTTAGGAGGGTTTACTGGGCGTGGTATCGTGAGTATCAATTGTGAATGGCGAGCGAAACGGAGTGTTTCTAACACGTTTTTTTTTGTGATTGTTGCGTTTAGTGGCCGTGCTAGTCTATTTTGTAAATGCCATTGCAGCCTTTTCGCTCCTAGTCACCAAAGGCGAGGCGGGTGGAGCGACATTTGGGTTGGCGTTGATCATCTTTCTTATTGGGACACCGGTTTCCTTTGTATTTTGGTACCGCCCTCTCTACAATGGGGTCAAGCAAGATTCGAGTATTAGCTTCTTTTTCTTTTACTTTAACTATGGGTTTCACTTGGCGGTTGCGGCTTTATTTGCTGTTGGGATACCTGGCTGGGGCGGCTGGTAAGTTTATGAGTTTGACTTTTACATTATCAAAATAGCGACTCATGGCTTTTCCTTGTTAAGCGGTGTCATTCTCGCACTTTCTCAACTGGGCAAGAATGTGCCATCCGGTGTCCTGTGTGCAATATCAGCTGGTCTCTTCATCTTTGAGTGTGTGTATGGGTTATGGCAGATCAAAAATGCAACCGTTTATTTCCGAAGCAAAGGCATGAGTGCCCAGCAGGCCCGGAATCAGGCTGTTGCTGGGTTTGCTGGTAGCAAAGTTGGGCAGGAGTTGGCGGGACATGCGGTAAAGACTGCCGTTGCCGACATGCGAAGGTAATTTTTAGATAGGTAGGCATATAATTGTCTGTAAGGATTTTTTCTAAAAAAGATTCTAATGTGGAATGATATATTTGATAAATATGTCTCTCTAAGAGGTAGTAAAAGTGTACATGCAGGAAAATTATGGAATCTAAAATGCTAAACAAGTATCGCACATATGTACAGAGAATGCTAATTCACCGCGAACTAAATGTTTTTCGCCGGGACTCTTCTCCTTCTCTGCGCGCTCTCACTAATGGCCATATCTACAGTCTTGAGGATACGAGATTGACTGTCGTTGGGCGACTGTGGTGATGTTGGCCGTTGTGTTTGTTGGATGGACGACGTTGCGATTTGGAGAGATCGAAGGCAGGTGGGAGTAAGCACGTTCATCATGGTTTCTTTATAATGCACGGGGGCGGTTATCGTGAGAGGTCTTGTTCTAAGAGTGCTTTAACAAACGACGACGAGAACGACGACGACGACGACGACGACGACGACTTTAAGCTGTGTGAGTGTGTGTGTGGGAAAGTTGTGGGAGGAAAAAGGAGGACGAGGAGAATAAATAGGAAATCGCATGACTAATCCACATGTTCTTTTTCCAAGCGAGTCATGGAAATCCAAAATACGCGTTCAAAAAACAGGAAAAGGGGCAACTGTAAATTCTTTTAACGATACAAACAAAAGGGAGACAACGGTCCGTTTCAGAATTTAGGCGGTCAACTTATTTTTAGATACGGGTTCTTGGGGTTCTATTTTTATCCAGTTTCTTTTGGCGCTTGATAATCAGGGGAATTTCATTGGGCCGAGGATGAAAATTGCATGTTCGGACATTTTCGGACGGATGAACTTGCAAAGAAATTTAAGACTTGCCGAGTTTTTATCTTTGGGTTGATTGGAGGCCCGTGCCAGTGAGCTTTGTTCGGGGCGTATTTTCATCCTGGTCGAGCGGTTTTCACAGTGTATTTTCCTTTTCGTCCTTTGTTGCGAGATTCAAGAGCAATTTTCGGCCTTTGTTTAGATTGCATTTTTCGTATTTTCGTTTGTTTGCGGGAATATTGTTGGAATTCTGCCAATATTATATTCTCAGATCTCTTTACAATCATTTTACCCGCAAAGTCAATTATCCGATACCCTCCTTGTCGAGATCCATTGGCACCTTCGCAATCACGTAATGCAGAACACGTGCCTAGATCTTACGGCTCCGAGGCCGCGCACACTGTTTGGACTGTCTTGTCCATCATGTCGCTCCTCCTCAAAACATCACAAAGACGAACACACGCTCAGCAAATAATAGAGTTTCTGAAAAGAGGCGAAGGAAAATGTGCTGTACTAACAGGTGTGCATGGCAGGTCAGTGTGTACAAGTATAAAATCTCATGTATAGCAAGGAAGGAGCCGGAGTCTCCACCGATAGCGGTGTACCAGATTACCGTGGACCAAGCGGCGTATACGTTCGTAACAAGGACTACAAACCCATTCGATATCAAGAGTTTGTTTCTTCCCATTCCATACGACAGCGGTACTGGGCACGATCCTATCTTGGATACCCGCGAATTCTCCAGGCGCGTCCGAATAGGACACACTTTGCGATACACGAGTTGGAGAAGAGGAGTTGGGTCAATGGCATCGTAACGCAGAATGTAGATGGCTTACATCTGGGGAATAATGTTTTGGAACTGCATGGAAGCTTGGTACAGATTCTCTGTCTTGTGGTCCCGAGTTTTACTCTTGCTGACACTGTTCACCTAGCACAAGGTACATTGTTTATCATGTCACCACACCATTCCCCGCGCGGAATTTCAGAGGAAATTGTCACTGCTCAACCCAATATTGGCAGAGTGGGCAATATTAAACCCGGATCGTGAAGCAGGTGACGTGGCGAGCAGTGTAAATCCGGATGGTGATTTAGAAATCACCTGGGATTACTCCGACTTTGTCTACCCGGCATGCGATGCCTGTGGCGTGGGCATGTATAAACCTAGGTAGCAACCTCTGCCGTATCGCATTCCCCCATCATCCGTTATACACTAAACACCGTCCCCAGCGTCGTCTTCTTTGGCGAAAACATTCCGTCAACGGTTCGCGATGAATCCTTTTCTCTCATCGACACCTCAAATTCTGTGCTGGCCGTTGGTACGTCATTGCAAGTCTACAGCGCGTTTCGTCTTATACAGCGCGCAAAGGCGCAGGGAAAACGAGTGGCTGTTTTATCTTTGGGACCTACAAGGGCGGATGGTGTCGTGGACGTCAAAGTGGATGATGGATCTTCAGATGTTTTAGAAGATGTTGTGGAGGGACTGGCATAAAGTGATAGGTTCAAGTGGGTGCCTTTCCTGCCAATTTGACGGAACGCACGTATCTCTGATGGTCAGCATCGGATTCTGCTGCTCGGCTGCTCATCCTCGGTCCAATCTCGGAAGAAACTGGGCGAAAAGAAGGGAACGTATCTTGTATGTGGCCGTGATAGGCCGACCCTGGGGAAACTAGGCCCCGTTAGATTTCGTTTGATGTCGAAATGCTTGAAGGTGTTGATAGCAGGTTATGGCTGTATTGGCTTCATAGGGACAATATATTTATAGGACAACTCTGAGAATCTGCGGCTAGCAAAGTGTGGCCGGTCTTATGACTGAATGAAATGGTATCAACAAACACACGGCCGGGATATTCTTCGTACAGTGTCCTCTGCCTCTTAGCATCGAGAATCTAATTTATGGTCCTTACTTTTGCTTCAAAATCCGTAAACCCGCCCACAAACTCAATCGCTTGCCCGTCACACCCCTTCCACACAAACGGTGAGGTAAAATGATTTTGCGCACCAGGGATCGTCTATCCTCCCAAGAAAAAAAACCATGATACAACCACATAGGATATGTAAACCAATATAGTCGTTATTCATACCTTTCGCAAAACTTGCTTGCGGTCATTCCATTCTTGACGCGTCCAAGAAGTGATTTTGGTATCAATGGATGGTCCACTCGTGCGTTCTGCCAGTCGTCCTCCAAGGCGTTTGGCAGATTGAAAATAGGGGCAGGTTTCAAAGCCCTCCTGTTGTGTATGTTGTTAGCGGAATAGCATGGTCGCGACATGTAGTTTATGAGTGAGCACATACAATGGTGTAGCAGATCTTTTCAATGTTTTCTGAGAGCGGTGACGGGTTGTTTGATGACGGTGAAATGAAAATGTGATAGGCCAGATAGACGGTAGTCGCCGCAACAATTGCATATAGTAGCCTCACGAGTTTGGCCATTGTGATCTGAAAGTACCGCAGTTTCCCATTTGCTTCAGATCTTTTGACAAGTGCATGAAGCTTATCACGTAAGCTCACATGCTAATGGCGCAGTCATGATCGACTGGAATTCCTCACCAGCAACTCTCCAGATCATTGCCAAACCAACCAAACACAATGGACGAAGATCTCCTGCAAGACCTTGAGGAACTCGGAGGAGATGAAGACTTGGAAGACTTGGACGATGATATAAAAGATGAAGATGAGGATGATGGAGATATTGCTATTGATGAGCATGCAAATCTCTTGGCGGCTGTGGATGGGGACGATCTCCACTCAATTGCCCGATTGACAAGCTCTAAACCGTTCAAGGACGTTATGCAGGTTGGTGTCTTGTTTAATTATGTCGTACTGGCTTTTGGTGGGGGGCTAAGTAAGGGATATTCAACAGAAAATAGACCAGTTCCGAGATGTGCCTCGCCATCCTGCTCAAAACACCGGACCCGTGGAAGAAGATCCAGAGTACAAACTTATTGTACAGTCAAATAACTTGACGGTGGAGATTGACAATGAAATTTTGGTTGTGCATAAGGTTGGTTACTTGTAGTTTGTACTTTTGACAGCCTCTTGCTGATATTGGGTTTGATTACAGTTTATACGCGATCACTATGCACCAAAGTTTCCAGAGTTGGAATCACTGATTCCAAATCCGATTGACTATGCGAGGACCGTCAAATTGATTGGAAATGAGATGGTATGTCGCTGACCTGTCTTTAGCAGACCTTAGTGTTTTCGGTGGTCCTTATGCTTTGTCTGTCTAGGACTTGACAAAAGTCGATCTGAAATCGTTTTTACCCTCGGCTACTATCATGGTTCTCACTGTGACAGCAACTACAACGAATGGACAGCCACTCAGTGACGAGGCGGCAGCCAAAGTATTGGAAGCCTGCGACATGTTACTAGACTTGGACCTCTCCAAACGAAGGGTAGGTAAACACGCCAATGATGAAAAGGTTAGAACAGTGATTCACAGCATACCTATCCATAGATTCTAGAATACGTCGAATCGCGAATGGCTTTCATTGCACCCAATCTCTCAGCTCTGGTCGGAAGTAACGTTGCAGCAAAACTGATGGGTCTGTCGGGGGGTGTAACAGGTCTCAGCAAAATTCCGGCATGCAATGTCCTCGTCTTGGGCAAAATAAATAAAATGAACACGGGATTGTCCTCGGTAACACAACAAAAGCATCAAGGGCTGATTTATCTGACGGATATGATTATCAGTGTTCCGCAAGAGTGGAAGAGGAAGGCGGCAAGGACGTTGGCGGCAAAGTATGAGCCAATCCATTGGCCTGTTTTTTATGAACCATATCTGACTGCGTAAAACCTATAGAGTGTCATTAGCGGCTCGGGTTGATCAAGCCCGAACCTCATCGGACGGTGCGGTCGGTCGTAAATTCCGAGAAGAAGTCCAGAAACACATTGACAGGATTCAGGCACCGCCACCAGGAAAATCCATCAGAGCATTGCCCATCCCTGATGAAGGACCCAAGAAGAAGCGAGCTGGTAAACGGTATGCTTCGCGGATCTAGCGTTTACTCCCTGCGCGTCTGTAAAGGTCTCACATATACAAATGGCAGTGTCCGACGAGCCAAAGAACGATTGGCTCAAACAGCACTTTCCAAGGCCCAAAACCGCATGGCATTTGGGGTTGCAGAAGACGAGGTCGGATTCCAGAATGGTAGCACCAAAGGACTTGGACTCATTGGGGGCCAAACGGGAAAGATCCGTGCAGCACAGGCCGATCCTCGTTTGAAATGTAAGCTCATCTGTTGTGCTATTCTCGATTTTTCGTTTACAAATATGTATTAATGTGCGTCTTTATCATTAGTGGGACTAGCCAAGAAACATCGTGTCCAATTCGGCGGTTCTTCAGGCGCAACGTCTGGATTATCTTCCTCTGTCGCTTTCACGCCTGTCAAGGGTATTGAATTGGAGAACCCCGAAGCGGCAGCACAACGAGTCAAGGAGGCTAATGATCGATACTTTAGTTCGGCAGCCTTTGCCAAATTACCTAAAAAGGAGGGATCGTAATGGGAGGAGATATCTAAGCGTTGTATTTTCTTGTATTTTTTTTTTTTAGATGCAAACAGGTGTTTCTTTTGGAAAAAGGCCACGCTAGTCACAAAGTCCAACCCTGCTCACGGTATTTACCATGGTTAAGGCAAATGTAGATCTCCCCGATTCACAAGAGTCAAAAGGAAATGTACCATGGGATCATGATCTGCGACTTTGCACTTGAGTGACGGGCTTTCCGATACGAATAACCGAAAGATGCATTCCCTAATTCCTGCTCAACACTTTTGACGCTCAGCCTGAGGGCCAAATAGGATGCTGAGCTATTTGATGCAGCTGTAACCTCTCCATAAAACAGTTCCAGTACATATTGCTTCAGTTAAGCCAAACCATAGTATAGTTATTAGTCAATAAACACGGAGGGCAAACATGGCTAAAGACCACAACTAAACCTTTGATTACAATTTAACCTGTTGGGATAACGTGGCGCAAGGAAATGAAGTCTCTCTGGTGAGTTTATTGCAAGTTGCCAATATGCCAAGAAGGGGAGGGAGATGGTCCGGAGGGCTTTGAACGTCGACAACCAAATAGTTTACACGTTTAAGATAAAAGAAGGGAGGGAGTGATCTATAGGGGGTTAACTTGGATAAGTTATCAAATGTCAAGAAGCATCAACGGCCGTTTGGAGTAAATGTACAGTCTTTTGGACGAAGGGAACAGTAAAAGAAGATTGCCCTCATTGAAGGAGTAGCCAACTTATTATGATTTGACTTTCAACTCGCTAAATTTGGTTTCCACTTTTGTTTTTCTTGTGGAGGCATTGTCCATTGAAAGCGGTTTCTTTGTAGGAATGTTTTTTTTTACAGTTCACAAAGGAGGTTCAGCACATTGTAAAGAATTCTAACGATAATTTGACACAATTGGCAGCCAATGCGCAGGCTCAAGATCGTCATGCATTTGGGGCAACACTTGATCATTGTTGCAAAGTGCCCAGGAAGGACGGCTGGGGAGAAGGGGGTTCTGCAACTAGTCATGTGACTTTTGTGATTCAGCCAAAGGAACACCTCACAGTGTTAGAGTGTTCCGTTTTTTTTTTTTTTTTCTAATGGTACCGGCAGGCAGTAAAATGGTGGACAAGACTGCAGCTGACAATGCAGCACTGGTGGATTGATGAAGCGCCTCACTTTCTGCCATATTTTTTTTATTGAGCCACGTTCAGCACAGGCGGTGAGTGCCGTCAGTGGAACACCGGACTTTAACACTTCTCAAAAGGCTCTTTCTTGTTTCCCCTCCATCCCTCCAAAGCCCTAAAAGTACTTGCAAGCCAGACAAACATCAAAGTTGAAACTTGCTTGTCTCTTTTGCCAAATTAACAAAACTCTCTCCACAAGACAAAAATCTACAGAAATTGATGCAAGTTGCACACAAAAAACGCCCTTTGTGGAGGTTTCCAGCTTGAAATTGCCTTATCCAGGAAATGCTTCTGGCTTTTAGTTTTTTGCTCTCGAGGTTCATCACGAGGGTTCAAAAGGGAAATGCTGTGTAGTAACAAGCAAACAGAACAATTCAACACACAACAAAAAAATAAATATTGCACACTTATTCTTCTTGCTGAAAAAAGTCTTGGCTTGGTTTAAATATCCTCATTATCGAGTTTAATCCCCCAGTTTGCGCTTTCCAGTTGTGTGTGTGTGTGTGTGGGTGTTCTTATTTTTTTTTTTTTTAGTATTTTGTTTTCCTACCCTGAACACTTGAAAACCCGGCTGGTTCGGGTTTGTAGCCCATTCTACTGTGCATACCATCACATCCACACCACAAAGCATGCATATGAAAGGGATATCCATTCTTTTGGGCTTCTTGTGGATTGGCTCGACGACGGCACAACAATGCACGGGAAACGATTACAGCGGGACATGTGGGATTGTTGGCGTGGATTACAAGGTGTTGACACCAGCTGCCGTCATTCCAGCTGCAGAAGCCGAGCTGCAGCAGGCTTTTGAAAAGATGGAGTCCTTGAAGACGTTTGCGCCGACATGTTTTGGGTATTTGAAGCAGGCGTATTGTGCGCTTTTTTTCCCTGGTTGTGTCAATGGTGAGCTTTGGGTTGGTTGTGATGGTGAAAACTTTTGTATTGGGGTCGTTTCTGAACATGGATATTCATTAGGCGTCCCTGCCTTTCCCTGCGAAAATACCTGCAAGTTTGCTGTCCAAGCCTGTGGACCGACTTTTGCCTTATTGCACCTCGAACACCTCTTACCTGATTGCACTGTGATGAATGTGACGGGGACTCGGATGCCACTTCCTACTCAAAACTGTTTGGCGGCGGATGCGGCTGGAGCAAGGTTGGGCGTCAAGGCAGCGCAGCCTACCAGTATGGTGAATGCACAGCCGGCTGAGGTGTATCGGGAGGGTAGCATGAGCACATCAAATCTCTTGCTGCTCGTCTTTTGTACGTTGCCCTTTTGCTTGACACGTTTTTGTAGCAAGGTCGTCAAATCACTTACCGCTTGTTTAAACCCACCAGATGGCCTCTCCATCCTAACCTACACAGACACAATTCTCACCTTTATGCGCATGCGGAGAAGCTACTCGCTCGTGTCCTGGGCTGCGACATGGCTCATGTTTATTTTCACCATTATGGTCGGTCAAATCCTATACCGTGGCGACATTCACCGGGCTTTCAACACGGACTTTTGCCGAATCCAAGCCCTTGTACAAAACTACTTTGTAATGTCTGCGTACATTTGGCCGTTTTTCTTTACATTGGATGTATGGTTTGCGGTTGTGAGACGGAGGTTGAGGGCAACCTCGGAGGGTACGAGATGGAAATGGAACGCTCCGTTTGCCATTCTTTTACCGGCTGTTCCGACGGTTATTCTGGCCATAAAGGCGAACCCGGTTTCAGTGGATCCGCCATTCAATCTTCAACCTGGTTTTGGTCCCCATGTTTGTGAGTATTTGTCAATGTGTTTGTAGTTTTTGGTTACGGGTTAGCTAACTACTTTTGGGTTTTCTTGCTATCAGTGTTTTGCTCGTACTTGTACCCTGTAAACGGATGGGCCATGTCTACGCTGCCGTTTGTCGGGGTGTTTGCTCTCGCTGCCATTCTGATGGGCGTACACGCCGCGTTCCATCTCTGGCAACAACGACAAGCCTTCCGGTCCCTCAGCAAAGGCACCGAACGCTCTGGACACTTGTCCACAGATGCCTTTAGCAGTGATAACCAGAATTCAACATCTTCTGGAATGGGATCTGGCTCACAAGGCCGTGCTGCCCGCATGCAATCTAAAATCTCTGCGGTCCTCTGTGCTCGTGTCTTGGGTGTTACGGTTCTCTACTTTTTCATTTCCATTGCAGCAAACTATCAACAGCTCAATGCTGTCATCCAAAAAGAGTACTCCAAATCCGACCAACAGCCCTCTTTCAGAGATTTCAGTGCGTCGCTTGTGGGACCCATTGGCTGGCTCATTCTCTGCACCTCATCCGCGACATGGTCCCACACTATCCCCGGCAGCATCATCAAATGCTGCAAAAGAAGGATATCGCGTGGACGCATATCCGATGACGATGACGATGAATACACTGTCTCTACTAGCAAGCGATCAAAGTCCAAGTCTCGCAATAAGCATTTCAACCCTGATGACGACCGGATCGAGCTTCGAAGGGGTGACTCCAAATATTCAAATCACACCAGCCTTCATCGATCAGCATCGACAGCATCTCATATTTCTGGTCCGTATAATGTTCACACTACACACCCGATTGGACAAGCCGCGGCACAAACTGCTACAACAGCACGGTTTGGCCCTGTTCCACCCGTTCCGTTGCATCTCCAGCAATCCTGGGCTGCTGAAGACCGAGAAGGGCGAAGGGCTAGAGAAACGGGACCGAGATCTACGCGGGAAGAGTTGGCGGCTACCCGGAAGCAGTCTGGGAAGAATGTGGGCCGCTATGAAAACAATTGGGGGGCACCAGAAGAGTGGTGATAACTGTGATTTTGGCTCCAGTTTTTCAATTTTTTTAGCGTATTATATTAGAGTTCTATGGAATAGATTATATAGAGTTGGGAAACCCGCATGGCTATAGTGCAGGAGACGCAAATTGTCGGAACAAGGGTTACGTGGTCATCTCCGTTGATCGGAAAGCAGAAAAGTAGACAATAATGTTAAACAATATTTACCATTGTCTGCCAAGGAATGTTTCATTACGAGTATGTGACCCGGTATTTCTATGACGTTCATCTATCCACATATAAACCCCCACACATAAAAAAAACTGTACAATATGCCTCCAACTAGGTACAAGAAAGTCTCTACACGAGCGCATCACGACTCGACAAACCCCTTTCCAGCCCTCATCATCGTCTCATATACAAAAATGGCCGCACCGTTCGTGGGGAATGATCGAAGAAAACAGGGAACAAACCCTCTGTAAAATCCTCGAATACCCTCTGTACAATTCAACATCAGTACCTCGTTTATTACACCGACGTAAACGACCAACGAGATACCCAACCTGTCCGGTAAATATGCGCAAAACAACTGCGCAATGTCGGGTATCGAGCGGGCTTTGTATCGGGTTGGGTCATCATGCGTTGTTTCACGACGTCTATCTCAAGAGTCAACCAATCATCCTTATGGGATATACATGGGGTATGGACATACCGGCCGGGAAACTAATGGTCCAAAACGTGTTGGCGGCACAACCACCGGCAAAAAAGGAGAGCATGGAAGGCGGCATGCCCCATGCCGTAAACGTATTTTTATATATCTTGATGAGAGAATGCCATGAGATTCTGTTATTAATGCGGTCAAGGTTAGAGTGTGACGTACCTCATAGGAGCCCCAGAGCGCCCAAAAGAAACTTCGAAACAAGATGCAGGCACTTAGGCCCTTGTATATCCCTGCAATACCATTATTTCGAATCTGGACCAAAAAGGTCAATAGAGCAGCCAGGAAATAAACATTTTGTCAGCAAATACAAACTACCCACCAACTGCCTCGCACAATCTATAGGACCAGCATACACTTTGGTAGCACTATCATACTGAACCTGCAACCGCCCTTTCAAGACCTCCACAGGCGTTGCAACAAAGGAGACAACCACGCCGGCACCTAGACCCGCCAAGGCACATTCGGGAACGGTGAGAGGGGATTGTGGATCACCACCTTGAAGAATCAAACGAAAGTTGTTGAGTGAGCCCATTTGGACAGAATCCATGAGTGCCCAGCCCAAGAGCGGTGGTGTGGCGCCTTTATAAAGAGCTAGAAAGCCTTCCTGTATAATAAAAATGAGGTTTGATGGCAAAGTAACATGTTTGCTCATATCGGAGACGTACTTTACGAATTGTCGACCGAAGACAATCTAGTGGCCCTTTAAACCGCCCAAATCCACCCTCTGTTTGTAATCGAACCTTGAGGGTATCTGAATCATACGAAGGAATAAGAACATGCGGTAATGGACAATGCCTGTACAAACAACCGTACCGAAAGGATGTCCAACCAACAGCTTTGTAGCCCCCGACGCCAGTCCAGCAAAGAATCCGACATATCGTTCGGCGGGTATGCCTGTCTTTTGGGACGGTGTCGCTGCCGGAAGCGGGGCCGGGGACACTGAAGATGATGGAGGCATGTTTTCGGCAATTGGGGCTCCGTTAAAAAGATGATCAACAGGCAGATCAACAGCGATACCAGTATCCACGTGATATTGTGCTGTATAAGTGATTACGTACGCGTTTTTGGATTTGGGCAAACTGGGCATTTGGGAAACAGGAGACAAAGTGTGCTTTTTTCCTCTTTTTTTTTTTTTTTCTTCCTTTTGGCGCTATTGGGGCACTGCCATCGCTCCGCTTCAGCCGCCGTAGCAAGACGGGAGGGAAAACTTCTTACGACGGAGTTTGCTCAGCTGCATGTTGTGGGGGAGCATATGGCATTTTGCGGTTTAAATCGTGCCGAAGGGAGGGGGCTTTTTAACAGGCTCCAAGAAATAGAAAAGGGCATTTCAAGGTCCTTGACGTCTTGATTCCCTTCGTTGAGCAGCCTAAAATCCTTTTTTAAATTTGGGGACTAGGATATTATAACATTTTGCTTCTTTCCTTGCATCTTGTAAACATCATGGCTTTCTTGACAACTTTTCTCCTTGTATGCCTTGTAACGACCGTCTTTACCGGGTTCTTCTCCGCCAATATGGTTCTCATCGATTGGTGGGCATCGAAACTGTATGCAGCAGGATACCTCAAACGGAGAACAAAGTCCATGAGCAAAGACAAAAAAGAAGCAGAGCGACAATCGCCATTGAGGATTTTGGAGAATGCAAAGATATATTGGTTGACTGTAGTTGGCGTGGTGATTTATATTGTCAATAAGACATTGCCTATGTTGGATCAAGTGGATTATTCGTTCAAGGTTGTAGAGACTTGGGCTTCCTTATGCCTCATTTACAGTAGGTGTCCTGATTCATTCTTTTGTCTTTTGAAGAATTTGGTTTATATATAACCTTTATTACAGTTACTTTTGACTTTTTGTACTTTTTTACCCACCGTTTCGTACATGAAGTCCCCGCCCTCTATCAAAGCATCCACAAAAGGCATCACGAAGATGTCCCAGTAGACGCTTACACCACCGGCCACGCCGAACTCTTGGAAAACTTTATCTTTACGTTTCCGGGTGTGCTTTTGTGGGCGGTTTTGTACATGAATATGGTGGATGTACCCAATGCGTGGGCGATTACACTCCCGGTATTGAGTCTTACGAGTGATTTTGCGGTACCGTATTGTTTTATTTTCCTTTTTTTAAAGTTGCCCCACCTTTTATTTCTTGGCTTATTGTATTTTCTTTCTGTTCAGATGGTTCACGTTGGGTACTTTGACCATATTCTCTTAAATATCTTGAACCCCCTATCGTACATTATGCAACTCTCATTGGGAGCCCGTCAAATGTACGCCCGACACGAACTGCATCATGTTACTGTCAAAAAGAATTATGGGCCGGTCCTCCCGTACTGGGATATGATTTTCGGTACACAAAAGGAGGTTGTTGAAGCTGAATGGGGTCTTGACGTTCACAACGAGAAAGGCGGTGAATGATTTTTGTATTTAGTGTATTATCTGTAGTTAAACGAGGGTACATGGGTCAGTCGTTGGGTTTAATGTACTTTTGTTAGCGTTAGTTGGTAGTATTCTCAAGCGTATAGATATCTGTATCCCCCATTTCACATTCCAATAAAATCACAATCACCACCGTAATGCAGCAAGACAAAAAAAGAGAATCAACAAATCTTGCAAAAAAAAACCAATATACGAATTGTATGTAACTGTTAAGAATTTCTTTGTAAATAGCTCTGGGAACATTGGTACTGGTTACCTACAAAAGATTTTCGAACAAAGGTACGTTGAGGATTTCCAAGGGCATTGTGGTGTGAATGTGGATCCGTTCGGAAGTTTGGATTTTGGTGAAGTTTTCTGTTCTAAACTTTCCTAGTAGTTTTGTAAACTCTCAGGTTCTGAATGTTCAACAGCTAAATCCGGATATTGAAGAACTGTTGTGTCGAAAACTGTCTGCAACCCATCGCTGTAGAACATGATGTGCACCTATACTGGTGATATGCTGGCTCCATTCAAAAAGACATGAATGGAAATGGACTTTAGATGCCAGTTGGACTAGATCATAAAAGCGTCAGTCCAAACCTTGCAAGGTATAAACAAATGAAATAGGTCAAAAGGCCATTTGAAAGTTTATACCTCCCACAGAAAGCAGAAAGGAATACACAACAAAAAATACACAAAATCCATCCTCTAAGTAGTTTATAAAATGTATACATATAAAAAACTCCACCGCTCGCACGCACAAAATCCTTGTACAAATATTTCTATCGCTCATCCCATCATATGCACATTGTGGCAAAATGTTGACAAAAAGAAAACCAAAGAACATACCCATACAACACAACTGTTGCTTGTCCATTCGTTTTCCAAAAAGCCGTAAGACTACGTCATCCAACCCAACCCCCATCTACGTTGCAAAACAATACACCTCCATCCGACCACTGCCCCCCTCACTCCCCCATTCCATTCCTGAAACTGCAAATGCAACTTCCAAATCCTCTTGATCGGTAATCATGACCATTTCCCCGTCCTCGTCCTTGTACTTTAGCCGGAGAGCCCCGGTTTTGAACTTTTGTTGGATGCGTTCGATGAGTTCGGTGTGGGAGATGGTGTATGGGACCAGGAGAATTCGGGTGTCGGTATAATGTGCTTTCACTTTCACCTGTCACAAGGGGGTATTAGTTGATGATTGATGTGCTAAATTTCCAATGATATCCACAGTTGTCGCTATCCCCAGTAGGCTGTTACGAGTGCATTGGCGATAGCCTTCTGCAATCCGCAACCTCCTTTAATCCTTGCTTTCCAGCTGGTCTAGTATCTCTCGCACGATCACCCGCTGCATTTCTCCCACTGTTCTTGCCACCACTCGTTGACTCATCTTACCTTATCAGCGACGCTCGAGGTCGAGGAGAAAGCACTACTAACGGTACTCGCCGTATTGGCCCGCCGCAGCTCATTTCGTTGCACGGCTGGACGATTATACCGCTCATAATCATCGTCATTTCCGGCCAACTCATCGACAAGTTCATCAATAGGGTTAAATTCCGAAACTGGTGCGCGGGATCTGGAGGTTGTAGAGTAATCGTAATTTTCGTTGCGGTTCCGGGGAAGGGTGTTTGAGGCGAGGGAGGATGAACGGGCACGGACGCGGGAGGTCGTGTTTGACCGGCTAAGGGGTTCAGAACGGTTGAAGGTATCCGAGCGGCCCAGGCTGTCGGGGGCTGGGCGGCGGGGCATGGTGAAGGGAGACATTGCGCGGGTAGGTGAGTTTGTTGTGGCGGAGCGAACCGGTAGGCCACGGGTAGTAGCGCCGGAAATAGTGGCTGATTTGGCGAGGCCGCCACTAGCACCATTGGAGCGAGGCTCGAGCATGCGGCCCGTGGTTGCGGCTCGAGGTAGTGTCTTCATTTTAAGTTCACGGCCCGAGAATCCAGCGTAATTGTCAGTTGCCTCCACACTGGCAACGACTTTGGCTTTTCCGATATAATCTTTCTTGTCAGAGTTCTTGACTTTGCCCTTTGGAGGTCTGTAAATGAGGTCTGGCGGGAGGGCATAGGGGCCGAGGTATTCTGGAGCCCTCTCACCCATTTTGAGGGCTTCGTCCATATTTCCGAGGTCTTCTTGGGAATCTGATGGGGAGGGCCGGGAGCGGACAGCGTCGTCAAAATCTCTGTAGGCTTCGTTGGCTTGACCCATTGCTGCGAGACAGAGACCCCGATTGAAGGAGACTTTGGCCGAGTAGAGTTTGTAAGGGAGTCCGAGTTGGGCATAGTCTATAAACTGGTTTCCTCGAAGGTACTAGAGAGCGGGACGAATACAATGAGTAACAGTCCACGTAATGTGAAACCCAAGATTCCGGCTCGCCATCTTTTGGCAGCCAGAAACCCGCATTAACCCTAACTCTATCTGTAACCCCCAAAACCTGAACCTTCAAATTAGTCATCCACAACACTCACCGTCAGGGCGTCGTTAAAGTCGGCAAGACTGTCGTTGAGAGCATTTGAATTGTAAAGACAGACTCCGCGCATAAAGTAAGCGACTGCCAAAAACGGGTCACAAGCGACCGACCGAGTCAGCGCAGCAATCTGGCAAAATTCCAAATTCATAATGAGCATTCCACTCAATACAACACACATTCTTTTGCAAATTCGCAATACGTACAGCCTCGTCAAGCAGTCCCATATTTACAAACGTCATTGCAATATTAAAGTGAATCTTGCTCGTGTCTGCAATCTGCTCGAAAGCGCGGAGTGCTCCGTCAAAGTCTCCATTCTCGTATGCCTCCACGCCCACCACCCACTGCGTGAGTTCCACCTTGAGAGCCATCAACGGATGGACAAGGACAATGGGAGAACGAGAAGAAAGGTATCCACTGTATATAACAGAAATATATAAAAAAAGGAAAAAAGCCGATGGAAAGGAAATGACCAATTGCCAACTCAACAAATACTAAAATAACCGTGGGAAAAAAATGCCCAGAACCTGCAGTTGGAAAATAAGTTTGGAAGCCGTTTTGGAATGAAACACAAATCATGTGACACGAGAGACGGCTACGGCAAGTGGCAAATGGGAAGAAGGCTCTAGACACGGGGGAGACAGTGTTTCAGATGATGGTTTCACATGTATACACAATGTGTCATTCAGTGTCCGCGGATTTAAGCGCAAGTTTATGGAATATCAACTGCTTTTATTCAACGGAGACTTGCGAGGGGGGACATTGATGGGATTGTTAGTTGCATTGTATGAGAATGATTGTTACTGACTGTTATTTAGTATCGGAATGCACCGAGCATTGAGCGGAGGAATGAAGCAATGTCAAGTAACAAAGTGTGCTTTGTAGGTCTAGGCACATTCTGTTTGAGTTCCAAACGTTGACCACGGACAGAAGCGCATCTAGAAACAACATGACAGGATATCACTCACTTTGCACATGGCACACACACATGAAGGCAATACATGTATCCATTAGCTTTTAGTCAAGCAGCATTCCATTGACCAAGTCTTAATTACTCATATCCAAAATGTACACATTCGCATCCAATATCCCTTGAGCATGTGTATCCCTTGAACATTTCCCTTGAGGATAGGTATCCACGTCCAATCACATGGGAAATTGACCGTTGCATCCCGTAGATGTATATTGGGATAAAGGATCTAAAGGGACAAGAGGAGGGGCATGATCCCAATCGATTCCAAATCCAGATGAACATTGGGTTCGATGAAATTGCTGTTTGTTAGAAAGCATCGTGAAACAAGTTGCAAAAGCGTATCTCAAGTACTTTCCAGCAACGTATCAAAAACAAAAGATTGCTTACACACGAATGCTATTCCCTAGCTCCATCAAGCGAGGATTCCATCACCAACCTTCTGGAACCACACACACACAGCCACTTGAACACGCGCATGATGCTATTGGTCAAAACCCACATCACATGGACCCACATGCCATTTTTCTTCCTATATAAACCCCTCTGATCACATTTCTTTTTCCAATCAACTCATTTCAAAAGGCCCGTTTATTGTGGAGAGTTTGCGAAATATATATGGCATATCTTCTCCCTACCACGGATGGAATAAACCTGAGATTGAATATAAAGCGTCTCCCAGCTGGAAAGGATTCTTTTTTTCAGTGGAATTTTGTTATTTCCTTACCAGGAGACGCACAGCTTTTTATTGCAACCCACTATGTGGACATTGGAATACTCTAAGCCGATGGGTCATTATGAATTTGGATGGAAATGTTGCTGAATGCTTGCATCTGCCCTTTTGCAATAATGGTCATGATCCAAGTCTTTTGAATCCATTCCCATGCATAGTGTGGAGGCGATTGAAAATGGCACTGTGACCCATTATTATCCGGATCAATCCGGTTAATCATATCGCATATTCAGAACCCCCTTCTATCGCTCAGATTGGTGTGGCATGCATGTAATGTTTTTTTTTTTAAACTGCGGTGAGGCGCATGCCAAAGGTCTATAAAAGGGGGGCCTTTTCCCTCTTTCCTCTTTACCCATCCTCGACTCGAAGCATCTGCGCAACGCTCATTGCGACCCACATTGCAACCTCATAGCGACCCACACAACCTCATCGCGACTCGGTCAACCATGAGAACGCCGATGTGGTGGTGTCGAGGACCTCGACCGCCCGACAGCAACCGTGACCAGAACCAGTGGCAACCAATCGGATCTGATAACAAAACCTACTATTATGCTGCCACATTAGTTGAGCTTGGTTGGTATGTATCGATGGCATTTCTTGCATTTCTTGTCATCGGGTCATCTTCTGACATGCAGTTTTTTTCTCTAGTCTCCAAGCCTTGTCACTGAACATCCTCCAGCTTGCGAGTCTCCCCAATGTTGCGAAGACTCTGGCTTCAATGCCATCAAGAGTTCTGGATCAAGGCCTAGTAGGGACCGTGTGTGGTGGTGGGCAGTTATCCGGTTAGAACCAACCGTTACGTATTGCGTGTATAATTGCCTAGTAGTAGCTTAGTTAGCTTTTCCGAACCGGTTGTCGCCGGTTTATTCCCTGGTGTAGTAGCTAGTGCCAGTTTCTGTCACATCTACACTATCGCATTGAACTCGTTTGAATGAACGATACGCAGAAATGAAGGAAACACGTGACACTTCACATGATCCGCCACCACAGCCACATTCGACTTTTCTTTAAATACGGGCGATCAACTTTAGTTTTTGTTTTTACGCGGAATTTGGGATTTGCTCAACCAGAATTGCCAGTGTAGGTCCAATGGGCATTGAATTCCCGCGTAGAGTCGACGAGGGGCCAAAAGTAATCCGCTGTATGTATTTTGGTGGTCAGTGTGATAGTCACGGTCCCGATATTTTACGTTACAAAAGTTTTTTTCGCATTTGGGGCATGATTGTGTTTTTTGATTTGTCGTTGTTGTGAAGATGTGAGGTGGGTTGTGTGGAGTTGTTACTAATGGTGATGAGTTTGAAAGCAACGCAGACAAGTGATGATGCTTTGCGATGTTGCGAATGGACTATGTATTTATCGAAAATGCCAACTTACGCAACCTTTTGGCTTTTCTGGTAATACGTACCGTTCATTATGGGTATTCGTTACGCGGTATGGCCAAGATAAATGCACGCTCCGTGTGCTTTATAACGTATGGTTCATAATGAAGTTGTGTCGCTTAATGATGGGGATTGTTTGCATTTTGAGTGTGCTTCAAATGTTTTCTTGACAGCATGCAGGTGCATGCTGTTGGGCATTAGATTTTGGGGCAGTAAGGCTTTTGGCATTTGGTCAACTCTTGAATATCAAGCAATGGTCTTGTGGGTATTCCTCAACGATCATACATGGACAGACAAGCAGGGACTGATTATTCACCTTTGTGGATTTCTCAAGTATTGCTATGTGTATGTTTATATTCACTACCTATTTGATATATACGTTCTGGTGTCAGGTTCTTTTTTTCTATCCAATATTTTACTCCAACGCTATAAATCAAACACTAGATAAACAAAAGCCGTTATAAACAAACCACCTAGCTCGGACCTCAATAAAAAAAACCGCTTTTTCCAAAAACTCTTCTTTTGAACTCTGACGCTTAGGTCTTGCCCGCACACAACACCTGAATCTTTTCAAAAAGCTCCTCCTTATCATACGGCTTCACAACCCACTCATCCATACCAACCTGCATAGCTCGTTCCAAATACGCTCCTCTGGCATTCCCAGTAACAGCAACAATGGGTACCCTCCCAACAAGGACCCCCTCCTTTTCCCAAGCCCGAATCCGTTCGGCAGCACCTAGTCCATCCAAAATAGGCATTTCGAGATCCATGAGAATGATATCGTATGTGGTTTGCCGGAGCATGTCGAGGGCTTCTTGGCCGTTATTGGCGATATGGGATGTATGGCCTTGACGATCTAGATGGCGTTTTAGGACTTTTTGGTTCACGAGGTTATCTTCTACTATAAGGATTTTGTAAACGTTTTTGCTAGTATCGAGTCGTGGTGGTTTTGTTGTTGTTGTTGTTGTTGATGGTGTACATTGTCGGACGAGAACTGTAAATGTCCATTCTGTATTGGAGGGGTTGGAAAGCACCGTCATGGTCCCACCCATGAGTTCCACGATACGTTTCGAGACGAATAGACTTAGATTTGGGGAATTGTAGTCTGTGTAGGTTTTATGGGTTGTTGGGAGCGTAAGGTGGTTTCGTGTTGGTGTTGTTTCGACGAGTTTGTAGATTAGGTAGAGTGTATTATCGAGGTTGGATGTGTCGATGGTGACGGTAATGTGTTTTGTGTGGGCGGTTTCGAGAGAAACGAGGGCGTTGGAGATTAGGTTCATGAGAACTTGGGAGATACGCATTGGATCTCCCGTAACGTTTTCCAGAGTGTTTTTGATATGAATCTCCCATTGAATGTTTTTGGTTTTCATTTCGTTTACGAGTTCCATGTGGGGGTCGAAACGGGTGTTGGTTAATACGAGGAGGTCAAAACCTAATTTGGAGACGTTGAGAACGTCGTCTGCGATTTTTTTTTGGTGGCGGGCGCAGAGTGTTATTGTTTTTGTTGCTTCGAGGTTGTTTGCTAGTTCGGTTTTTAGCCAAGTGTCCTTTTCGTCGTTTTCATTCTCGTCAGTGTCGTGATGAGAGTGACGAGATGAATCCTCCTCCAATCGCTCCCGTATCCGCTCCAAACTCGCTTGAATCAAATCCGCACTATTATAAATCCCATTCAAAGGATTCCGCCACTCATGACAGGCCATATCAATAAACCTTTCCTGCTGTTTCTTGACATGTTCAGCATCTTCTGCTCGTTTGCGTAATTGTCGTTCAACAAGTTGCATGACTTGATATTTCTCTCGTTCGAGTTTTTTCGTAATGCTTAGATCGGTTATACTGCCTACGGCGCCTAGGACGTCTGTACCATTTTTTTCAATGGTCCATTGAGCGAGGCACCAGCGTTCTGTACCGTCTGGATAGTTTTTTGCCCAGCGGAATTCCATTTTAAAGGGTGTCCCCTTTGCAAGACTTTTATTCCAACTGGCAATGACTTGGTCCTTATCATCGGGATGAATGGACATTAAATGGTGTCGACAGTCGGGATCGAGCGTTTTATCATGTCCAGTGATTTCCCACCATTTGTCGTTGGTGTATGTAACGGTTCCGTCCACGGTGGTACGGAATATACCCACTGGAGCAAGATTGGCGAGGGTTTTGTACCGGGCTTGACTTTCTGCTAATGATTTGGTTTGGATGTCGATACGGTTTTGCAGGGATTTACGGAGGTGGCCTAGTTCGAGGTGGGTTGTGATTCTTGCGACGAGTTCTTTGGCGCTAAAGGGTTTGACGAGGTAGTCGTCTTCATAAACAAAAGAATGTCAACTTTTTCCATCCAAGGGTATTATAAACAAAAAACTCGTTCATTTGTTGTTTTCTTTTTTTTTTTTGACTTACCGGCACCTGCATTCAACCCCTCATAAAGTGCCTCAGCACCCGCTCGAGCACTCACCAAAATAACCGGCAAACATCTCGTCTCATTCCGACTCTTTAGAGCCTTTATCAACTCAAATCCATCCAACCCAGGCATCATCACATCCGATAGAACCAAATCGGGTGGATCGGATAATGCGAGTTGGAGGGCTTGGGTTCCGTCTTTTGCGTGGGTTACGCGCCAGTTTTGGTGTATTAGGAGTGAGGTGATGTAGGACCTTATATCTGCGTTATCGTCTACCAAGAGGATTCTGGGTCGATTTGTTGTGGTTGTGGTTGTGTTGTCGGGTAAAGAGGGCGGAGAAGACTCTTCATCATTCCACGTTTCTAAATCTTGTACAAAAGTCCTCGCAAAACTACTAGGCCCGTCTTGTCGTTTCTCAGATTCGATTTGACTTGGTAAATGCTCCCTCCCGACTGGAATCACGACTTGGAACGTACTCCCCTCCCCAAGGACACTCGAAACCCTAATACTCCCTCCATGGAGTTTAACGAGTTCATTGGCGAGTGCTAACCCGATTCCAGTTCCTTCTCCGCCACGTCCCTTGTGGTTTTGGATTGTGTGGAATCTGTCAAAGAGTTTGGGGAGGTGGTCCGCGGGGATTCCTAGACCTGTGTCGGTTACGGAAAAGTAGATTTGGGTGTCGGTTCGGGTGAGTGTAATGTGGATCTTGCCTTGAAGGGTATACTTGTATGCATTGCTATTTTAGAAAATACAAGTTTTGTTTTGTTTTTGGTTAACTAGAGTCTTTATCGGCGGTAATAAAAAACAAATAAAAAAAAACATACCTCACAAGATTAAACACAATCTTCTCCCACAACTCTGCATCGACCCACACACCCCCAACCTCATCACACTCTACACAAAACTCCAACCCAGCCTTCTCAACAGCAGCCCGAAACACACTCGCCAAATCTCTCGTAAGGCATCCTAAATCCGTTTCACGAAACACACCTTGCATACCACCCGCTTCAACTTTGGATACATCCAATAGGGAATTCACCATTTTTAATAACCGGGTTCCGTTTTTGGTGATTGCTACTAGGTGGGATTTTAGGGGGTCTGGTAAGGGGTTTGAAAGGGCTTGGGCGCTTGTTCCTAGGATTAGGGTCAGTGGTGTTCGGAGCTCGTGGGAGATGGACTGAAAAACTGGGAATGCGTTTTAGAGTTAGAGTAGGTGTCTGTTTGAAATGTATGTTAAAGGAGACTTACAAGTTGTTTTGGCGTGATCGAGTTCTGCTAGTTTTTTGGCACTAGATGGTTGTTTTTTCCATTTCAGGAGTCGTCAACATTTATGCAAAATTAATGTAGATGTGTTGAATACAACGTACCGGGTAACTTGCTCTTCATGAGATCGCGCACTCGTCAACGACGCACCAAGGTGGCGTACAAGCAACTCTACAAACGTCCTATCCAAAAATAAAGAAACAATAAACACCAAGATTCAAATTACCAAAACAAACAATAAACAAACCTATACTCTCCACAAAACCGACTCCGCGCACTCACACCCAACACGACCACCCCTTCACACCGTCCACCACTCCACACAGGGGCAACAACAGCCGTTTTGGGTATATCCCCCCACCCCCGTCTAGGCAACGTTTCCCTAATCTCCCCAATCTCAATCACCATCATCTCAGACTTTTGTAAAGCTTCTTCAAAAGGCCATGGACAGTCTATACCCGGTTGTATTATCTTTGGGGCAGCGATATGGGGGAGGGGTATACCCGCCGTACTAGCGAGTTCGAACCCATTGTTACTGGATTGGTAAAATAGGGCAAAGGGGAGGTCGTAGGGGTTGGAGGATATGATTGTTGCGGCGGTTTCGTAGACGGTTGTTGTGGTTCGGGTGCTGGCCAGGTGGGTTGAGAGTTCGCGGAGGGTTCGGAGACGGCGGCTGGCCAGGCAGCGATCTATAAGTTTTTGAATGTTGAGTAAATATGTAACGTAGGTAAATACGTAAAATGTTTGTTTACCTGTTGTTTCAAAGGCGGGGTTTAACCAACCCCCAATAGACCCATTTTCTTGTCGAATCGGTATAAAAGACCACTAAAATCCCACCCAAAAACCAGAATAAACAAACTAGTGAAAAACAAAAACCCACAAAAACAAAATAAACAAACCGTAAAATACCCCTCCTCTTTAAACCCAAACCTCTCAACAAACAACCTCTGTTCCGTCACAAAATGCGTTTCCCCATTCCATACTTTACCCACAATGGGTTGTACGATATCGTCCCAGAGTTCTGCCCAGAATTCTCGACCAGAGATTCCAAAACCGTGTGGGTGTTTATTTCCAGTGATGGGTACGTATCCGTCATTACTAGAAATTTAAAAACATTTTTGTGAGAAAAGAATGCCCATATGTGAGAGGTAGAAACAAAAGGTGTTTTATAAGAATTTTTCTTTCTATATTGCTTTTTTTATTTTTTTTTTTTACGTACTAGATCAAGGTCATCTCTTTCCCCCACCAAATCGACATTGGAAACGAACTCGAAAGGACGACACTCAACACTGTCAAAAACGAATTTGGCCAGCTCGACATGGGGCCTAATGGTGTTTTACTCCAGTCTTTTGTGTACAGGAGGTGAGATGTTTTGCTTTGCGAGGGGTTTAGGAGGCGGAGGGTTGGGAAGATGGGTTGGGATTTGTGGGCTTCTGGGGTTGGTGGGGGGCTTGTTGGGTGGTGTGTTTGAGTTACGGTGCTTTGGATGCGGTGGGGAGAAGTTTCGACGATTGGTTCTTGTTGATGGTTTCGTAATGGAAGGTTACTTTCTTGATTGTCAACTTGCTCTTCAAGCCGCATAGCCTCGATATTGTCAACAACCCCCATCACATCCTGTCCATCCCTTCCCTTCCGTTCATCACATATCTTGTTCTCATCCTTGACCCACCCCCGCACAACAACAACACCCTCCACATCAACCCCCTCAAAAACCACCTCCCCAACCCCCCAAACCCACAACCCCCGTCTCCCCATCCCACTCCAAAACCACTCTCGAACCCCCTCACGATCGACAAACCCATCGAAAAAACTGTCTTGGAACGTTCCGAGGGATTTGAGAGCTTGATTTGCGTATAGGATTTCGTGCGTTGGTGAGAGGATTAGGTGCGGGGTGCGTAGTGTTGAGAGGTAGGTCGTTAGAGATGGGAAGGGTGTCATGGTTTGGATATGTATTGTTTTGTTTTTTTTTGTAACTTTCAAGGTTGGAGGATCTGCAAAAAGACGCTTATAACATCCCACTCAATAAACAAAAGATACCGATAACCCAAACCTTTTCTATTGATATAAACCTCGTATTTATTTTTCTATTTCCAAGCCTTTAACTTTTCTTTCTTTTTGCTCTTCTTTTTTGTTGCTTCTCCTCCGTTTCCTCCGCTCCCCCCCTCCACGCCCTCCGCAATAAAAACACCTTTTGTATCGAATACAAAGCAGGGCAGCGGGTTTGAACTGGTGTTTATGGTTGCAATCACCAAGTAGTCAAATAAGCCATATCATCAAACCTGGTTGACATATGCATTACAATGTTTATTGCTATGTTTTGGTCGATCGACGACATTTGATGCGATGGTGCAATGCAACAAAAAAAGAAATGCACAGTCACAAAGCATAACACGGATAAACTTGGGCGTATGAGGGTGTATAAGACGGGAGAATGGATTTTATAGTTCCCAGTAGGATGGCTATTGGACATTTGAGATATACAAAAAAGATGGGGGACATCCCCTCGGGTTTTTTACTATTCCCAAAACAAAACTTGCCAATAAACGATACGAGTGTTGTGTGCTGCATGGGTGGGTCTAGATTCCCTTTTCCCTTTTCCTTTTTTTGCTAGGTCAAAGCGACATGGGTGTTCATGTGTGATCGGCTCAGTTTCTGATTGGATTTGACACACAGTTACTTGTATGGCAATTGCTATCGTAACGGGATATTGCCTCATAAACCACGTTTAGGCAATTTCAACACTTGGCAACTTCACACGTGCATAAAAAGGGCCAATTGCACTGTAAAAATAACCGACGGATTTTGTCATTCCCCATTGCACACAATGCACATTGGACATGTTCGTTGCAAAAAGGGGGGAATATATTCGTTCACATATCATGATTCGCAACGACACAAAAGACAACATACTACATGCAAAAACTGACAAACACAAACGATTTAAAAGGCCTTGTGCTCCAACATCATATCATTCTGAGGAGGCAAGCCAACGCAGGCACGGAAAATGTTTTCCATAGCAGCACGCTGCTTGGCTAACGCGTTCACGACCGGAGTGCCGGGGGGAACCATGGGAGCCTTGAGCATGTAGCTGAGGACAGACAAGACGGCATGGAAAGGAGCGTACTCGGTCATGTCGTCCGTCTTGTACTCGATACGCGTCATCAACTCGGTGATGATGGTCAAGTCGAGAATGAGGGGAGACGCAAGAAGCGAGTCCTCACAGACATTGTAGAGGGAAATCGTGTTGCGACCACTGCACACAAAAAAGTAAGCTCCTTTATCCACTAATGCACAAACCAAAAAAAAATACCTACCCCATGAAAATCTCGCTCACGTACTCGTCCAGAGCACGCTTACTGTCACCTACAGAGGGACAGTACTTGATGACCACAATGTGGTCAGGGTGCTCGCCCTTCTTGTACAGGATATGGTTGGCAGCCACCATGTCGTCAACCACATTACTCTTTGAAATCTCCTTGGAACGGAACTGCTGAGGAGCCGACAAGTTCTTTCCGTCATTGTTGCCAAGATGGTTGTAACTGGTAATGGCAATGGGCTTGATACCCGCATTGACCAAAAAGTCCACCATGACCGACTTGACCTTTGTCTGGCCACTCTTGAAATCGTCACCGCCAATGTAGACACGCTCTTGCTCCGCGAGCTGGATGGCACCAGGAACAAAGGTGTTTTGGGGACTGCCGTTCACAAACGGAGTCTTTTCCAGGATACTGGCGACGGCAAAGATTGTCGAAGGAGCCACTTCTTCATGGCCGTTTTTAATGGATGCCAAAAGGTTCTCGGCCGTGTCATTGACGCCAGGGATGATGCTCGAGAAGCGCTCCGTGTTGGCGGTCCAGAGGACAATGACCTTGTCAAGACTGTGCAGAGCCTTAAAGTCGCGAATGTCCTTGCGGATCTGCTCCAAATGGTCTTGCTTGGTACCCTTGAGGACATTGTCCGCACGGTCGCTCTGGTTGGCGGCAATATAGTCGGGGTAGTAAATGGAGGGCAAGGGTTGGAGTCCCTCCATTTCGTCACGGACTTGACGCTGAAGGTCGTATTCAAGGACCTTTGCGCGCTCCATGGCTTGCGCCAAATTGGCAGAGCTAATGTCCCAACCACCCAACACCAAGTCATTGGGGTGGACCATGGGAAGGATGTCGCTAAAAGGGATAAAGACATCTTGGCCCTTTTCGTCGGTACCCAACTTGAGGGTGGACGCTTGGGTGACAGAGCCGTAATAGTTGGGCGCCTGAACGCCTTCCTTTGTGCGCCAGTGAATGTTGCGGCGGTTCGCAATGATGGAAGCCGTGAGGGTGGAGCCATTGTTACCACCCCAGCCGACCATCATGAGACTGTTGACGTTGTTGAATCAGTATATATTTTTCTTAGTAATTCAAAAAAACAGAGACACCTACCCGACACGAGGAACGCCGCGAGCGACACGGAATTGATACGTTTTTTCAGTGGGAACGACAGTGATTTTGCCGTCCACCTTGTGAACCTTGGAGTCACGGTAGACATAGGTAGATTCAATATGGTCATCCGTGTAGACCACATTGTCTGATTGAACACGGAAAAGCTCCGAGACAGAGCCAGAAGCTTCAAATTGAGTTTGATGGGGAGCCATTTGTAAAAGAGTAAAAGAGTGATGACTAATTGTCTTTTTAAGCTGTTTTTGGTTTGGGGGTAGTGCGCTTGCCTCCCCTGTGTTGGTTGTGAGACGAGTAGAGCTGATTTGAGACTATCAAAACAAGAGTGAGATATCCAGTCCCATAACAAGAATAAAGAAGAGAGAATACATACACGTTTTGACGACTGTTCCCCTGTGGGTAAAAGAGAAAGAAGATGTGTGGTTTGTTCACAACAGAAAGAGATGAGAGAGATGATGAGAAACTAAAAACGAGGGCGGAGAGACAATCCCTCCCCTTTTTATAGTGAATGGAGCGTGAGAAATAAACGCGTAAAAGATGGGGAACGGGCCGTGCCGCTTTTTGCACAAATTTGCGTGTAAAATGAGAGCCCATGGCGGGCGCAAGTTGGAAGAGATGGCACTGTGACTGTGAGAAATGTGTATATGGATTCTAGAGAGAGAGAAGAGAGAATCCTTCTAAACCTTCTAAACACACACAGAGAGAGAGAGAAGAGACATTCCACACACACACACACACACTCTACGTTCTCTCTCTCACTCTCACACACACATGGCTATATGCAAAATTCTTTAAATCTCTTTATGGGCCGCTTTCTTACTCACACAAAACTATTTAACCGTAATATTCCCCCATTTTAACCGTTTGTTTTTTCACGCGTTACTTTTTTATTTTACGCGTATTTCTCTCACTCTCTCACTCACTCTCACATGTGGACAGATTGCATTTTATTATTATTCTCTCTCTCTCTCTCTCTCTCTCAACAACAAGAATTACTAGAAACTAGGAAAAACAAAATGACACTCTAATCAACGTATTCTCTCTATATAATACACACAATCTTCTACAACATGGCCAACGCGCCAAAGAGCAATGTGCCCAATCCAATACCTGCAGCACCATAGAGTTTGCCAGCATTGCTCGTTTGTTGTTGTTGCTGGTTTCCTCCAGTCGTTCCTCCATTCGTTCCTGTGGCTTTGGGTGCTCCCGTGGTTGTTGGGACAGGAGTCGATCCACCTGCAGGAACAGTCGTGTTCTTTCCAAGGGGTCCATTGTCACCACAATCACGAATGAGACGGAGGTTGCTAATTTGGAATCGCGCGCCTTCAGGGACAAATGAAGTCAGGGTCCAGTCCTTCAAGTGGACAAAGTCAAACGCGCCCCCAGCCAGGTTCTTTTTAAAGTCTGCAAATGGAACCACGACGCTCTGCTTTTGGCCGTTGGGGGTAACGTATTTGGTGATGGGAACGTAGTCAGAGTCCGAGTTTCCAGGGACACGAATCGTACAGTTTTCACTCTTTTGTGTGAGCGTCATGGTGAAGGTGGAACCGACGGGAGCCACCAAATCGTACGCAACCGCAGCAATGTGAGTGAGATCGTAGCAGGCACCAGCGTCCTAAACAAAGAATTAGAATCTATATCTGCTCATTGGAGACACACACGCGTCAATACTTACAAACTTTGAAAAGAAAAAGTTGTTGTTGGGAGGAGCATTGGGGCCAGCAACAATCTCCACATATTTGCCCTCGGTATTGATCGTGTACGTCAGATTCGCCTCACTCTTTCCATAGTCTGCACCCAACAAGTTGAGATCCCGAATGACAGTCTCCCCAGGAAGGGCTCCTGTGCGGTGTACTGAAAAGTCATCCACAAGAATGTCGGGACCACAGTTGATGAATTCTGGGACAGTGTGGTTTTGCGCGTAGGTGGTGGTTGCTAGGGACGCAACGAGGAGAGTGACAGCGACCTTGACGTTCATCATTTTGAGAGAGAGAGAAGGAAGGAAGGGAGGAATATTCTATAATCTACAAGTGGTAATAGAAAAGAGAGGGAAATGCTGCGAGTCCCCCCCTTATATATGGGTGGAATTTCCCGTTTTCTTGTTTTGAAACGGCCGCTTGTGTTTTTTTTTGCCAGTGGCCAGTTGTGTGTGTGTGTGTGTCTTCTTTCCAAAGCGGTCAACAAAAAGAACGCGTCTCTCAACACAGAAAGAATTTTCAATACTTCTAAAATTATTCCCATTTACAGATACAACGCCCTCCAAAGAGAGGGGGCGCTTCCTTTTTGAAAAGGAGAGGAATATTCCGCAACCACTGCCACCCTTTGATTCTATTTCTGGCATTCCATTCATTCTATTTTGGGAATTTCTATGATTTTCATGTATTGTTACTCATTCTATATTCAACTTTCAACAAGCGGCTGGGGGGGAGGCATATCGGAACTCTCCTGTCAATATGGCCTATCCCACATCCATGTATTCATATACATGTCAAGGTATTCAACTCGAGTCAAATTGTTTACCAGTTAGACAGAGCAGAAACATGGCAGTGCTGGCGTTTAATCCCGCCATAGCAACAGCTATAAAAGTTACTTTGACTCGAGTCGCATAACGTATGTACTCCTGGGTACTAAGAGTGTCTCACAGTGTCAATGTTTGGAAATATGTCAAACTGCGGGGGATATGCATCGAGAACACACGCACCGCCTCGATTCTGTTCCGTGGCTGAGTAATTGGCAAGATTTCACGGAATTCAAAAAACGAGAAAACGGATGATCTCCATTGGGTTTACACCGTTTAATTGAAAAGGGGGGCGCGAGTGTATGTTCCTCGCGTTTGCCACTGGTGGGGGATGATTGACCATGGCCTAAATGCCCCCATTTTCACCTGAATACAAAGTAGAAAACATACAACGTGTTATGGGATGGTATATCAGACTTTATTGGGACATTCATACATGGATACTTTTGTGTGATGCGTACTGTGTGTAGGTGTATGGCGCGTATGAGGATAGCTTGCCAGTTGGCCCATTCAAAAGGTGTGAAACTCTTCCCAAAAGCCTCATTCAATAAGAAACCCAACTTTTATGGCAAAAATAAAATACCAATATTGGCATCTCAAACCCACCCATTGACCTTTAGCCCCGAACTTTCACGCGTTGCGCGTCACTGCCACCACCCACATACAGACATTGTTTTTTTCTCATGATTACGACATTGTCATCCTTGCCTACAAGTATATAATCCATGCCCCCAACACACATACTCCTACAAAACCATAAGTTACGAATAATGACTAGAATACAGTTTATTCCCAATATCACACGTATGACGACTCGGTTCACCTCGACTCACTCGTCAACACATGCGCGATATACTGGAACACGTAGCCGCGTTCGACCCATGAATGTCGTGCTGGGGTTGGGTGGTCTTGTGCTTGGGACGGCTGTGTATAGAGAGCTACACTGATGGGATTAGAGGATGTGATTGGAAAGGGTGCTTTGTAGAAGATGGGTTATGCATGACTGCTCCTGCCATTTATGGCTGAGATGGCACAGTGAAGTGGATGGTTCAATAGACAAGACTTTAATCAGCACGTTCCCTAAAGTACCAAAGATCAATGACGGGATCCTGTTCGTATAGACAACCAGTCGATGGACTCTCTGGTATGGTCAATGATTGGGGTTTAACTAAAACGTGCTACAATTTCGAAAAGGAACAAAGAAAACACATAGTAAAGAGCCGTTGCTTGTATTCCCTTGGCTGGTGGCCTTCCAACAACTCGTGCGTAGGGCACCGTAGTTGATTCCTTGGCAGCATGGTGAAGATCATCTAGGTTTCTGAATGCCCATAAGCCGTGAATTGGCCGCAATTCCAGTCAAGAGAGTCGTTTGTCCACGATGAATATTCACTGATCAAGCTCAGCAGTCCATCTGCCACGAATATCATTCACTGCGAACCGCTTGTTAGGATCGGCATCACATGATCCAGGCTCTGCGACAGAAAGCACGTGACCAAGACGGAGCAAGCAAAGATCGTCTGTGTCCGTCAACCAATTCTTTCTTTCTCTCTCTCTCGCATCTCACTTACGACGGGATCTATCCATCCATCCATCCGTTGTCGAGGTTCGTTTTCATCCTCCCATCCATCGAGTGTTCAATGAGTGCTACCTACACTACCCGATCCTTTGACCATTGAGCCAAGAGAGCAAGATGTGAACGAAAGCCTGAGCACTCGCAAGAGTGGCCCATGTGATGGAGTGTAAAAAACAATTTCGACAACAGAAGCAGTTTCTACCAAGTACGCCATTCTCCACCATGCGAGCTTTGATTTTATTTCAAAGGACTGCGAAAAACAAACGAAAACAGAAACTGCTTCAGGAATCACATTGGCGCTCATTAGCTGGCCATTGTGACACTCTTGATGGGCAGTCCCTAAACTTTGCAAAAGAGGGGGCTCTTAGGAATCGTTTTGCACTTTCTATGGCCGTGGGTGGTGTAGTTTGCGCAACGACACTCCTATTGGAGCAAATCTTGTCCTTACGCAGTCTAATGTCAAGCTCATGATCTAACTCGCTGTTATTTTTTTTTCTTTTAGATCAAAATGGTTCGCATCTCTGTCCTTAACGACTGCCTAAAGAGCATTGTCAATGCCGAGAAGCGCGGAAAGCGCCAGGTGCTCGTCCGCCCTAGCTCCAAGGTCATTGTCAAGTTTTTGTCGGTCATGCAAAAGCACGGTAAGTTGGCCTGACGTGATCACCAAAAACGAGTTTTGGGGAGTGTGTATGATTCGAAGTTATAACTGGATGCTTGTCGGACACTGTGGGCAGATGTCTTTTAATGCTTCGATATAAAGACAGAGTGTACTTACACCCCACGTCTTTATCACCTATGGGCGGGGGGTTTATATACGCACAACATATGAATGCACAGATGCGCATCGTTTACATGATGATGGAACAATCACTCATGACTATTTCTCATAAAGGCTACATTGGCGAATTCGAGATCATTGACGACCACCGCTCCGGCAAGATCGTCATCCAACTTATTGGTCGTCTCAACAAGTGCGGAGTCATTTCCCCCCGCTTCAACGTGAAACAAAAGGACATTGAGACTTGGATCAACAACCTTTTGCCCTCTCGTCAGTTTGGGTACATTGTCCTGACCACCTCTGCTGGTATCATGGACCACGAGGAGGCCCGTCGTAAGAAGACTGGTGGCAAGGTGTGTATGGTGTTTCTTCTTTGTTGGATATATGGGATTTTTTCTGACGTGTTGTTAGATCCTTGGATTCTTTTACTAGGGGTTGAGCACTGTCGGCTTTGGTAGAGTGGGATCCGTCAGAGACTTGTTGTATCGCATTCTGCTGTGGCTTTCATAATACATTGAATTGTGTATATTTATTTTCTTTATCTTAATGATGGGTGTGGCGACTACGCCGTATCGTAAAGAGGGAGTGTTCCGTGGTGGGGATACGGGAGCACAGCACTCTCGTATACTAGGACTTATGGCTGTCATGCTGACATGTTTTACAGTACATCGGCGCTTACTAGTGTGTATTTTGAGGAAGTTTTGAACAGGACGAATGTTAGTCTGTGGATTCGGAATATGGGGTACTCTGTAGAATCAGGTACTGGCGTGATCTCACATGACTAAACGCATCGATAAATCTTTGATGACGCGGACAGTCGAAGTTCATCATCCATCGTGTTTTCCTCTACATTAATACATATCAAAAACTAGTTTAACATGCTTTAAAAATGCAGAAAAACAGGTGGGATATTTTCTATGCATCGGATAATAACTTCTGTGTATGTACTTTGTCACATACCCGGCAATATTTGATGTTCTAGCCTAATGGAAGTCTGTGCAAGTGTCGGCCAATGTCCAATTGAGATTTTGGGGGTTATACTTGATTTGTACCCGTACTACGGAGTACGGTACCCGGAATGTGCATGGCTACCTATTTGATTATGATTACGGGGGTTGGGGTGCTTGTGACTGATTGGCGGGCGATCAAGGAAAATGGATTTTGTACTGGGTATGGACAACTGGCAGTCTTGCCTTTCGATGACTAAATGTGAGATACACTATTCCTTGATCATGGGACCAACGACTTTGATACACATATCTTCATGTTAGAACGGATGTGCAATATGTGAAAAGGCACAATGAGATCATTTCAGAGGTTTAACGCGTTCATGTCCGGATGTTATAATCTACGCGATTAGTTCTGTCCGGATGTCATGCCAATTCCTTAAAACGAGGCCTCGTGGGAAACATCCCCTAAATAAATCTTTTGCCTCACAATCTGCTTCAAAACTTTCTCAAAACTTGTTGAATATTTTTTGGCTTCAGGTGTCGTCGAGTAGACCACAACCATGGCACGCAATGCAGAGAACACGCAGATTGGAGGGACCTTGGTGAAAGACCTTCCCTGTGATGTTGCATTGAATTATTTTCGCATATGCTCGCCGTATGAGAGTACGCCCAATGTGCAGGAACTGGGCGATATGCTCGCTAATGCCATCTACGCACATTCCCAACGGGAGGATGGCCGAGCGGACAATGGTCAACTTGTGAACTTTAATGTCCCGGATGCCGGTGAGTCCAGAAATCGAAAAAGCACTACTAATCGAGACTAAAATAATCTCTTAGACACTGTAATGGCTTGGACGCGGGAAGTCTCTTTGGCCGAGATTTTCTCTAAAGGAACAGGGATCCGCACTTTAGTCATTCCTGTTTACCAGAGGCCGTACACTTGGGGACGGACGGTTGTCAAGCGCTTACTAGGGGACATTTATGAGGCTTTCAGTATTAATAAAAATAAACCGTATTTTATCGGAAGCATCGTGCTGAACGACAGTCATGATCTTTTGGACGAAGATGGGAACGAGGGAGAATTTAGCGTTGTGGATGGTCAGCAGCGCCTGACTACATTAATGTTAATATTTGCTGGTTGTCGATCACTGTGCAGCGAGTCCACGCAGGATGAGGTAGGTGTGCTTCTGACGATCCGCCTTTAACGACGGAACGAATAAGTATTCCACCATTCAGATTCAAGACTACCTCGAGCATTCACCGAAATTTAAGCGGCTGTATCATTTGCGAGAGGGGCCTGGACCAGAGATATTTCGAAAGTACGCGATGCAAAACAAGGAAAATATTGCAGATGCAGCAAACGAGGATAATTCGGGAAAAAATGCCCAAGAGGCTCGTACATTGGTAGATGCAATGACCGCCATATATGAAGAGTTGGAAGAACGTACCGAGCAACTGGAGACCAATGAGGCGGACGAGTTCCTTGCGAGTTTCGCTGATTATGTCTATAGTCGATGCCGTATGATTTGCATGACCGGCGCAGGGGAACGCGGCGGTCATCGAATTTTTAGTACGTTGAACGTATGTGGGGTTAAGCTGGATGTACTTGACTTCGTAAAGGTAAGTAAACAAAGGCATGCGCCGTGGGCTCACCCATCCTAACAACAACAACGGTCGACAGGCAAGTATCTACACACATGCTATCATGGAGTTTAACGACAGTCAGGCGACACGTAGCCGACGAAACTTCAATGCCACAATCCAAAAAGGGATGAACGCTTGGAACGCCGTTGAGGACAAGCTACGGCGATGGCCGAGTGGTATGCACAGTGGTTTGACAAGGTTCCACGACCTTTTCCTGCATTTCTACCGTCTTCACTTGGTGTGGCTATGCGCCGACGTCTCTTACCGGGGGAGCTGCATTGGCGATTCATCAAAAGAGGAAAAAGAGGACCACTTCCAGACTCTCTACATGGACAGTTTCTCAGCGACGACGATGTCAGAAACAGATCGATATGCTCCTATGTACAGCTGGTGTGGGGACGTTGCTGACATAAAGAGCGCTATACCCCGTCTCAATTTCGAGATCACGATGCAACTCATCAAGGAAATCGGATCTCATTTTTACCAAATTGTCATCACTTATGCTAGCAGTCGTGGCAGCACGGTTGACGGCTTACTAAACCTGGAAAAAAAACTTTTAAACTGCGAGAAGTGGCAATTGACCTACTCCTTGTGGGTCACAATTGCACTTGCTGCAATGCAACGTCTCGCCAAGCTATCCAAAAGGAAAGGCGGTGCAACTACTGGACAGCCTGCCTTTTGGACATATCTTGAAACGCTGATGGTTGCATACATGTTGGAGATAGAGGCTAAAGAAGACTTTGCTGAACATTTACTAAGGAGGTCTTTCGAAGACCTGAAGAAGATCGTGACAGCTGCAAGAGTTGAAGACATCATTGAACAGCTGTCTCTGCGGCATGCACCGCGCGAAGGACGCCGATACAGCGAAGCGGCTGAATTCCTTAGGAGAATCAAAGAAAATGTCTACAAAACTTCCGGACCCTTCGCAACGAAATATCTTCTCGTTCGTTTAAATACGTGCTCATACGAACGGCCGGATTGTCAACCATACGAGGTAAACTGGAAACTGACCGAAGTGGAGCACCTGCTTCCAGTGTCGCTCGATCAGCCTGACGACGGTTGGCCAGGGTGGACGGCCAAGCAAATCAAGGATGCCAAAAACAAGCTTGGTAATCTGCTGTTACTTGGTCCTGGACAAAACAAAGAACTGTCGAATAAGGCATTTCAAAAAAAGCAATCGCTTTATCTGAGGTCATCACTGGGTCCTTGCCCTTTTGCCATTACGGTCCGACGTGCTGGGTTGGACAGCTGGACTTATGATGATTTTGAAAGGGAGCAAAACGATATTATCAAGAGGCTACAGAAAGTTTTCATGACTCCGGCCTCCCCAGTCCAGGCTGGGGCTTCAGGATCAATACAGGATATGCATCCGCATGATGTCCAATATGCGGCTGCTGACTCGGGGGAGAATATACATTGGCAAGGTTCGACTGGCGCCAGCGGCTTGCCGGGGGTCCAAATGCCGTCAGCTCAAGCAGAGCTGTCACCTGCCAATTTGTTCTCTGATCCCAGCACGGCCGCGGAAGACGACCATGACAGCCACGCGGCGACTGTGATGGCAGAATCAGGAGAGAATGGGCAAGGCGCTGCTGCCGCTGACATCCTGCCACGAGCACCTCCGCTGTCAGCGCAAGCAGAGTTGTCACTTGATTCTGTCATTCTCACCTCCATGGACGTCGCCGTGGAGAAAGATGTCTCTGACGATGACGCGGAAAACGAACTGGGAGAGAGAATACTAGCCCAACAGTTGCAAGAAGATCAGGTTAGATATATGCAAGAAAGGCAGACTGTTGGTGATGATGTTCGACCTTGTCCAGAGAAATGCTACAAAGAGAGAGTCGCAACAGCCACATGTTCAGGAACAATCACTGCGAATGAATCTCATTGCCATTTATGTCACTGGATCGAAAGCGGCGGACAATGTTCGAAGACACCATCTGAAGGAAAGAAATTGTGTATCGATCATAACCGGCTGCTTCACTCTTGTGCCCAACATCTTTTCGTCGGAAAGAGCAACTCTCCGAGCCACAGGATCTGCTACCGTCCTCATGTGCCGGGCCGTGAGTTTCGCGGAAAGCACGCGTGCGATCAATGTCACCATTGCAAGGCGCGCTCTCGGATCGCATGTAAAGAGCCTTCCACCAAAGACGATATTTTTTGTGTTGAGCATAGGAAACATTTCGACAGTTTGAAGGACGCTGCTAGAAGTCGCAGACAGAAGGCTGATGAACGCAAACGGAAAAAACGTCAAAAGTCCCAAGATAGTTCCAAGCGAGCTAAGCCTTCTTAGCGGATGCTGATAAATGCAAGTGGAAACAATTCCAAAGTTCTTTAAAAGAGTTCCAAGATAGCCACGTCGTCATTAGCTGACTTTGAGAGTGGGAACACTGTGTTACATGTCTTCATCTCTCCCGTATTCTTCTTAAGCAGCCCTGATAGGCAAGTTGCTTATCTGCTACTGTTACGACAGGGTATCTGAACCACAGTGGTTATGGGCAGCATAAACAAATACATCATCACAGTACATGCCTTCATCTCTCCCGCGTGTGTGATGGGCCTTTTGAGGAGGACTTGTGTATATTGGGCGTAGTAGTGCTCGGTTGAGATTGGGATTGTCATTGTCGTAAACTTGCGAATTTGGCACTTTGGTCCTGCAAGTTCGTACTTTATAAACACTGGAGAAATTGGCCAGCAATCGTGGCAGCACCTTACTACCTTTAAAGAAATTAGTACATGTGCTGTGCGAGACTATGACTTGAATTCCAGATGATCCGGCTAGCAACTGTGACAGCATTCCACTTGACCATTTTATCGGCCGCTGTCAGATGGCTACCAGAATACATGTGTCAGACAGCGAAAAAAGTATAGAAAGTGACGATCGAAAATAAAAAGGCAGTGGATCCTCGTTGAACTCCCAGACGGGGAATCGAACCCCGATCTTCCCCGTACTGTCAATTTGACAGGGGGAGATACTAACCATTATACTATCTGGGACTTGTATTCCTTGACTTTATGGAACACCATATGGTATGCAAGGCCTGGCAGTCCTGTACGGAAGGGATGCTGGTATGAAATGCCGCTGACGAAGCAAAGGACAATTGGGTGTTATTTGTCGAACCCCGATTTTTGTTTTATGCAACATATTTTTGGACAAGATCCTGTTTTTAAGGGGTTTCATTGTATGTGGTTTGTTGTATGCGTATCAGATCTTGCATACCTTACAAGTTTGACTTTTATGATAATCGTATCCTTGTTTGCCAAGTGTTCAAACAAGAAATGATTTGTGTTTGTGATGTGTACATGCCCAGCCCATCATATTTGTACTGAATGCGAATACGTTTTTCGTTATGATGCAAAAGGAACCTTTACATATCCTTCAAAAAAAGAAGTTTATCATCATCGTGTCTGGATTAAAGTTTTAGGTTTCCAAGGGATGTGATATTCCTTTGATGAGATGAGCGGATTCTGAACTATCCGACCCATATAGATATAAATGATATCCAAATAGCCATGTTGAATAAACCCACATTGCATTCTCCATCCATCTGGCCGTTGTCCTTATCTAACAACCCTCCCCAATTTCACCAAATACAAGTGTTCCCCTTTAAACCCTTTAACCAACTCAGCCAGTCACGTCATACCATCCACGTGACAAACCACATGACCATCTTTCCTTCTCTGTGCCGCCCCTTCATAAGCGGGCTGGTGTGCAATCCCCCCATCCATCTCCCGTAATCCTCGCTTGGAACCAACCGCCGACGCCATCTTGTAAAATATTGGAATTGACAATGAATACCCCTACGGCAAAGAAAACGCGTACGGATGTACACTCGCCTTCCATGACCCATTCTCAGCGGCCGCAGATTCCTGGGCAAATGCAGGCTCAGTTAGTCAAGTAAATGTGAAAAACGAGTGGTGTAATTGTATGTACTGTTTGTCTAATTCTTTTTTGTTTTTTTTGGTATAGTTTGGGGATGCGGGTTCGTAAATGTGAGTTACAAAATAAAGGATTGACACGAGATGCGGTTTACTGATGTTGTTTGTTTTGTAGCAATCGCGGATGGATACAAAACACCCAATAAACCCATCTACGGCATGCCCCAATCAACCGATATTACACCCCCCAAACATGAACAAACACAAAACCCTAGGAAACGGGGACTTATTACGGATTTTTTTGGACCGCAAGAGAATGGGCAGTAGTTTTTATGTTTTGTTTGAGAAGGATGTGGGTTCGAGTCCTATATTCCTTTTATTTTCTTGTATTTAGTGGTTGCGAGTTGGAGTGGGCATACCGTGGATGAGTAAGAGTGGTTTTGTGTACAGTGTTGGCTTGGGACAATGTGGGAATCGAAAACATTAAAGACAAGGGAATATATTTCGCTTCTTTACTAAAAAAAAATCCAAAATGTAAACCATATACGTTTTCTTTTCGTCGTTTGCTATCTTCTTTTTTTTTGCTAGTCAAGCTCGTCCTATTCCGATTCTCAACCCTTGTGCTCCACAGGCACCGTCACAAGATTCCCATTCCTAACCGTCGTCTTAAATTGCTCCGAAAGGGGTTTCTCCGTGTAATCCCCATCAGCACCCTGCACAAGCACATTCATTTCTGAACTCTTTGCCGTAAGGATCTCAATATCCAACGTCTCTTTGGAAAGGTACAATTGTAATCCGTCCGTTTTGTCAATCGCGACCGTAGGTGCTTTGCCGGTGATTTGGACTTGGGCGGATTTGGTGTTCACCACGTCGATCGTTGAGACCACGTTCTCGACTAGGAGGCCAACCTTTCTGGAGCCATCTATAAACATACACGATAGAATCGTCAATCAAAACCAAATCTTTTGTTCTTTTCAAAATTGTTCAATAAAAGGACTTACCGATCGTAACGGCATTAACCTTGCCCTTGATTTGAATCGTACAGTTTTGGCAATTGTAAATATAAACAACATGCCTCAATTCCGTTTGATCTATAATGATTTCATTGTTGTTGACTTGGTTCTCCTATTTGGTTTTATCGCACATTTTATTAAATGGTTCGTTTTGAATCACGCAGTGGGTTAGGAAGAACTTACCACCACCCACTTGTTGCCTTCAAGAGCAAGCTTTGGAGGGGCCTTGAGTGCTGCAGCAGGTCTTGCAGACGGAGCTGTTAAAACAGAAAGAGTGAGATGGATGGCCGCCATTTGCCCTTGTTCTCTTTTTTTTTTTTACCTGCAGCGCCTCCTCCGGTACCGCTCTTGACGATACTGGATGCTCGAAGTTCGGGGTTCTTGTGCGTCATTTCAGATTTATCCACCTTTCGTAAACCTAGAACATAATCACACATTACCAAAGTGACATTAGAAAATGGAAAAGTGGACATTACGCACCGCTGGTGAGACCTTCCTTGTTCAACTCGCTAAACAATGCAGCGGTAGGTGGGGCGCCTCCTTGCGAACTGGTTGGGAGAATCCCGACAGCCGGTGGTGGGGGTGGAGCTGGGGCACCGCCACGGGTAACAGGTGCAGGAGCAGCAACTGGGAAACCCAATTCCATCAGATGTAAATCTAACTAAAACGAATCTGTTCATTCATACCGCTGGCGGACTTTGCATCTCCTCCACGCGGGTTCCATGACAACCCTGTGGTATGGTGCTTTTTAACATATGTCTGCAGTTCGGTCAAAAAGGTCACAAAGCTGTTGGCCCAGTCAACGTGACTCTTGTCCCTGCATCAAAGTAAAACAGTATTAAACGGGATGAATTTTGATGATCAATGAGAATGTCATCTACGCACTTGTCCTTGTACTCTTTGATAACACGGTTAGCCCAAAATTGTGCAGAATCCCTCATTTCTCCAACGAATGGCGCAGGTGCAGGTTCCTGTGGTGCACATACGTTCATACATTAGCATTAACAACGTAGTGACATACATCTACGTTTAAATAACTTACCACAACCACCCATCCCAAACCAGGAATACCCTCACTAACGGTAGAGAGATGGTTATAAAACGGGCTGGCCCGATTTTTCTCGCGCAGTTCCGTAATCTTTGTAATGGCAGCCTGCGTGGGTTTCAGCAATTCCTGCAGAGTGGTCGTATCGGGTTTCTTGGACGCCGCGGCGACCTGAATGAGCGCTTTCTGGGCTTGAATGGCTTCGCGTACGCTCTCGGCCTGTTTTGATAGAGCTAGCTTAGCAGAAAATCCTCAACATCATAGTATATTTATCATACCTGTTCCTTGACCAAACCGCCAATAGCTGCACTACCGCTGACATACACTTGGAGCGGTCCACCAACAAGGTCCTCAAATGCAGTAATACTTGGACCACCACTACCAGCAGACGAAACTGGAGCTGACGGAGCAGCTTCCGCAGATTTACTCCGGCCAGCTACTTCCTCGATACGTTGCGTGGCCGCTTCGAGTCGCTTGATGAGGGATGCAAGGGTTGCTTCAGACATGTTGCTGTTGACACAACGAGCGATATTGTGTGCAGAGTGAGTTTATATCAGTTTCTGATTGATCAATGCTTTGTTATTTTGAATTTGCTTGGGTACCTTGTCGTTTATTGTTTACACCTTTAGGAAAAAAACCGCCGAATAGAATAAACATGATGCGACAAGGAAAAACGCGATAGTCATCGTGAGCACTTTCTCTACATCTAGAACCCAAAGACACTGCCATATTATTTTACATACCCGATAAAGAATTACTTTTGCTTGGGCTACTGGTGGGATGAGGCAAGGGAAAAGCAGCAAAAAGAAATGTGTAGTGTTTTGCTGATGTCGTCCTTTGGTAAGTGGCAGCGGCTTCCAGAACTTGTTGGAAGTGGCTTTGGTAAGCGCACAAGTCACGTGCATTCAATGAACTTTAGAAACGTTGAGGGCAGAGCTGTAGAGCTCGATTGTATTTTAAAAGGTTGGAAGGAAGGAACTCTTTAGATGTTTATTCCAGATCTGAGGATAATGGGCATTTACCTGTCCATCGACGCACTCCATCATACACGCCAGAAGTGCAAGTTCGAATAAAAGTGAGGTTGATGTTATTGACATGTACAGCAGCTAGTGCCAAACCACCTCCGTGGCCACATCTTCCAGCACTCACCAAACTCACACAATTCTGATAATCGTCTCAACACTCCTTGCACGCTAGTTATGCTTAAACTTGACCGGCACATACCAGACAGTCCATTGCGATCAAATGGGTTTCCCCCAAATGACTTTTAATCTGACTCCAATCAATGAACTCCCATCAATGACTCTTACAAAGGATATTCGCAAGTCTTTTTCAATGTAGAAATCAGTATCATTTGTGATGCGTACCCACTCGATTTCCAGGAAGGCTGAATGTTCTTTCCATGTTGTGCTTTGCCCGGCGGAAACGAAGAACCTCTACTTTTTGCGTAAATTCTGGAGTTAATTACTTGGGTAATATGGCTGTTATACTGGAGATTCGTCCCAATGAGATGTGATAAAGTAACTGTCAAACTACTTTGAAAGAAAACAGGCTGTGTCCAAGGACGGCGCCTTTTTTTGCATAGTGTTTATAATTACCCCAGTACGCAGAGAGACCCTTGCGCGCTCCCCTACTTTCGGTTCAGTGTGCAGCTACGGCGGCCTTTACCCTTTATATGCTTGATCTAACACTACTTTTGCGAGATGCTGGCCAGCCCTGTGGCTATTCCTTGTTCACAGTCTCTTAGTTCCGACGATGACACATCAAGCCAGGAATCACGTGAAACAGAGTGAAGGTTTCAAAATCAACCGAACGATGCAAAGCAACAGCGAACGTTAACGGCTCATTTCTCAGCTGGCTGGGTCCTTACAGATTTGGGAATGCAAGAGCACGAGGCGACGGACTTGGCTGTTACAGTCGTCTTTAGATAGATAATAGCTAGCGTTTTTCTCTGGTCTCTTTTAGAGAGGCCTCACAGATTGCTTCTACTAACGACCGGTTGATGCAACTTGAATGACGATAATGAAAGTCCCCTGCCAAGAAGTCGTTTCCTCACCACTCGTCTCACTCCCCATTCCCTCCCTGCTCACCCTACCCGAAGATGTCCTAATTTCAATCATACCGTGGGTCCGCAACCCAATGCCCCTCATTCGATCCTGCAGTTACCTACATCACCTCTTCACTACTCTACCGTCCATCCGAGCGCAGTGGCTCATACATCGATACGGCAAAGCCCATGTTCTCTTTTATCCAATGTTGGTTGAACGTCATCCTGCCTTGGACGCAGCTACGGTGGATGTATTGTTAAATTTGGGTGCGCGGTTCAAGTTCCAGCCATTATTTGAGGATGCCCCATTACCGTTGCCTACACTGCATAGCCTTGCTTGCGCTGCCGTTGGGGAATTCAAAGCGTATGTTTTTGGAGTTTGTAAGAACGGGTCCTTTTTACGTAGCTCATTGTGATATTTGGTTTTATCTTTAGAGCACCGGTTCGTGCTGCAGAGCCGAGCGTGGACTCTAGTGATCTATTTGATCTTTGGACATGGGTCATTCAGACTTGTGGCGCTCAATCCCTCATAGAACGACTCGTTAAAGCCGGTGCAGATCCAAACTACCTCGACGCTTTTGCGGTCTCTTTTGCACTGCAAACTCGCAATGCGGTCCTGCTACGCACGCTCTTGATGGATCTTGGTGCATCGATTCCAGTCGTCAGAGATCGCCATGAGCGATCCTCGCAGCCTCCTCACTCTTGCCTGCGTTTTGCTACCGAGTTGGTTTCATGGTACCCTGCTCCAGATATTCTCGCGCTTATTCGGCGCTGTGATGCCCAATGTGACCCTGGCGAAAAGTCTGGAACAACGAAACGTCAAGGTCAAAAAATGTTTTGGCAGCAAGTTGGCCGAAACAGTCGGACAGATATATTACGCTTATTGAAAATGAAGCCAGCGTCGCCAGATTGGAGTCTTGATTTTGTCTCTGCCTGCGCTGTTTTCGTTGGTGCTACTATGGGGGGACATTTGCCCTTGATGACAGAGATGGTAGGTCTCGTCCTCTGTTATAGGTGATGATTCTGGATACACTAACAGTGAACTCTCGACGATAGGTTCTTTCCAATTCTGTCCCTATCGACCATTCGTCCTCCATTGCCCTTCAAACCGCTGTTCGTCTCATGCGTTCAGACCTTCTCTATGCATGTCTTTCTCTCGGGGCCACCATTCCGAGATCTGCTGCCTCCGCATTGGCGATCGACCTTCTATCCTGGGCCTCCACGGACGCCATTTTAGCTTTCCTCGCTCGCGCAGACGATCGCGGTCGAACTCCTCGTCTGCACTGTACAGAATCTTTTCTGCACCATTTGGGCCGTTGCGGGCGTGGTGATGTCATTGAAGCACTGGTATCGAGGGACGTTATGAGCAAAGGTGGACGAAGTGGGAAAGCTACGAATAGCAGTTTAGCGTTGACGAGTGAGCAAGCGACGACGGTTTTGGTTGGTGCCGCGGGTGCAGGGCACCTTGATCTTTGCCGGGATCTAGTCACTCGCTACGAAGGTGACCCTGTCGGATACAAATTCGCTGCAATACGTGCAGCATGTCGAAGCGTCAAAGCGTCTTCCGCTGAAATAATCGGTTATCTTCTCGCCATGTGGCAAGTCACTGGTGACGATGACGAAGATGAGAAACGGTTCGCGAGACGATGTCTGGCAGAGTGTCTTGTCGAAGCCTGTAAGTTTGTTGGCCAGAATAAAGTTCAAGTAGTGGAGTGCCTCATTGAGTGGATGGGACCGGCTGAGCTAAGGCGAGTGGGTGGTCGGGCGTTGGTTGAGGCATTGAGAAGCTGGCAGTGGACCCCCGCACGAGTCATCAAAAACCAAATGAAAAAGGCGGCAAAGGACACCGAAGGAGAATATGGAGTTTTACTGGTGCTTGTAGGTGGCAGGAGCGATGACCGGGCGATATCCACCGTGTGTATTCCAGGGCAGGTCAAAACCTGTGCAGATGACGGTAGAATATGGTCCATCTGGCTTCCCACTCACATGATTAAAGAAGATGCCGAGGAACTAGCACACGGGATAGAGCACCTTATACAACGGGCGGGATTCCAAGCTTTTGTTCAAGACCTTGGTGCGGGAACCCGGTCCCCTCGGACCCTGTGGGACGCGCTACATTCCCGTCAGATACTGATTCCGAGTCGAGTATGCTGGTGCACGGCGTGTGCTGCCTATGATAAACGTAAGCGAAAGACTTGGAGGCAGTGGTGGTTAGATCTCTGGGCAGGTGCCTGGAGAAGTGAGGATGTATATAATAAGGAGCAGAAAGTGTCGTTGGTTACTGGGTCGGCGTAACGTGTTGCGTTATTCCTTTTTTGACTTCATAAGCTATTTATTGTATATATTGCTCTGTATGTATCATAATTTGTATTTATGAAATGCTGGAGATATTAGCCGGAACATCCGCCCCGGGACAGAGTTCAATGTTGAAAATAGCGAGTTGTCAAATCCGTGGCGACAAAATCCATATGTCCATTTTAGGAATAAATTGCGGACATTGAACTTGAAGCGAGCGTTTTTGCCAACGTTTCCGACATTAGACCAACCCTACATTATGACTGATCCCAGTGACAACCCAACACCACCAGCACCACCACCCTCCGGTCCCTCTCCCGAAGCACTAGCACAGCGACGGGCGCTGGTAAACGCAAAGTTCGGACCAGGGTAACTGACTATTCACCGACGAGTACAAAGCTGCCAGCATGTATACTTAAAGAATGTCTCCCCTTGTACAGCGCTTGGGAAAGATCCCAACCACGCCCCCACCGATGCAACGGCCACCTAGAAGATTTCATTGTAGCCCTCACGACATGGCCAATGCAGGATGTTCCTTCCACATTTCGCATATTCTGGTCATGCATGCGTAGCGAACCTGGGTGCGTAAACACTAAAATGTGCATTAAAAAATACTTTTTAACACTTGAACAAATCAAATAGGAATGAACCACCAAGGGATTACAAAACGCCTGTACCGTATGGATCCCAGGCTGGTCAAAAACGGGGAATGTGGTTTGGTGACGATGAACCCAATGATATGAGTTGGATGGAAAAAAAGTGAAATATTGTTGTGTGGATACCCTTTTGTTTGGGTGTGCATGGTGAGGAAGATGTCCTAGTGTTGGGCATGCGTGCATATCCCATTGTCTGTCTTTTTTGGCGATGGCAAGTTCCCTCCCATTGAAGGATCACTGGTGGGAGGACATCATCAGCAGGATGGGTAATCGGAGCTGGATGGATAGTTCTTGTTCAACATCTGAGTATATGGATTATGGAGGGTGCTGGATGTTATCTCCAAGCACCAAAAGAAGAAAACTAAACCAACAAGGTAGCTGGAAATGAATGTACCGAAACCACACAAAACACATGTAAATATAATCATTGAAATGAGCATTTCAAAAAGAACGGATGAATCATTGGCAATCGAAAACATTGTAACAGTTCATGACACACGAAACTCAAATATAAATAATTGTGCACAGTCTATGGCATAGGGTAGTATCCCAGCCAATACTTTATGTTTAAAAAAAAAAGCATCCATAAATCAAAGTCACAACTCAACCCTAGCCGTGCTCTCCACCATCATCTTCTTCACCACCACCACCAGGACCCGCTCCTTGTCCTGATATCTTTCGTCTCGCGACTCTCCCCACCACACTCTCCCGGGCACCAAAACCTCCACTCCCCGGGTCCTCTGCACCCATCTCCCCAGCCGCAGCGCCGCCTAAAGCATCTGCAACACCACTGGATCCCCGATGTATGACTTTAGCCTGGCTGGCAAGTGTATGTGCATTCGCTAACCGCTCAAAAACGTCCCCTCCGCTGCCAGGTCTCGAGCCAACAGGAGGAGGCTGATGCGTAGCCATTCCACCTCCACTGCCCGCAACGCTGCTCCGTCCGCTTGCCGTGCCTCCAACACTGCTACTACTGACGACATTTAGAAAAGGTGGGGGTTGTACAGTATGGTCGTCGTTTTCGAATGCTCGGAAAGGGCCACGGGTTGGACTGGCGGCTTGGTTCAAGTATCCTCTTTTCTTTGGGGACGTGCTTGGACTCCTGTTGCCCTTGTTTGTGGTTGAGGATCGCGGACTATCTTTCCCGTAAGTCCAACTGGGGCTCCTTCTCCGTCGCGCTGCGTTAGATGCACTCGCACTAGAAGACTTGGTCCCTGATCCGCCAGCTCCTTCTGCCATCATTGCAGAAGCGGACATGCTCACACTACGTGGAGACGATACTCCGTCTCGACTCGGTGGTTTGTCGTGCCGTGTTGTTCGACCTCGTTCTGAGCCGGTCGTGCTGCCGGCTTTGGACGATGTAGACCCGGATCGCTCTCGCGTGGGTGTCCGTGGGACGGCTAGGGAGGGTTTTGGAGTCGCGGGTGCAGAACTCACTCGTCCTGGTGACGACGGTTCCGGTTCCGCTCGGTTTTCCTTTCCAGCGTCATCCTTGACTTGTCCATCCTTATCACTTGCCTGAATTCCTCTCAACAGCTCATGCCCCCCTGGAGCCCCTTTTAGCCACCACACCATGCGATCTCGTAATGACATGTTGGCCAGATCGACAGCTTCGTCTTTCTTCTCTTCCCCTTGAACATTACTCGCCGAGATGATTTCCTGCTCGCTGTTACTCCTCGGTGAAGCCGTCAACTCGCCCAGTGGATGCCGATCCTCCTCCAAATCAAAGACCTCAACATCGTCTCCTGTCCGGTCATCGAGCACTTCTTCACTCGCCCAAAGCTCTTTTGAGACAAGCTCTTCTAGAACTGCGTGCTGCTTGGCTTCACCGGCATTCAACATGGGCTCAGAGATCGATCGCAACATGCCAGCGTTCTCCTTCAGAAAGGAGATTTGCTGCTGTTCCTTCACCCGGCGACGTTCCTCCTCACGAGCGTCCTCCAGTCTCCTCTGGAATTCCATGGCGGCTTTTCTGGCAGTTTCACGGCACCTCTCCAGATTCTCGGTCAACTCCTCAATCTTACTATCCCGCTCCTGGACCTTCACCTCTCCTTCTTCAAGCAAGCACCTGACTTCAACAAGATCCTCCAAGCACATCTCTGCAATCGCTTCCAACTCATATGGATCAAGCGACCGTATGATATTCGTAGCATTTTCCCATCCAACATCCACGTCAGGTGTTAACGACGAGATGCTAGTTGAGGAAGATACGAGACCCTCTTGCCCTGCGGGTTGTCCTCCCAATCTTGCCCTTCTAACCAGTTCCTCAACCCTGGATATTCGATGTCCAATCATCGCAATCTCGTGATCCAATACTCCTAATCTCTCATCCATATACTGGGGTTTCTCAGGGTCAAACCGTCCCGTCGCCTCCTGCTCAGCACGCACGCATCGTTCTCGCTCCGCAACCAACTCCCGCTGCTCGCCGACCAATCTATCCCGTGAGACCTTCAGTTCGTCTAAAGCCTTTTGTGCTCGTCGAACAGCAATGCAGGATGCAAGTTCCTTTTCCAACATTTGCTTCTTGAACTGGGCACGTACATTGACTGGGAGATGGTTGGGGACATCACCGTCATCCAACCCAATATCTGACGGTAGCTTGGTTTCAGGAGAAGATTTGTTGGTGGATTTGGCGTACATGGATACGGCTCGTCGGTTCGAGGATGATCCGCTACTTCCTGGTCGTGATGAATCGATTGGAGCCGTAGACACTTTCCATGTTCCGCTTCGTCGCTTGGGAGACATACTTCCGCTGGACCCACCGGATTTCGAGATTCGGTTGGGGGTACTGGTTCGCTTCAGTATCTTCATAACGGAACGTCGATTAATGTTGTGTATTTCGTCGCTGCGGCGCTGCAGAATCAGGCGCTGAAAGCGAGAGGCAGCGTCGTGAACATCTATCCGGTACACATAGTGAAAGGAAAAGTAGATTACGAACCTGCATCTGGTTACGACTTTGCTCTAGTTTCTTAACCAGATCGGCAGCCTTTTTCTCCTTGCGCTTCAAAATGGCAATCTGTCGCTGACTTGTCATTTCCAATGCCCGGCTCTTTTCCCTCTCTTTTTTGAGGTCTTTGAGCATGCGTGCCTTCTCCGCTGTGGATCATGAACAAAAAATTCGTGTCAAGCTATCTCTTTCTAGCGGCTATCGCAATGAAACCAATCACAAACCTTTCATGCTAGCAATCGTGTCCTTCAAACCCTTCATCAAGCCCTCATCCTTGCCCTTCCTCTCATCCCTGGCTCTCGTATTCTCTGCCAACTTTCGCCGGAATTCGTCAATCTGCTTCTCCAGCTGCCGCTTCTTGTCTTCATATCGCTGTTTGATCGCCACAGTCCCTTTTTTCTCCTCCTTGCGTTCGCCACCCTGCATTCGCTTCAACGCTTGATCACGCTCCTTTTTGGATTGAAGTAATTGCGTTTGAAGATCCCGAAGTTTTTGCTCATAGGCTGTTTTCATCGTTTCGTATTCGGCGTCGCGATGCTGTATTCGTGAGACGAGCTTTTCGTGTTCAGCAATGTCCGCCTGGATTTTAGCAATGACAAGGAACATGTCTGATGTGCTTGAATCTGGTGATGTTGAAGATGCTTCGTCTGTTGCTTCGTCCAAGGCTGTTGACTCTTCGAAATCCTCTGCTACGTTGAGCGAAGATGATTCCCAAACCACAGAGTTCGTCCGGGGTACCCCATACAGCCGTGGCCCAGGTGATACTCCATCGACCTCACCTGCATCCTGTGATTTTGACTGCTTGAGCATCTCATCTACATCAGGATTATCCTGTAGCGCCTTCATTAGCCGTCTTTCCTGTCCACCTTCGTCTAATGTCTCCTCTTCCTCCCGGCATACTTCCTTGACTTGCCGTTGTAACGGTCGACAAGGAATACCAAGTTCAGCATCGGCCTCAGCATCTGCTCCAATCTCTTCCGCACTGAAAAGACGCCCGTCCCCACCTCTATTAGGAGCTGTGAACGCATTGCGTCCGCCTTTGCTTTTGCCGCCCAGCTTTGCCACAACATCATTGTACCATGTGAGCTTATCCTCCGCCTCTGAAAGACGGAATCGCAAATCGGAAATGGTGCGCACGTAGCTTTGTATAATTGGATGGGCGGTGAGCTGCTTCTTGTAGGCGGATTGTAGTGTCTGAGAATCATTTTCAGCGAGATTCGGTGTTGCTTCAGGACTGAGGGGGTCATTTTCGGGAATAAGCTTGCTAGTATCGTCAGGTTCATCACTGCCAACCTCAAAACTTCGTTCCGGGAAGGATTCTGTTGACGGAGAGCGGACGATCTCGCCTTTAGCCTCTCCCCAAACTTTGCGCAGCTTGACACCACCGTTCTCCTCTTCCATATCTCGCCCTTTCCGTTTCATACTCTTATTTCCAGGTAGAAACATACGACTTCGTTCTACAACCGCCCGATCCCGTTGCACAATCGTATCGGCCAACTCCCTTCCAAGCTCTCTGCATCGATCTTGCAATCGAAAACAACGAAACTTTAGCCGCTCATTTTCGAACCGTATTGCATCTCGTTCTCGCTTTGTACGGTCCATCTCTGCGTCGAGTTCTCGTTCTCGTTGTATTCGCATCTGCAATTCTCGCTCCCGGAGTGTACCCGAAACTGTCTGTCTTTGATTCGCTAAATAACTCGCATCAAATGCATCACCACCCGTGGTGGATACCCGAAGAGAGCCTCCCGGCCCACCATCTTGAATGTCCGCTTTCAGCTGAGCAACTGTCGCGCGCAATATCCGGACCTCCCTCTCCAAAGCCAAAGTGTTCCCCCCTCCAGCCCATTCCTGGTTAATCACCACCTTATTTTTTATGTTCCTCGCTCGATTCGCATAATTTAAAGTGTTGACTGTTTCGCCGTAGTTGGTATCACTGGGACTCACACAGGCGAGCATCAATGTCTGGCTATTTCCACCCAAACTGTCTTGTAACATTCGGGTAAGTTTGGAATCCCGGTATGGAACGTGAACGTGCGCGGACTTTCGGGTATCGTCGCCTAGGGCAGAGATCACATTCCCAAGGGCAAGTAAGCCTTGATTAATTGATATTCCCTCCTTTTTCCTATCTCCCTCAGCGTTTGTGCGTTTGAGACGTTCGGATCCCGCCAAATCAACAAAGTGAAATTTGGACAAGAGATGCTGGAAGGAGCCGTCTGGGTGTGTTGTGGGATCCACCGATGTCGGCGTGAAATGCTCCTCACCCTCTTGCTTTGTGATTTCCTCCAAGGGACTTTCCCCGCTCGCACCGTCACCATCCTCCTCTGCGGTGGAACGAGGCACCCATTTCTGTTGTTTTAAAATTACGCTAAAGATAGCATGACTTCGAGAGGACGAAGCATTCATGTCGGTTGATCCAGTCGTTCGGCAGAGTGAGCCCTTTTCAAGGACACTACCAAATAGAGCATATAAAAATACGTCCCAGTCGATACACTGCACATCAACCTGAGCAAACGTACCTCAAGAGCTCCTCCGGTGAGGATACAGCCTGCTCCTTTACCCCATACCACATAATTTTTCCCGCTCCATCCTCTCTAATCGACAGACCACCCCAGCCAGTCGTACCCTCTTTAGGTCGCGCATTTAGCAAGTCTACAAGTTCTTCGTTATAAAGTTCTAGGAACGAAACAAGCACTTCGTATTTGAATCCTTCGGGACTGGCTGCTGCCTGTGCTTGCAGTCTATCAAAGAGATGATAGATGGATCTAGGTACGATGCCCTGATGCTCTGGATCTGCAACCGCCTCCAAGCCGGTGCCCATCGAATAAGTTTTTCCAGATCCCGTCTGCGCAAAGTCGCGAAGAGCTTTAGACTTTTGCTCGACAAGTAATGACAGATCAAGCTTGATCTACTCATCAAGAGGTGTCGCACCAATACCATTGCTTACCTGTCCATATGCTAATACAGTTGCATTAAATCCCTCTAAAAATCTGTCGACGAGAGGCTTTACACAATCCCGGTACACCTCCTCCTGCGTACTAGCCGTATCGAACACATGGTCAAAGGTGAAGGCCTTTTGTTGATGCTGTGGTAAAGAGGCCATCGACGTCGAAAATCCAAACGAGGTATCCGCTCCACCACCGCCAGTCGGTCCTATTGTTACCTGAGGTATTCCGACGCCCATGAAGCTGATACATTCTTGAGCATTTGCAAGAACTTCTTTTGCATTGAGGGGCCGGACTCGAAGCGCGACTTTGACGGAGGTGGAAGCCATTGTATATCCAGAGGGAGAGAGTGTATGAGGGAGGGCAGTGTTTGGTATACGACAAAGCAATAGCAAGTCAAGTTGCTACAGAACCGTCAAATGCCGGTCTGTGCTGTACGACCACTCGTCTTAACGGACCGGTCGTGGAAAGTCACAACAAATCCTTTCTAATTCTATAGCGTCCAAAGGGCACCCTGCGTCTAACAGCTTTTTTCGTCCTTTCACTCGGATGTCTCGTCCATTGACTCGTGTGCCTTGCGATTCAAGCGGTGTCCCAAAATACTCCAAAATGGCAACAAGCTGTGAGATAATGTCCCCCTCTGGGCATGCAGCTCTCGTCTCCGTAATTTCCACCCCCAAGGATCACCACCAACGAACAAGCCGATATTCAACGTGTCCGAACACTTTCGAACGTGATGTTTACGGGAATACAAAATAAATGACTGTGCCATACCGGAGCTCAAAGTCAAATTGGAACACTTTAAACGTTTTTTGTTATTTGGGTGAAGAGTGAATGCAAAATGAGTGTTCATGAGCATTGAACCAATGGTAGCAAGTAGAGAGAGAGTTATTCAGATGGATATTCTGTGTGTAGCGGTGGATGAACACTTTGTTGCTGCCAAGAAACAAGATCCACATCTAAACGAGTGCCATCAATGGTGAACCCAATCAACAAACGTGTTGGACTTGTGTGTCGTCCTCCCCAAAGCGTCAAATATGTTTAAAATGGAGAAACATCTTCCACCATTCCAAGGCATGAACTTCAATGCAGCGCAAGAGTAGAAAAAGAAAGCTGATGATCAACGAAAGGTCCCACCGAGAATCGAACTCGGGTCGCAGGATTCAGAGTCCTGAGTGCTAACCGCTACACCATGGAACCACGGGGCATCTTGTCGACGCAAAGGCATCTCCATTTGGTGTTTAGCCAAACGATGAGAATCCAATCAGCAATTGTTCCCTATCTCATGAATTCCTCCTTCCCGGATCTTGCGAAACCAAACTGGCAGAGGAACGACATTGCATGGAGTATTAAGTGTACCAACTGCTGGCTCTTCCGGTGGTCATGTAAATTCCAACTTTACTATAAAACAAGAAGCCTCGTAAACCTCCGTCAAATCGCATGCCCTCGATACTCACCGACAACTTGACCTACTGAAGATCCAAATAAACCTCCTTCAAAATCATGTGGAAGCTACATTTACGACTCAGTGAAAGGCAGTTGCGATTGGGCAACTTGCAGACGGGCGCTTCCCAATCAGATAAGTGTTCCGTCCTCTTGAAGCAAATCAGTCGGAGGTCGGTCTAGTGCTTAGAATCTTAAATCCGATTAGAATGCACTAAAAGCTGCAATTAAACCAAAATAGGAAAGTGGAGGTGGCGTTGTCGCAAGTCACCAAGCGATGAACAAACTGGTGCTGGTGCCTGCTTGTGACCCAGTAGGACAGAATCACATTTGAACACATCATTGGCATTTGCAAAAACTACCCATTGAGCGGTGATTTGGACATGAGCACATGAACACCTCTTAGAACTTTTTCTCTTGTACGTATCGGTTGCACTGGCTAAAGTGTCGAACAAGTAGCCTTCCCGCCCACTCTATTACTCAGCGGCAACGTCAAACAGCCTTGCTTTTCCGTGAGATATTCCCAATCTTTCATTCCCGATGGCCGACACGGGCTATCGTCCAAGGGAGCCGCCGCGCATTCTGAACAGGAATGCTAATGGCTTCTTTGACCCTGCGGCCGCGGATCCACCACCGGCAACACCTGAAAGTAGTAGGAGCCGAGAAAACGTTTACCCGTCCGTTGCTGCTCGTATCCCCACATCCAGAAGTAAAAGTAGAACGAGGGATCCCAACAAGTAAGAATGCCTTATTTGTCTTTGTTGAATCTTTAAAAGCCTTGACCAGAATCCACACTCTCCGCGGGTCACAGTCCCAATTCCCCATTATACAGTCCCAACTCCCCACTCAGCCCAGTGCCCCCGCCTTCCCGTTACTATCAATCCAGCAGCACTGGCAGTAGTCCGCCCCGTTCTCGTCGACCATCCGAGGATAGCTATGCAAATGGTAACCGGCGACCGCCACCAGAAGGCGTCGTGTCAGTGTATGAGAACGATCGCGAGCGACGACGGCCATCAGCAGACTCTGGCTCATCACGTTCAAGTCCTAATTCGTCTCGACGTCCCAGCCTCAGTGGTGACCATCCTCCTCGCAATGGCTCATTGTTGAGATCAGGTAGTGGGGCCAGTATAGGAAGTCGAAGCGGCAGTGATGAGCAGCTGCTCCGCAGCGCGACGACGAAATCCTCGACCAGAAACTACGGAGAGCGTGAGCGGGATTATGATTCTGGTCCTTCCCGATCTTTTACTACCAGGGAACCATCTTCGCGTGAAGGAGAGCGCGGCCGAGAGAGGGAGACTGAACGGTCTCGTACACGGGAGAGCCCTCTAAATCGCGCTTCAGAACGTATCCCTGACAAACTAAGTAGACTTGCAGCAGCACCGTCGAATAGACATACCACGGAACCCGCATCGGCATCAGCATCAGCGAGCTTTGATGATATGCTCAAAGCCTTGGATGACTTACACACCAAGACCGCAGCGAATCCACCGCGCTCATCCCCTCTACCACCGGAGACCGCGAATGACCGAGGCTCGGATAGACCGAATAGCGGTCGAGCATCTAAAGACTACGAGCTAATGACGGCTAGCTTGGACCAGCTGATAGACAACACACGCAAATCCGTGCCTTCATCGGCCACTGGGACACTTGGAAGGGAGGCTGAGCGGAGAGAACGAGACAGGCAAAGAGCAAAGGAAAAAGAACTTGAAATCCAGCGCGAGAAGGAAAGAGAGAAGGAGTTGGAGAGGGAACGAGAAGTGGACAAGGAACGGGAGAAAGAAAAGGCGAGGGACCGGATCAGGGAGAAAGAGAGGGAAAAAGAACGTGGAAGGCAGCGTGAGCGCGACGAGATCTTGGTAGCGGAGCAGGCTGATGCTGAAAAAACCGCCCAAGCGGACAGAATGGAAGCCCGGGAGGTGCAGCGGAAACGCAAAGAGCAGGAACGTATTGAGGCGGAGCGTCGAGACGCCGATAGGAGAGAATTGCAAATGATTGCAGAAGCTAGACAGCGAGAAATGGCGGCAGATAGACAAAGGGATGCTACCAGAATCAGGGAACCCGATGGTCGTGCCGATGAAAGTGTAAGGAACTTTTGAGTTGCTCGCTGCGACCTTTGTACTGATCCTATAAACATTTTCAGATCATCGTACGCGACTATGTTAGTGCGTTGATGATGACCCTCCGCGCCGACACGAGTTACCCAAACCCCGATGATTTCGCTACTCCAGACGGTTATGCAATATGGGAGGACACACTGGGCATGAGCTATTCTGAAGTTCTTTGTGAGCTCCTCAAAGCACGATTCATTGATAAGAAAGGGAAGCAGGAAAAGAAAGAGAAGTCTCAGGAACCAACCGTCATACAGCTTTTCTTTAAAATTGTCGAAGCCCGCGGACTCGTAGCCAAAGAAGGCCGAAGCCGTGATCCGTACTGTACTATTGAGCATGGCAATATTCCAGATGATGGAACCGAAGAAGCGCGAAAAGCGGACAAGGAGCGCAAAGACAAGGAGGTTCTGCAGACTGACACCATTAAGGGCACCACGAATCCGAGATGGAACGAGCACGTGAATATCCCTGCTAAAGCGCTGACGGATAAGGTGATGGTGTCCGTGTATGATCGTGCAAAGGAGCAGTTCTTGGGTCGCGTCAAGATTCCGTTTAGCGAATTGATACCAATAGCGGCCAGGGATGGCTATGTAAAGAAATGGTTCCGACTGACTGGATTGGGCAAGAAGGAGAAGGATAAGTACGTGGGTGGAGAAATTTTGATCGAAGCAGCAATCAAAGACGATGGAACCTCAGGGGTATGTGTTCTGCGTAACTGAGCATGTGGTTGCTCTCCTCACCTGTTTCGTGTTCTACCATCACGTAGCCTAGTGCCAAGCGTCCCAAGCAGGATCCAATTGCTGCTCTGCAATCTGCCATATCTGCAACGGATCTCGACCTTCGCGCCTTATACAGAACCCTCCTCCGAGCGTGCTTGATTTTGGATATGAACATGCTTGGAAAACAAATCAATGAGAAGACACAGCGTCTACTTTCAGAGGAAAGCAAAGCCCTTTTAACTATCCTTGGACGAACGTGGGGATTGAGCGAGGCCTTCATGGTTATGGCGTACCTTCAATTGCTGTTTGAAAAGTACAAAGTGTATGAAATTCCGCAGAGTGCCCTTCTTGACGCTTTTGAAACCCTAAAGGAAGATCTCAAGAAACGCGGATGGCTGAGCGAATATGAGGTGCAGTTCATTGGTTTATTTGTTTAGGCTCAAAGTGCTTACTGGCATTATTATTGACTTGTTCAGAGACCCGCCGTCCTTGAGCTTTTGGCGGATATGGACGAATATTACCGAACACAGATCACAAAATACAAGGAGTTTTTCCCTGAAAATAAGCCTAAGCAAGCTCTCGCTACCACCATTCTTATGCTCCGTATGATCTTCAAGAATCCGCTCTATCGACAGAGTCATCCTGATAAACCAGAAAGCTTCCGTGATGAATTGCGCGGTATGCTCACGGAAGCCGCCATCGCCAGATACGAAAAGCTGAAGGAGTTGACTACACCCTTTGACACGAATGATTTGGAAGCGGTTATTGAGGGAATCAACAAACTAGCGGAGATGGTATCTGAAGAGATCGAAGCTGATGGAAAATGGTATAGAAAACCATTCGAAAAGTGAGTATCAATTTGAAAAGCCGTCATCGTTTATAGCACTAACGACGTGATTTAGGGAACTGGATATAGTCCGACTAACGGCGGAAAACTATCTCAAATACTTTGTACTGACGTTGGAGAGCGCGTCGGAAGACATGGCGTCTGATGTAGCCGTGAAGTCTGCTAGCAAAAGTGTGTTTGAGTTGTACAAACGGGTCAGAGTCATGGATGAGCGTTACGCCAAAATGGTTCCTGGGTACGTATCTTACAGGACCTGCGATATGGTGATTTCTTGGCAACGTCCAATATTCACGTTTACTGTTTTTATCAGACTCAAACGTATGTCGATGAATGCGGGCTTCAATGTTGAGAGATGGTTTGCCCCGTTCGTGCAAAAATGGCTGGAACACCTCAGCGATCGCACATTGGAATGGGTTTCTAACGCTGTGAAGGCGGATAACTTTGAGCCTCTTGCGGACGGTGTGGGACAAGGACAACATCATAGTAGCAGTGTGACAGATCTCTTTTCTGCTGTATACCAGGAACTGGCCTTTATTAATGATCTCGGGTGGAGTGATCGGGTACAGAATGCTGGCTTTATGCAAGGTTTTGCAAAGGTATGTTCCGTGGCTCTTCATGGTTCCTATACTACAGGCAACTGAGCCTCGTTCTTTTAAAGTCCGTCAGCAAGGCCATTGAGCAGTACTGCGATGCTATTGCCTTGGGTGAGATTAAGGCCGACTCAGCAGGAACGGCTTGGCAAGGATTGCTTCAGACAGCAGCTAACGTTGGTGCCATCGGCGGCAAATTTGGAGCAAATGGACCTCGCGATATTGCCAACGAGGTAAGAATGTCCAGTGTTTTACGTCAGTCTCCACGGCTGCTACTAATCGGTTAAATGTTTGTCCAGTCCTGTGTAAAGCTCTGTAATATCGAGTATGCAATGTCCAAGCTCGATGATATGTACAGAGTGATGAACGTACAGGAATTGACCAGTATCATACGACGACATCGGGCTGCGATGGCTGCAGAGAATGGATCATCAGCGGTCTCATCTGAGGATAACGAGATGACCGTTAAGGGTGCATTCAAGATTCAGTTGTCTTACGCAGAGAACCTGAAGCCGTGCAACAAGAACGGGCTGGCGAATCCGTACTGTATTGTGAGAGTCCCAGACGGTACTGTTGTCCCTGTCGAGGAACCTCCCAGCATGTCACCATCTAGTGTGCGTGCTTCATCCACCAGCTCGTCATCAAGGACAAGTACGGGATCAAGCAGCGCGGGACCGACTGTTTTGAACGGCATTCAATGCGAACTGGCACGTTCCCGCGCAGTTAGTGACACAATCAACCCAACTTGGGATGAAACATTCCAGGTCATCTTGCCACCGGTGACGAAATTAGAAGTTGCTGTTCTTTCCAAGAACATGCTCACAGCAGATGAGATTGCTGGTAAAGCTGTTGTGGATCTGTCTCGCGGCACGCGGTTGAGGCGTAAGCTTGGTGATCATCAAACGCATGATGTATATGTCGAAATGGAGCCACAAGGTCGTGTGCTCGTGCGGTTTACGATGGAGGGCGCGGACGAGGACGTTGATTTCTGGTTTAGGAGGAGCAAAGAGAAGTTGGGGAGAACCAGGGATGATTTTGTCAGAGCTTTGACTGGAAAGGTGAGCATTGTCCACAAGGGCGACAAACAGGCGTTGAAAAATTCTGACAAAGTACTTTTACCAGATCATCCCCTACGCAAGAGAAGAGATTTTGAAGATTATCAAATCTCACGAAGCTGCGCCTTTACCTTCCAAATCCTTCTTCTCGTCCCTCACCACTGCTGTTCAGTATTCTGACAAGACAGCATCCGGTGCATCGATTGACGAGCGCGTCAGTGTCCAAGACGCGGACGCGGCGCTGGAACCTCTCACAGAGTACCTGAACAAAAACCTCGGTACTTTGGCCGACTATCTCTCGGAGCGCATGGCACAAGAAGTCATCCGACGCTGTTGGGATGAGGTCGTATCCATCATTGAATGGTCACTTATCCCTCCACTGTACGGCCCTATTGAGCGGGACCGTCGCGTCCTTAATAGACGTCAAACTAGTATGGCCACATCCATCCTCCGCATCCTCAAAGAATTCTTTTACGCCGACGGTCAAGGTGTACCCCTTCGTATGCTGGAAACCCGTAAGCACAAATACCTAGAGTCTCTCTTAGACCAGTACCACGCCGACATAGGACGGCTGAAACGGGAATATGAGTTGGACTTGTTAAAAGGACGCGACCGAGAAGTCATCCTACGATTGGTCCGAGTCAAGGTTGAGAAGGAATTAGATGGCACTAGTGCGAATGAAGAGCGGGAAGAGGGCCGCAAGTGGATTGAAACGCAGCTGGCAAGACGGAAGGAATTGGTTAGACGATGATGATGTGCGTGTTGTGAATGGGCAGGAGGGATTTTTGTAATTTTTGTCTTTTTTTTCGTCGCATGTTCTATGTAGTAGTAGTAAGGGCTGGGCCGATTGTATTGGATCCAGAATTTATTAGGAGATTCTTATGGTCTACTGTAGCGGTTTATATGTGCTCATTTTATATGGAGCAGTTTTATCATTTTACGATATTCAGTGGTTGAACTTAGCAATTATCGATTTGGTTGTAGGCCGCAAGCCTTGGTTCTATATAGAAGCATGAATTTTTACCCCTGCAGGGGAAATTACTGGTTCCATGGTGTAGCGGTCAGCACTCAGGACTCTGAATCCTGCGACCCGAGTTCGATTCTCGGTGGGACCTTTGGTATGTTGTGCGCCGTATTTTTTTTGAATGCCTAAAAGTGATATTCCTCGTTCAGTTTGCCAACGACTTGCGTTTTGTATTGATCCTCCTTGCCTACATTGTGTATAGTGCTAGGGAGCTGGATTGAGCCAGCTTCGTAGCGTTTGCAAAGGGTGTCGAAGAAAGCCGCGACACGGAGTTACTGCGCTCCCAATTTTCGTGGAGTTTTGAAAGACCCAGTGCGCAGTAGGCAAACAGCTTGTTCAACATCATTGCCTTCCACCCAGAGGGAAATCCCCTCTGGTACACCTCCCGCCTCTTTTCCTAGAGCATTCCTTTTAGAGTCATGTCAGAACCAGCAGAGCAACTAGAGCAGCTGCTCCCCACACCAGCACAAACACCCGTGGGGTCCCCAAATCGACTAGCCAGAGGCGCACAACAACCTTTGGATTCAAACAGAGTATCACTCTATTGCACTTGGTGCTTGCGCATAGCAGTTGTGCTTACTTTTGGGAGCTTGTTAGTACGGTTATTTCAAGTTGGGTTTGGCAAGTACTCACTGCTGCTTGGTACATGCGTCGGTTGTTATGGCCTTCGAACTCATTCTTTTGACAATGCAGTTGGTAGATATCGAGGCTCGTGCGACCCAGCGTTGGCCGACGGTCATTGGGAAGGATCGCCATCACCTAAAGCAACATGGCTCCCCAATTCATGTTACCTGCATCCGTATACTCGAAAAGAAACCACCACATGCCTTGCGAATTCACGAGTCGTCTTTGCGGGTGACTCGACGGCTCGGGATGTGTTCAATGCTTTGCGAGAGAAGATTGGGGCTGATATAGAACAACCTGACAAGCACGCGGATGTGTTTGTTAAAACCAAGGAAAATATCGAAATGCAGTTTTACTGGGACCCTTTTTGGAACCGGACCGATGTGTTGAGCAAAGAGCAGCATTATGGTGGACGCAACGAAGGTGGATACGAGCATGTGAATGCCTTGATGGTTTTCTCGGCTGGACACTGGTTCATGAAGCATATGGGAGAAAGTGGGTACGGCCAATTTGGACACGCTTTGGACGAAATCTTGGATATGGTGGCGTCCCGGGGACATGAAAAAGGAGCCATTGCGGACATGGTTGTCGTGCGACCTGTGAATCCCGTCATTCCCGCTAAACTGATTCCAACTCGGCGAGCGATCTCAAGGAGCAAGGTGGATGCTTACAATGCCTATCTACGGAAAGTGATTGGACAACCACGGGTGATCGAGGATATACATGTCCCGGAGTACGTGGAAGCGCTATACAGGACAGCGGCACAGCATACCGCGGATGGACTACATTATGATAAGAGGGTGCTGTTGAGCGAGGTGGAAATGTATCTTAATAGGCGATGCAATCCCATTTTGTTTGCCAAAAGCCCGGCGGGGAAGGCGACGTGCTGTGTAAACTACGCCAGCATTGGACGGAGGCAATGGGCCACTGTTTTGGGCCTCGGCTTTGTGGGGTGTTTAGGATGGGCTTGGCGCTCCTTTGGGTCAGCGAGTCAGGGAGATCGGTCCCGTTTGAAAAGACTGATGGAGGTGGGCTTACCAAGTGTGGATCTGTCCAAGGATTTGGCAATCCTGGCGTTGGGTCTCCTATACATGCTCATCGTCGACCGAACCGCCTATCTCCCCAAAATCAACAAATTCTTTTCCATGCCCGCCTTTACGTTCCTCACCCTCCTCTACCTCGTCCCTGGATTCCTTTCTCTCACACCCCGAAAGGACACAACCTTCCTCTCCCGCTATCAAACCGATGAGTGGAAAGGGTGGATGCAACTCGCTATCCTCATCTACCACTACACAGGCGCGAGTTCGCAACCCGTTATTTACGCCTTTATCCGGTGCTGCGTAGCTGGATATCTCTTTATGACCGGATACGGTCACTTTATCTATTTTTACACCAAAGCAGAGTTTGGAATTAAACGGGTTGTTAATGTCATCTTGCGATTGAATCTATTGAGCGCATTAATGGCGTATACGATGGACAAGGACGTTTTATTTTATTACTTTGGACCAATGGTGTCGGTGTGGTTTGGTGTTGTCTACCTTACGATGAGGATTGGACGGGCATGGAACAATCGTCCCGGGTTTGTCCTGGGCAAGATTTGCGCATCCGGCGTGCTGTGTGCGATTTTGATGCAGGAATGGTTTTTTCAACCTTTCTTTAGTGTTCTTGGTGCCGCAACGGGTGTCGAGTGGGACGCGCGGGAGAGCGTGTTCCGTTTGGCCTTGGATCGGTGGATTGTCTTTGTGGGGATGGGTGTGGGTTTATGTGTTCGTTATTTTAAAAGTGGTGCCGTGGACGTGGCGAGGTACCGGACACATGCCATCTGGATATCTGTTGCTGCTCTGGCCGCCTACACCCTATTTGTCGCTTTCCTTCAGTCGAAATTCGTCTATAACAGCTACCACCCTTACGTGTCCCCTATCCCCGTGGTAGCTTACACGATCCTCCGAAACAGCCCCATCCTTGCTTTGAGAACCAGTGCCTTTTTTGAATGGATCGGCAAGTTCTCGCTCGAACTCTTTTTGGTTCAGTACCATGTTTGGTTGGGGGTGGATACAAAGGGACTTGTGGGACTTGGATGGGGTGGGAAATGGACAGGGTTCCTTGTTCTGGGGGTGGTGTTTTTTGGGGTAGCATACACTTTGGAGGGGATTTCTGGGAGGCTGGTCAAGGCTTTGGCGACGGGAAACTGGACAAGCGCTTTGGGGAGAACCGCGCTGGCATTGGGGGTTATGATTTTGATGAACTGGACTTGATGAATGTTGCGTAGACTAGATATGGGATTGTAGCTTAATTTAGTGTAGAGGTGACAGAAACTGGCACTAGCTACTACACCAGGGGATAGACTGGCGACAACCCGGTTCGGAAAAGCCAAGTAATTCCCTCCTTACAACCAACCAACTACTACTAGGCCCAATGACACATGCAATACATAATGGTTGTTCTAACCGGGTAACTAAGCCCACCACACGAGAGAAATCCTACTAAGCCCTTGATTCCGAAATTCTTTAGTCGGAGGATGTTCAGATACTAAGGTAGATCAGAATTAGACTGGGAATACACATGGGAAAATACAAAGATAATGCATACCTGCAATCGTTGCAGCATAGTAGTAGCAGCATTTACAAGGGGTTATGTTGTATTTGTCAGGAGGGCGAGGTCCTCGGCACCAGAGTGGCATTCTCATGGTGGACTGAGATGTGTTGGGCAGATGCTTGTGTCGAGGGATAAAGAAACAAGAGGGAAGAGGGACAAGGGGGGGTTTATATAGAAAACTGAGTGGATATATTGAGTCATGGGAGCGTCATGCAGGTGGCAACTGCAGAATATTCCTCTCATAGATGGCTGCAAGGGATAGTAATTGCACCATTCATGGCTGCACATATTGGACCCATTTTTCATGATGGAGCATCTCTGTGGGCATAGTTCATTTACCTAAATCGAGGGAGGCATCTTGCATTTCATCTCATTCGATCCAGATAGATGCAGTCTGTCACAGTCTTTTACACACACGATGTATTTACGAACTGGACATTTACTGATTAATAAGTAACTGAGATGAAATTGATCATGGCCCCAAAGGGCCGAAATCAATCTTAATGATACCAGATCCGATGCAAACGATATCACAATCCATCTTCAACAGATTTTCAACATGCTCCGCACACACCCGCCTCAGGATATTGTCGTCACCTACGGTCCGGGCCACTTGAACTCCAAATATATACCAGATGATCCTCAGCACGAATCAGTCTATCGAATGGTTCAAGAAGATATCCCTGAACCACTCTTCAAGTCCAAATATAATGGAAAGATTTTGAAGTCCGCTGGTATGTTAGGACTTTGTGGGTAACATATTTGTGATCGCTAAAGATTTGAGATATAGAATCGTTTCCGCGACTGGCAACGGACAGTGGGGAATGTCCGAATGTGCCTAAAACGGTGCCGGTGACCTCCACCGGTTTGTACATTACACCTGGCAGCAAAAGTGGACTAAATGAGAGGCAGAAACCTGTGGGTAGCCCTGGGACGAATGCGGTTAAGAGTGAGAGTCATTCGAGGTTTTGGCCAAGTTCGTGATGTTATATCTTTACGATTTTGTACATAGAATCTAAGATCCCGACCCGCACCCTCGATCGCAGCACGCCCACAAACCCAAACCCACGCAGCGCCCCCGCAAACTCAAACCCACGCAGCATCTCGGCGAACACAACTCCACGCCGGACACCCATCCAAAATAAAGCACGCACAACACCACCCCGCAAAACACCTCTCCAATCTCGTACTCCAATCAAATCACTTCCCAAAAAGCCACCCACTCCACCACCCGCCTCTCCACTGGAGCTCTTGAAAAGACGACACAAGAAGCTCGAAGGATTGTATATGAAGCTGCCCATTGCGAGCGATGTGCCCTCTGCGATCCGGAGGTTCGTATCTGTTAGCATTTCAGCCTATCCCTAACCCCAAATCTAATTCTAAATTGATATAGGAAAGTGGGGTTGGAAAAGGAGCTTGAGGAGCTTGAACGAGAGATCGCGAGATTGAACATGGTGCAGTGATTGGAACGGTTCCCTTGGACGTGATCAAGGTTCGGCGTGTTTGCTCACATGTGGGCGTTGTACGTTCCGTGAAGTCGTGACAGGCTTGGGTCCGGAACAAGATGACAATAGTAAATAATAATCATTTTATTTATCGTCGTCATTCCCTCTAAGATAAAATGTATGCAACATGCATTCTATTGTAAATATGGATGTTCGGTGTCATTCTGTCAATTAGTGCATATATGCAATAATCTGGACGTTATTCTATCCTCTATTCTCTACATGATCAGGACACTGTGATCTGACAAGTTCTCTAAGCCATGGTTGTGATGTTGGGCAGGAAACTTGTGTGGGGTTGGTGGAGGTTGCGTGCCAGATGGTGCAGTCCTGTGATCATGCGTAGAAGGCGGGTGGTACGTGGGATGGCTTGGGACATGATAGGAATGAGTAGTCACATCAGGAGAAGGCCCGTACATTACAACCTCCTTGCATGTATTCTCTTCATGATTTGACGTAGGAAGGTCAACGCCTTTGGGTGCAGGTGAACCCATGATTCGCGGACGGAAATACTTTGGATATCGTCGCACGAGGGTAAGGAAGACGTCTAGGGCACCTTCACCCAAGAAGAGGAATTGAAGGACGATCCAGCGGAGTGCTGGAGAGGATATCGTTTCTGTCGCAAAGTCTAAAGACCCTGGTCAATGACCGGCTCGCCAGCGTATATCAGGAAAGGACATACCAACGTTCCCGACTCGTCTTAGCCCAGCCATCAATGATGCAAGAAGGAGGCAATCGACAAAAGCTGGAATAAGCCGAGGCATGACTGGCAGAAGGGCTTTGATGACTGCTTGAACGTCTGATAGCATGAACTCTCTCAGCGACAAAGAATGGGACACTACGAATGAGTTGAGCAGAGGAACGAGTTTTTATCCGCCTATACATGACGCCAAAACCATGTAGCTCACTGCCGATACTCAAGGAAACAAATTGAAACGCCTCCACTTTTACCGCTAGGGACGAGAGTGTGCAAAAAACCTGCAGCTTTTGACGCGTTGAAAGCTGATTACGTACGCAGTGTTCTCCACCAAATTCATCTTAAGACCACTAACGATACCCACTACTATTTCGACTTTGGACGGCAGGCCGTTGCCACCGGCCACTTGCATTGGAAGGTTGGAGTGCAAAATAAAGGAAATTGAGAGTGGAGGTCCCAAGAGACGGAATCTGGGAATAGAACAGTAGTTGGCTCTTTTTTCGTCGATGGGCTTCCCGTTTTTTTTTTTTTTTTTGATGCTTTCCGGGGTTAGGCCCAGGGTTTAATTGAAAACATACAGTGTTCTGAGCTGGTATGTCACAGCACCACACTTGCTCAGGTTCAAATCGACGACCGTCAATAGAAACGGGAATACCCTGGCCATCCCGCACATTGTTTGGAGCTGTAGTCAAGTTGCATGCAAAGATCCACTCTATCAAGGTGAACAACTTTTTCTGTAGATATTTTAAGCGCATTCCTAGCGTAGATGGACACCCGTCCCAATTTTTTAATGGTGTACAGTACATGGAAAAGAAGATGCACGAGTGAATCTGGCATCAAGGCAATATGCTTACAGCACGTACAGCAGGCTAAAAGCGAGGGTTAGACTTACCAAGTGATTAGCGTCGCCGCTTTAGTATGCTCCCATCTCTGAGTACAACCTCAGAGTACAACTTTTGGCGCTGAACGAGTTGAGCATGGATGTGTGTAATGAAGGACCGACATGCAGGCGTTTAAAGACTATGCCAGAGTTTGAGCACCTGCCCTTTGTTATTTTGGGCATTTTCAATGATGCTGCAACCCATAACATTTCACAAGAGAATCCTTGACGATGAAATGCAATGGTCGTTTTGTTTATACTTGTACGATCACGTGGATTCTTGTCGCCAAATGGAACACCTTCCGAGTGTAGGATCGACACTCCGCTTCTGCGTAACCAGTTCTTTCTTTGCAGGATACCCGCCAGACTAGAGACATTTTCGGTTCGCTACTTTGCGTCCGCAAGCGTCTGGCTAGGCAAAACCGAGTCTGGACAGACTTTACCAAGTTGTTTGACGAGGCGGAGTTTGTAACCTGAAGTGATGACTGGTAAGCCGCCGAAGCGCCTCCGTATGCAACCATTGTTCTGACAGAATGGTCGCCTGGTAGAGGGAGCACTCCGCAAGCCAAGTTACAAGCATAGACCGTTCAATGCAGTCACATCTCGCAACTCAACAACGCTCTGAACCATGACCACACAGCATGTTTCCGCCACGACCTACACACACCGCCCTACCCGGGCTCAAAGTACATTACCCCCGCTCCCAACCAAGAAACAACAGCGCTCCCACTCCGTTATTATACCCCTCGCGCTCTGTGTAGCCATACCTTACCTTCGGAGGATGCCGCTAAAGGGACGCATGGAAGGCTGGCAGTTTTTCCTGGTGTTGCTTGCTGTGGCTTTCGTTGGGGGCGCTTGGAGTTGGGGGTTTGGGTGGAGGAAGGGCGAGGGGATGGAGATAAAAGACGGGAAAGAGGGGGAAAGTGAGGATGAGAGGAAGCCGTTGTTGGAAGAGGAAGAAGAAATTGTGAAGCCGAGCGGGAAGGCGCCGGGAGGGGATGAGGATAAGGCTGAGAGATGCTCCAACCTTGATTCCTCGCTTTGCCCAAGTTCAGAAGCAGACATAATTACACCGACACCTCTTTCTAAATCTATGACAGATGCGACCATCGAGGAGCATCTGCAACAAGGCAACATAGCTTCCGTCATCAGCAATGTGTCAACCATTAACGAGGACAAGATTGTAGAGAAACCTCGTGCTGGAAACGAGTTTGCTTTAGAAGGTAGAACCAAACCCCTCAATATTCTCTCTACTTGGGGTTTTAATCGTGCTGTTGGTTACCAATCTAGGACCCACATTTTCGATGGGGCGCAAGTTAGAACAGGTTCCACCTGCGTTGGACCGAACTGAAAGTTTCTCTGACGACTTTTGGAAGTCGGTTGGTCTCGAGACGACACCACCTACAGAAGATCGTGTCCATGATTTAGAGGTAGAGATAGAAAAGGAGAGTGAGGTGGTGAAACCTCCTGAAGAACGTGTCCCTATTGATGATGACCAGTCGGATCAAGCTTCCTCTGTAGAGCAGAAATCTGATGAGGATCTTGGAGATGATACCACGGAACAGATGGTTCCGACCACTCCGCGCCGATCAAGTTACCGTCCACTACCACCTTTACCACCAGATACCCCTTTGTCACATGAAAACGCACCAAAGGTCGAGCGTGACCCAAATAGTGATCGACGTCCCAGTCGCGGACATCGTAAAGAACTGCCGTCACCCCCGACTGGTCCCACCCCAACGGCGTCTCATACTGACCTCACATCTGACACCACCCCTCCCCTCCTCCCCACATTCTTGGACCTCCACAATCAAAACCTACCGGCCCTTCCACCGCTCTCTCAAGCCCACTGCAGAGCCCTTACCCGTCTGATTGTAAACCATAATCGTCTGACACAACTCCCAGACGCGGCTCTGGAACTCATGTCCGGTCTCCGCGTCCTCGATGTATCGGATAATGCGCTTGGGAATGTGCCTTCTGGATTGCGGTTCTGTAGAGAGCTAAGGGAGGTTTATTTGAGTGGAAATGGGATTGAGAGGATTGGGCCTGGGGACTTGGACGGATGTGTCGGGGTGGAGGTGTTGGGGTTGGCGCGAAATGGTCTTTTTGAGATCGGTAAGTTGAATGAGCATGTGATGAATGGCCGTGTGGTGGGGTTTGGAACTTAAAAGCTTTCACTTTTGCCAGCACCAAATGCATTTAAAAATCATGTGAATCTCCGCTTCCTGGATATATCCTTTAACCGTCTCCGCACCTTTCCCGCCTCGCTCGGCCTACACTCCTCTACTCTTCAAAAGCTCGTGTTAGACGACAATCCCATCGAAACAAGCCTCTTCCCCCTCATCCAACCCCTCCTCACCATCAATCCCTCATCCCAACCGCGGCCACCCCTCCGCGCCCGTCAAAGTTCAGGGAATTTCAAGGCACTTCTGTCCAGCATGGGACGAAAGCGAGAGGGGTCTGTTGGGTCTTTTGAGGAGAGTGTTGAGGAGGAGGAAGGTGATGGGCGAAGTATGACGAGCTTTGATAGTGGAGTAGCGGATTTGAGGGGAAGTTTGGTGAGGAGTCGAACGGCGATTGACGAAGGTAGGTCAGCGAGTTTGATGAGGCTCTTGACTATATTGTTGACTCTGGTCATATAGATTTCCGCACGCCCGAAATTGTTCCACGATCGTCTGTTAGCGAAACTAATGTCTTGGCTGCAGCCGGCCGTTCCAACAGCATTGCATCCCGAATTGCTTTGCGCCGCCTTCTGAATTATCTCCGGGACGTATGGGACATTAGCCTTGCCGAACAAGCGTCCCGCAAACTTCTCGCCACGACGGTCGCGTCCCCAGTGACGGAAGTGGAACGGTGCCTTGTCCCCGACGAATATGAGGAGGAGGATGAGGAGGACAATGATTCGACACGGACTCCTGGCTCCGAGTCACCTCCTTCAGATTCACCCCCTGTGCAAAAGAAGGCTTACTCTCCTGAGCGACGACGGCAAATTGCGAATGAGATTTTGTCGACAGAAAGGACATATGTGAAGGAATTGCAGGGACTGGTGGATGTTTATGTTGGGCCGTTGAGGGAGGAGGGAGTATTTGGAGAGCGGGAGTTGGGCGTTGTGTTTGGGAACGTGGAAAAGCTCTTGGAGTTTCACAAGAGGTGAGTAGTCTGGGTTGAACGGTTGGTTAGTTAGAATGAGGACTGACCGCGTACATCTCCTATAGTCACCTATTACCAGACTTTATCGCCAAAGCAGCTGACTCTACTCAACCGCTGGGCTCTGCGTTCCTGACCATGGGCCCTTACCTAAAAGCCTATCAGTCCTACTACAACAATTATGACTCTGCCAATGCATTTATCACCCATCTGGACGCTCTCAGTTCTTCATCTTCTTCGATAACATTGACTCAAGCACCAACACCGGCACCCCCTAAGCCGGCGGCGACAAGCGAAAAACCCAAACACGTCTCAAAACGATACAGACTCTTTTGCCAAAAAGCGAAAACAAGTCCTGCGCACGGTCCGCATCTCAACCTCCAATCGTGGCTCATTCTCCCTGTTCAGCGGTTACCCCGGTACAAACTCTTGATTGACGCCTTGTTGAACGCGACCCCGCCTACGCATCCAGATTTTGCGGCATGTCAAGAGGCTGCGTCACTTTTATCCAGAATGGTCCGGGAATGCAATGAATCTAAACGGGAATTTGAAGCCCTCGAAGGGGGATTAGGTGTCCTTTCTCGACTTCGGGTCAAGAAATTCAGCGTAGGAAACTTGGAAGTCAGTTGTAAGGACGCCAAGATGATGTGGGGGGGTACACTCCGAGTCCTCAAGTATGTGTGTAAGCCCACGGATTCATTGGACTTTATCACTGTGGTTGGAAAACGGAAAGTTTTTCCCGAACGGATTGGATCTCTTATGGAGATGCGAGTCAATAAACGTCGGAAGAAGCCAAAACAAGATTCCGATCGCATTCTTACATTGTTGGCTGAACACGGTCTCATTTCCACTACCCACGGCCAAGACTTTTCGTTTCACGTTATTGGGTCCCGCTTCTTTTGGTGTCGGGCTCATAAAGACGATACTGATCTCGACCTTGTTAAGTCAGTTGATGTGGATCGAATTTGGTGTGGAATGGTGTTCGCAGAGGGCGGTGTGGGGTGTGTGAGGGTGTGGGATGAGGGTGGTGTGGTGTATTTGGCTGGGAAGGATGTAAAGGCATTTGTGAAGGCTTTAGAGGGGGCTGGGGCGGCAGTGGGCGGGAGGTAAATGTAGTATATATCATTTCTTCAGTTTTTATTTTTCTCATTATATGTGTTCATTTCATTTTTTCTTTATATTTTGTGTATGTGAAATTGCGTTTGTGATAATGCCAACCGACAACTAACAAGTATGATAATACTAAAGTATGACCCAGACCGACAGAACGACCACGAGAACCGCAACACCCACGCTGGTCCATACTTGAGCTGTAGCAAGGGCATATCAGTACATAGTGTCACTCACAAACGCAAATGAGCGGAACGTACTATTAAACACGCCAAAAGCCCCGCTCTTGGCAGCCGTCCCACTTCCGGGCGTCGACGAACTCCCAGTCGCACCGGTCTGCCCTCCTGGAGCCGTCGTCGTCCCCGGTGCACACGGCTGGCACGTATGATAGCAATCCCCGGCAGGATACGTTGGCTGTTTCGTCGCATTGGGATGTTTCCATCCCAAATCCAACTCACAATCCGACGCCGTCTTGAATTTGCTTGGTCCGTAAAGAGAAACAAGACCTGCCAACGCACCCGTAAAGGCTGCATTGTAGTCTTGAGTAACTTCAGTGTATTCATAGTTTTGACGGTTATCTACGTAAGCATCCGTTGCTTCGGGTCCGCCTACAAGTGCACCGTAGAGGATGAAGCGGTTCGGCGTTGTCGAGGTGAGAAAATCATCGCCGATTACATTATTACTTTGTCCACGCTGTTTGAGGGTGAGTAGCGTTCATGATGAGAAACAAACGACATATGGGGACATACCATGGGATAATCAATGTAGGCATTGTAACTGCCCTTGTGGTAGGGTAGCTTGGGATAGTTTTCGCCAAATCCGGGGATCCATGACCGTCCGCAATCGCCCAATATGTAATTTATCTGTTGGACTGCAAAGTTCCGTAACTGGGTTACAAAGGCTTGATCACCCGCATTCTTTTCCAGAAAGTCTGCGTGCACGAGAGCAATGAATGCGACATTGGTTGCATAACGGAGGGCACCCCATTGCATGTAAAACACGAGCCCGCGAGGTGTGCGCTTGACTTTACCACCTGGTAGCCAGGCGGTGAAAAACGTACGGATGGTAGTAGCAAGGGCTGCGTCCTTTGTTAGCTTGTGCAGGAGAATAGCAGCCGCAATGCCCTTGTCGGACCACGAGTATTCGCTGTAGCCATCAATTTTGGCGAGGTGTTGTTGGGACTGGGTCAAGTAGGTTGCATCGTTGGTCGCTAGATGAAGAAGAACGGAGGCCAGGGAGAGTTCATCGTAGTAGCCGTAGGAGGGATACCATTGTTTGTAGTTTGCCCACCCAAAATCTGCGGAGTGGGAGATACGGTGAATTATTTTGTGATGGAAAAGCATAATGTGCCATCAGATGGCGTTATTAGGACTCTGGTCGGATGACCGCCCTCACTCCTTGTAAGAAAGTTGACATCTGGCGAAAGCCATACAAAGGTGACAGGCAGGAGTGCGTCACACGGCGATGGCTTCCCTTTTTGTTGGCTCATCCATCTCTGGGCCTGCTCTTTCACTCACTTACCATCAAAGACGCTTGCGTTGTAACTATTGAGATACCTCATAGCAAAGTCGTAAATCGTCTTTGCCATTTCCAGACATCGAGCAGCAAACGCCTCATCTACAGGTTTGAGAGCCAAGCTCGCTGCTGCCAGTGCGCTCGCATAATCGCCGGCAATGTCCGAGCATCCCTTGTTCAATGTGGCACTCCCTTCGCAGTAAAAGGCTCTTCTCCCAAAGTTCAGGGGAACCCACTGAAGGTACTCTTCTGGAGGTCCAAAGTAACCAAAGTCAATGTCAGTTGCACCGACTGCTGATACTCCGTAGACACCGACCAAACGCTCGTGGGTTGCGTTTTTCGAATACACGTTGAGAAGGTACTCTGCACCTTGCCTGACCCAGTCTATGGATTCCTTGTATTCATTGACTTGCTTAAGGGCATCGCCGTACTCGAGAACGTTCCATGCGAGTTGGAAAGCCGTAAAACCAAACGGGCCACCCCATTTCATAGTATTTGCTGCTTCGTACCATCCGCCTGAGAGGTCTTCTCCATACTGCCCCCGGCAATCTAGACACGAGTCTGAGCGCCAAGCGAGCCGCTGATACGGCAGTTTTCCTGAACGTTGAGCCCAGTAAAAGAGATACGATTTGTGAATGACCTGTAAAATAGAAGTCAGTATTGGTACTATAAAGGTCACACATGTTGGTTATGATATTACATCAACATAATCGTATTTCGGTTGAGCTGGAGCGACATAGGTTGCTGAATCAACGATCGGACCTGGCGGAGTGATCAAGTTTATTGGGGCGGGCGTTCCACTGTCTTCCCGAGAAGTGGTTCGCTGGGCCAGCGTGCCCACCCATACAGTCGCCGCGAGGGCACAATTTGTCCAAAACTGTAATGTCGGCATCCCGCGGAGTGTAAGTGGGTATTCCGAATGATACCGTTCGAATAAAACGCAGAACAAACAGCTTAAAGAGAAATTCGGGGAGCAGAAGAATACGATCTCACTATTTAAAGGTCTATATTTATGGTAACAGATTCCGATATTACAGCACCAGAAACGTGTCGCCCACTTGCGTCTTTTGAGCGACGATCCTTTTCGCCAGCTTGCCACACCCCAAAGAGCACCCGTTTAACCTTTTGCAACCCAGCCCACGGGGTTCTTTTTGCCTGTTCGTTCCTCTCCTTGCCCATGTCTGGCATACGGTTACGCCAGCACCGGCCTTTCGAAACACGGCATTTTGTTGTTCTTTTTTGGCACACTTTTCCGCCCCATGTCACACTTTTGAAGTTTATGGCATCTGTGGCTTGAATAAGCAGCCTCAGCGCGGAAAACCTTGTCCGAAAACTACAAAACCTTAACTCACGTGCCTACAGGGACGGTTTCAGCGCGCTTTCGGTTAATGTTTATGCTCAACGAGCGTGCTTTGTTAAATGGTTTGCAAATGGCGCCAAGCTCTTTGTCGATGGCTCTGCTCTTTTGTCTTTTCTGTCGTTGTCGATTTTTTGTCCTTTTTCCTGCTGATCGTAGCGTTGATTTCGTCTGCAGTGACGTACTTAATCCCCTTTTTCCCTTTTGGTCAGCTGCATTGGCCCGCCCATATCCTGAAAATCAAAACGGCACATGTGTTCTTTGATCGACATGTGCGGTGCCCGTGGCGACTTTTGCCTGCGCCTTTTTGTTGGGATCCAGCGCACAAAATGGAATTTGTTCGATAAGGGAAATGTAGAACAATTGGCCCTTTACATTTTTGCCCCTGGGTCAAAAAACGTTCTGTATTGGCAAAAACAGTTTGCCCAGCAACGTCCTTGCAAGTCCTGTGCACAGGAATCAGCCATTCAGGATTCGCAGAACATTGCCCTACGCGCAAAGATTGGGCGGGATTGTTCTGTTTTGGGTTGTAGAAGGTATCAACCTTCCTAGTGTTCTGAACTGCCATAAATACAAGTATGATCTCGTCAGGGAGGCAAGTGATCCACTATTCCATCAGGACATGAAGAATGTTCCGCCCTAAGAACCGCAATGAGCAGGAACGAAACGACGCACAGGTTCAAAGAAAGGATTCCCATCCTACGCCCATCAGGGTTTGCCGAACATTGGCCCTGCGACATTCCATCTCATGGATACAGGAAACCACATTCATTTCATTCAAGGCACGTGCCTTATTGTCCCGCCTGTCAGCCCTGGGGGGAAACCTTTGGGGGTACAACTCGTATCGAATATTTGATCGGACAAGCATAGCAGCCGGTTTGACCTCGTGTATTGTGGTTGCCCATCATTCAACTATTCAAGTAGGCCATACATCAAGCCTGGTTAACGCACGCACTGCAATGCACCTGCTATGCTTTGTCCGATCACATATTCGATACGAGTTGTAAACCCTGGGGCAATCATCTGAACAAGGAAGATCATTAGCATCGTGTCAGGTTGCTCAGCTACTTTGTGTTCTGCATGAACTTTGCGTAGACACCTTGCACCTGCAAGAGTCTAACAATAGTGACATGAGACATTTTCGCAAAAGTTGGAGCCCCAAATCCTCATCGTCACCTCCAAATCGTCGAGTCTCGTTCATGGAACGGGGGTTTTTACACAGGATTGCCAAAGGCTCCAGAATGGTTGAAATGTCGAGACTTGAACTGATGTTGCCAAATGGCAAGTGGCTTTTTCTGTTCTCCTGGCTGCTGAGGAACCAATGCTTTGTGCGGATATCAGCTGGTTGGGCGGTGAGGAATAACAGGGCGTACTTGACTTTGTGGCTGCTACGCGACACGGGAGCCGACGTCTTCGCTAACACAATCTTGGTTCGGACTTGGGACGGGATGGTGTCCGGCTTATCACCGCGGCATTGCTTCGGGGCATAGCTGCTCAAAGCATTCGCCACTTGTTATTTAGGATGATACAGAGAACATTCTAATCGGGTGCAAGAGAGCCCAGAATGGGCAGAACCACGAAGTCTACAAATTAATAGCACGTAAATAGATCTTGGTTTTTAAACTAAACTATACGGGAGCGATGCTCCAGTACCTGGTCTTATCTTCACTGCCCCAAATCATCTCCACATTGTGCAGCCTTTTATCGTTGTCTCACCCACACTTTTTAAAGTTAGAGCTTTTAAACTTACAGGTTTAAAGTTTTAGGTTTGGGCTCGGAAGCCAAACCTTATTTTGTGTCACGTGTCTAACCCTGGGCAGCGCTGCCTGAATTTCATACTCTGGGCTCTTCGGCGCTGTTTACTTGGTTTTTTGCTGATATCTGCTTTTGGCTCAGCTCGTCTTGTCCTTGCGCCGTCTGTGACGTACTCGACATCTGGGTTTTGTTGGGTTGCCCACGGCCCACTCGCGTCTATTTGAAAGCACGGGCGTTTGTTTCTTTCAAAAACAAGTCGTTTGCAAATGGTCTAAAGCATTCCAGATTGCTCGTCTCTTAGCTGTCCAGTGCGCAAAATACTGCCTTAATCCAAAGCTCACTGCGTCCCATGCGGCAAATCAAGGACACTAAGGACGTTCCACGCCCCCATATAGTTACTGCAAATGTATTCATCACTCACAAAATTCCCTTTATGGGCTCTCTTATTCGCATAATTAATCAGAAACTGAGCATGAGGAGCATATACAAGATAATTCTCAAGGATTTGTCAGGCAAAATCCTTTCAAGCAAAGTCTTTGCTACTTTTCAGAATGACTGGCTCCCTTGACCCCTTTTCAATATCGCCTTTGTGAAGAGGAGTCGGCGCGCCGTGGAGCGAGTACGCCCAGACGGAACTGACGACGATTACAGCGCCAATCAAGAAATTAGGCGTAAAGGTGAAGTCACCTAGGAAAGCAGATATCATGCCACTTGCAACTATAGATATTGCTATCGCAGAGTTCTTTACAATGTTGTCTTGCAAATCAAGAATGTTAGCCGGACCGTCGTACATGAATAGGAACAGCAGATAAACATCACATACCAGCGTACTTGATTACGTTCGCCACAAGCAGACCGCCGACTGCATTGAGCAAAACCGCACATGTCGTTGCCCAACCGTAACCAGCAAAAAAGCCTCTCTCGTAAACCGCCGCACCATCATGTAGCATAACTCCAAATATAGCACAAAATATCGAACTGAAGATTGCCAACTGAATGTTTCGGACCCATAAGGTCGTCGCTGACTGCTTCAATACCTTCTCCAAATAGACACCTGACAACCCTGACGTGAGACAGGTGAGAGCGACGGCACTCAAGCCGACAAATTGATCCATTGACGCTTTACTGCCGAGGGCATATTTGTGGCTTGTCACACCCATAGGCAGCTGTGTCAGAGCCATTCCAAGCGTAAGTGTCACCAGGGCAATCCACTGCTCCCATGCGAGCTTCTTATTAAGCATGATGACAGCACACATAGCAGTTGCAAGGATACGGAGTTGCATAGTAACTTTTATAATGTGGAACATACAGATGAGCAACTTCCGTTTAGACAACGCAGCAAACTCAGCCTACCTTGATGGGTCGTTGCATCAATCAATGATAATGCAAAATAATGGAGCCAATTTTGCAATGTATAGAGTGCTGCTGGGACTGTCATCTTGATCCAAAGGGAATCTTTCCCAAATATGTCATTGGCAACGCTCTCGACGCTCGGCGATCTCTGTTGAGAGACGTGCACGGTGAACGATATAAAAAGCTTGAGAATTTCTGCCAGCAGAACTGCTGTGGAGGCAATGGCGTGCTGTTCGGAGGACGTGCGGGACCATCGCATAACCACCACTGATACAGTGTTCTGAACAGCAAGAGCCACAAGGGCGCCGTACTTTCTGTAACCTTCAGAATATATTCAGATAAATACATACACTTTGAAACAGGCGAGTGGTAACATGAACATACCATCCGCAATGGAGATCGTAGATTTTCTCATTGTAGACGTGAGGGATGAACTTGAAGAAGAGTGGGATAAGTTTTATAGTAGCAAAGAACGGGCCGTGCCAAGCGGAGACTGTTTACCTAATAAACAATCAACTACTGGGCACGTGATCAATGCTCCAGATCAACAATCACCGCAACAAACACTGTTTCTTTGAAGGTTTTTGAAATATATCAGTAGATGGTTATAGGCTACATATAGTAGGAATTTTCCAAATTTCTATCTATATCCAAGTTTCAAGAAGGGAGCACTGCGATAGACTACCACGAACACAACATGATCAGGCGCATGAAGACCAATGTGATTAATCTTGGCTTGTTCCAACGCGAAAGCCAACTGAATAGGAAACTAAAGGCTATGCAGAGCAACGGGCCAATACTTTGTATACTGCGCAAATTGAAGACTTCTGATCAATATTTTGGAAGCTACATCTACTCGACCACATCTGCACCATATATGAGACGCGATATTGAAAAAGCATGGCCATCCTTTGCCTTATATACACCTTGTTTCTGCTCTACTGATACTTCCCATTGACCTGTTGCATGTCCCTTCTTCCGACAAACCGTACTTCTTACAAGACGCAGTTGTAAGCACTCGCCACGCCAGATAAAATTCAACACTCCAATACAAGTGGTCCTTGCTGTCTCGCACAAGCTGGTCCTTATCGTAGATCATTCGATCGGCTAACCTTTAGTCGTTCTGGTGCCGTTGATTGTCCCATCGGCAGAAGGGACACTTTAGTGGACTTGTCTTTGATGCTACCATATATAAGAATACCAATAAATGCAACGACCACTCCTGCCATCCGGTACACATCCATATTTTCTGCGTCTTGTCCAAAAAGAACGGTGGCTCCTGTGATTGTGAGAATTGTTTTGAAATGACCAACTACTTGAAATGTCACTGCGCCTGGTGAATAGGTAAGGGACTGAAATTGCCACCTACATCTGCAGCAGGAAAACAAAACTTACTGGTTTTTTTGAGCAATCCGAACCCTGTGAAATTGCTACACACCGCCAACGTGCAGGAAACAAACAATGCCCCCACAATATGGCCATTCCCCATTTTGTCGGAATCACGATTACCAGTTTCCACTGCCCCTCCACGATACATGCGCCCAAGATCCAGTCCAGCGGCAATCAGCGCGCAAGCAGTCGAGTAAGGTGCCAGCGCCGCCATAAGGTGGACGCTCGATAAGGCTTTTGCCTTTGTTCTGTTCTGCACCCATACTTGGTGCAATGATACTGACAAGACCCCAATGGTACCAAAACACAATCCCGTGAAGTCAACCGAGAGTTCTCGAACGGATGCGATAGTAACTCCGATGATGATAATTGCGAGTGACTGAATGACAGGTTGCCGTAGGCGCACCGAATAGAGAGAATATTGAAGAATGGCGATGGTGGGAAGGTTGAGAATTTTTAGGAGCTATTATCACAAAAAATTCGAAAATGAAAACTGATGCTTAGCGATGGAAGCCTTCGGAAAAGTTTCTGGCTTACCTGATATGCACCAACAGAGTTAGTGGCCAAACTCAAGTTCATAAAAACAATTCCTGCTGCATTCGTCCCTCCCAGCATAAGCCCATCCGTGACATCAAGAAGCGACGAGAATTTTTGACCTGTATAAAAACCCCAACAGCTTGTAATGACCCATATGGTAACCTACAAACAAAGACGTTCTGGGTGTATCAGACTCAAAAAGCAACCAATCGACCATATGGCACGTCGACAAACCTGGTGAAGCGCGGTTAAAATCAGTGGATAGTTGAAGCTCTGCATCACTGCTTTGTTTGCCAGGACAATGAGAACGGTTGACGCAATGTTACCGATCATCCATAACCCTTTCACATATGGATCGTAGCTGGCGGACACCCGCCACTTGGTGCCATTCCAGGACACTTTGTCTTCATGAGTCCGGGTGAAATCCGAGGCATTTTTGGGACCGTCGTAGTGCTTTCTCTCCTCATTCATTGGATGTCTTGACTGTTTTGAGCATCAGATTCAACCGCGTGTTGGGACGTGTAAATAATTCAACGCGTATCACGTCAGCATCCATAGCATGGCCCACCTTGGGCTCGCGACGCGTTTGCTATTTAAAAGCGAATCGTCTGGCGGCTTGCCTTTGGCATCAAGATAATGTTCGCCTCCGCACAAAATCGCCCACGCATCGGTCTCTTCTTGCTGGCAGTCTTTATAGCAGTCTGCTTCTTATGGTCCTGGCAGCCGCGGGGCCTTCAAATAGCACCAAATGTAAAACGAGAAACGCTGGTGCCGCGCAACCCGTCAAAGAGGTGAACTTCCCAGTAGGAGGCTTGAAAGCGAAGATATCACCGATTCTACGCCCGGACTGGTGTAACTCAAATGGAGAAAGGAGAATGGGAAAAGGAAACCTACATTAAGTGGGGAGTTCATTGTATGCATACCGTGCCATTCGTTCATATCTTGCAGTTTTCACAAGTACATTGACTCGGAAACTGTCTTGGTGGATTTTGAACCTGGTGTGGTCCGACGGTACTGTTTGGTGCACAGCTTGCGAAAGCCACTATTGGTATTGAAGGGGATCCGGCCGCATTTGCCGAAGTATCATTCAACGTCAAGGTAAGATAAGTGATCGTACATTTCCGGAAGATGCCGCGAGAATCTCTGGTGCTCAACAAGCTGAATTTAGGCCAATGCGGAGCAAACGTGGAGCAAAAGAATTACTTTGCGCCCTTTCTGCGTGTCTGATGCGGCGGCACAAGTTCAAATGGAAAGTGACACTCCCGGAAATTCTATCTCCCATGTCGGCGCAACCCCAGATGGAAAAAACCTCAAAGGATGGACTTCACAGTGTTATCCACTGGAAACCATTCTGGAGGACGCTGGTCTCCTAATTCCGACCTCCAAGATGTTCATCAAGATTGATGTAGAAGGCTACGAATGCACAATCTTTCCGGTTTTGGAGAACGTAGGTGTCATTCTTCGAAAATATTGCATCTATCTTGCAATTGTAGATACTGATCTACCTCAATGTGAACCAGTTTCTGTCAAGAATGGCAGTCAAACCCATAATTTACCTATCAACACACGCTCATTTTGTGAAATGTACGGACGAGCAGTACCGCAAGATGAAGGAAATACTATCGACTTACAAGGTCTGGGGCAAGGTGTTGGGATCAGGCGCCGTAGCTCAAGGAGAATTCCTCGCGGACGGTGGGGCGATGCTGGCCACTGACACGTATCTCTTTTGATATTGTAAAAAATATCATGGTTCAAGATTAGTTATGTAGTTGACATTTGCACGAAGAATGTGAATGCGTTTGCTCAGGTCCTTTGAAATGCACCCAACAGTATTTCACTGTTGTCATACTGGGCACAGTGGTGACTCTGGCCCGGCCTACGATCTTGGTAGAGATTCTTTTTCTCCATGTGATAAGAGCTGACCATATTACTCCGGAAGGGACACCTGCATTGGTGCACGGATCTATCATAATGTTTCACTTGGATTATCCGTTGAAAACCCCTGCTTCATTCAGACATATGCTACAAATAGGAACAAGGATATTTCCATACAACGTCGTCAGGCGTTCTTGGCGGATATCATACCATGTTAAATCAAACGAAAATGTGCCGCATAATGTCACTGAAGCCAGGATGGAGCTTGCATTATGGCTTGTGTACGTGAGCAACTTGTGGGTTGCGTGGGTACTTTTGGTGTTTTTAAATTGTCAGGATATCCCCAGAAACGCGTCGCATAATCACGCAACGCGACCGCGTCGCGTTCTCGTTCATTCCCTGCAAATTGGCATTTTCATTGACTGCAACTTGTTGTTGAATCAGACGAAAGATGACGGGAGGAATGTCAACCAAGTATGATCCTCTCGAGGGCAAGGTATGGGTCCTACATTACCTCCTAGTAATCATGACCTCGTACCTACAACTCACCAAAACTTTCACGTAGAATCTCATCCTCCTGCGCAACCGGCGCATGTATCTCTTTCTCTCAGCCTGTGCTGCCGGTCTCTTCCTCTTTCTTATTGTATCTACAATGCATTCCTCTCAGAAAGCTGCCTTATCAAAATTACCACTGGAGACAGTCAAGTCACAAGGAGGAGCCATGGCTACATCGGACGAAGAAACTAGGTCCACGTCACCTTGTTCGAAGGAAACAAGACGAAAGGAAATTCTTGGTTCTACATTTTCTGATTGGGAGAACATGTGGGTTCGCGCAAATGACAACAGCATTCCGACAGTGTGGAGTGACGGAGGTGCTGGCTCTGGGGATGGCACTCCGCCTGAGCCACTCGAAACAGCGAATACTGACAGCTGCTGGCCTGGGTGGTGCAACTTCTTCAATCCTACCGGTAAATGCCAGTGCTACGCCGAGTGTGTTCAGAAGGGAAATTGCTGCCCTGATATGCCGCAGGCGTGTGGCATGCAGCAACCTACAGATTTTGAATTGACGTTAAAAAATGTGTCTCTGTCCTCTATCGTCATCAGTTGGTCACCGACAGCATGTGAAAAGTTCAGAAACACGAGCCAGTTTGCTGTTGAATGGACAACGACGCCTGAAGGCAATGCGACTGCACGCTGGTTACTGTTGCATAAATGGGAGTGCCCTGGGGAGACCTCCGCGCCGCTAAATGTTCAGCATGTGAATTTGGCTCCACACAAGCGATATCATTACCGAATGGTTGCCCAGAATACTTCTGGTTCATATCCCGTCTCCCAACATGTTTCCGTTGTAACGGCTCCTGTTTGTGCTATTGCTCCGCACTATAACGAAGAAGTCACTATACCGTTCCTGGTCAGCTCTCTAATTGATCACGTAGATTATTTCATCATTTTGGACAATGGTTCGACCGACTACTCTCTGGACTTGGTACAAGTTCTATATCCTCAGCATTTACAATCCGGCCGCCTGCGGATAATACTTACCGGCGCAGCGAGGGGAAATATGGGAATCGTGAGAACAATGGGCATCCAGCTCTCCCGAAATCTTGGATGCCGCTTTATGGTCAGTTTGGAGGCGGACTCTGTTTTTTACGATAAAGGGGCGGAAAGTATCACGGAGTTAGCGCGGAAGATTCCCAGCGGCGTTCGATCTTTCCGGCATGTGTGGCTTGAGAGTATGCAGTTTGGTTGGAACACGACCGAGCAGTGGTTGGACGGAATGACCTTAATCACACAGAAGAGAAATACCAGCGTAACCGGAGATGTCAGACGTCAAGCAGCTCCTGTTAGTGGAAACTATTTGTTACGTGTGCAAGGTGTTACTGCTCATGGTGCTTATTCCGACGAAGCAGCGGGACGTGGGGCTGAAAATTATTGGTATGGGAGCGACAGAAGAGGCGAGAATATTCTCTATGAGACTTGGGAGACTTGGCATATCCATACCTCCCTATTGCGGCCTACTGACCGCAAGACTGAGAAATGGAAAGCCATGGGACGTCCTCCACAAGATGCATACACCTGGACAGATCCTACAGCGGTGCGGTTGAAGGTCGAAGAATTACCCGAAGCCTTCTACAGAATGACAGACGCTGTTCGGCGTATGTATTATGAGTTGCAATGCTCCTAAGGCAATAAGAACTGTAAATATACACAGAGTTCATGTATTAAGTATCTATGGGCTAGATTGTATTTTCCCACTCAGGACACAGTCGCGCAGCAGATGTCCACCATTCCAAGTACATATCCTTGAGAACAGGATGTGCATTCTCCCTAATTACACCGTTTGGGACTGTCCATGGTTTACCGTAGCGCCCTACATTTGCACTGAAATGGACCACCTCCACCTCTTCTTCATATACGCGGCTTAGAGTGGTACGATTCTTTGCGGATTCCGCCGTCCAAAAGGAAGACCATTTGGGGACCGTTTCTGTGTCCCAATGATTATTCAACGTGACATACCGACCGGGAAGGAGCAGGACTTCGTTTCCAAACTCGTGATTGATCAAATCCATGTCGTATTCATTTTTCTCCAGGTTAGCAAGACGACCTTGAACCCTCTTCCAGAGTCGTGGTGATAGCTCGATAACCATTAGGGGTGAGGCAGCCCAACCGACCCCGCCACGTCCATCCGGTTGCTTGTCAACGCCGTGAAACTCTACATACCAATACGCGCGGGGTATTGCGATGTCGACGTGTGGCAATTCGAATAAATGGTCAAGATTCTTACGAACTAATTGATCTGCATCTAATGTCAAGATTCTGGTGTACCCATATGTAGACAGCGAAAAGGCCAGAAGTTTCGTCATGACCTCCCCATATGTAGCAACATCATTGGGATTTGTCCCGGCAGGAGGTGGAGGAGGAGTAACGCTTACAATATGCGCACCGAAATGGGAAGCCGCCTTTTCGACGTACGCCTTTGGCACTTTGTCTGTTACAAGGAAAACGAATCGTATTTTTGAGCCCCATTTTCGAATCAGCGCCATGTTGATGAGCACTGAGCATGCATACTCAGTATTTGTGGCATAAAATACGTATGCGTGGGACGAAATGGGCGTAGTGATATTGGGTGATATTGGTGAGTTCGGGGATATGTTCTTTGAAAGTGTCCACCTCGAAGGCATCGAGAAGGACAGTAAAGCGAAAATTACCAGCGCGATAAGAGCAGGAAGCATGCCGTGCGGCTTTCCGCGTGTTGGGAGTATCTTCATCGCGCAGAAACCTAAGAAACAGGAAAACCAAAGTATGCACCAGTTGGCGACCTGTTGCAGTTGCTGGGTATGGCTGTGCTGATTAAGCAATGTGTACGCGCTTATGTGTACGCGTTTTTGGACTGCCCACTGCACTGAGCAGACCATTTCAGATAGTGATTGCATTGAGATTAAGAATGTTGAAGAGACCACAACGAATGGTAGATAGATATAGCAGTGGTTAAAAATATACATATCATGAAAGATATATTGGTACAAAGAAAAGAAATACGGCTTAGTTTCTGAAGTCTGTCCGTACGTCTCTACGTCTTGCCAGCCATGATGCCACAGCTATTTCTTCTAATATTCGCGCAACCATCTCATTTGTTTCAATGATCCCATCAACGAGGTCTTTCAGCGGCGTCAACCGCTCATTTGAATTGCTTTCATCTGGCAACAAGACGTCTTTCGCGTTCTTCTTATTCCATGCAACGACATTGAAGCCATTGAAGCTGCGTGCCGTTATTGCGGCAGCAACAATAGCTGGGTCGTCAGGAGAATTCGGTACGATGACCAAATCAGGTCTTACTGTCTCAATGACCTGCTGAAAGGACATCATCACCTCGGTTGCAATGTCAACAGCTCGAGATTTCCGTGAGAATTCCGATGCGACGCCAAGATCAAAAACGCCAGTGTGGAACGATTCCAGAGTCCATGAAATGCCCAATTCTGACAACAGTTGTGACTGAGGGTAACGGCCTATTAGCACGGGGAACGGTCGTAATCGAATGTTGGGAACCGGCTTTTGCAAAGTAGTCGCCCAAATATACTCGTGAAGAGGCTTGAACAATCTTGCATCCTGGATCGTATCAACCAGGTACAGAATCCTCATTTCGTTCGGCCGCCACATTTCGGACATGAGAACGCGGGTATGGCCACGAGTAAAGTGCTTGAAAGTAATGTAATCTCGTAGTCTGTGTATATCCATCTCCTTACCGTTGACTGATATAGCGCCGTGTGTTGTGTCGCCGGAGGCTGAGATGGCACGATAATCAGGCGTGACAAGATGCGAGGATGGGTCACTGGCAGCAACCGGGAATACAAAAGTTGGTAGATTGGCGTACTTTGACAAGGTATAGGTAATTTGAAAATCCTCGCCAGTCTCCCACGTAACTGCGTTTTCGCGGAACATGAGTTTGATCCAGTCTTTTTCCATAAACCAGATCCCCCCGACGAGGTCCACTTGCGTAATGACTTCGGGGTGTATCACTTGACCGAGACCATATGTTTCTTTGTAGTTGTTTGAGTTCTGAACAGGTACGATATGGCCTTTAGCGCCATACAAGCCTCGAAACTCCCCGCCTACAATATTCTGCACTGTTTTCATATGAGCGATCGTTATAGAATTGACAAGGTACCAAGCCTCGCTTACCATGGAGAAAATTCCGAAAAACATTGGCTCCCGGCAGACAATCATCATCAAAAAAAACTGCATATTTGGTGGGTATCTGCAGCCCGACCTCGAATCGGCCAAAATATTTGAGCTGTACGTCGCCTTGAAGGAATTTGATCGGTATTTTCTGTGCTTTATGGCTATTAGCAAAGTCATCGACCGCCTGTTTGATTGCCGCGACTGATTTTGATGCGAAAACGGTGATCCATATTTCGAGCGGTGGGACAGTCTGATTGAACAGGGAACCCAGCAAACGCGGGATCACCTCCACGCGATTGTAACCCGATATGACCGCCGTAATTCCATTGAGCCCTTTGCCGTCACCATTTTCTGGGTACGAGGACGGCAGCTCCAGTAGTGCGGTCAAGTTCAATTGGCGCGGCTTTGTAGGTGCACGTACAAAAGACCGTGGTCTGGGCGCAATTGACGCTGCGGAAGTACTCTCACTGACGTTTGTTAGGGTGGTCTTAGCGGATTCAGCTTCCACAAGTTTGTCGCTCGCAATTGTGGGCCGATTTACAGCAATTTGGGCTAAACAATAATGTCAATATATTTCTTTGTGGACTATTACGCATGATTTTGATATTACCCGAACCCTTTAAGACAATATCAACAATTTTGCTCCCGGCAGTCCCATCCCCGTAGGGGAATGTCTTGATAGCCATTGCCGCGTAAGCTTGTTTATCAGTAAGAAGTTCTTGAACATGTCGGAAGACATTATCCTCGTCAGTTCCAATCAACTTCGCTACACCTGCTGTGACTCCTTCCGGCCGCTCTGTATCGTTTCGTAACACCAGAATTGGTTTCGAAAAGGCCGTACCCTCCTCTTGAACTCCTCCAGAGTCAGTGAGCAACAGTGTCGCCCGCTTCAAAAGCTGCGCAAAGAATTCATAGGATAACGGTCCTAGTAAAGTGATACGTTTATCATTGCCTAGGAATTGCGTAACGGTTTCCTGTACTGTAGGGTTCATATGAACAGGAAGTACAATATGTACATCAGGAAATCCATCCACAATCCGCTTTATGGCCTTGCAGACGCTGATGAGCGGCGAGCCTAAGTTTTCGCGTCGGTGCATAGTTACGAGAAGGAGACGGTATTGGCTCGTATGGGATTTTGCCGCTTCTTCAATTTCAAGCAGGCTAGAGGCAACCTCCGGCGAGGGCTCGAGGCTGGCCACCCATTGCAACGCATCAATAACAGTATTCCCAGTAATGTACACATTCTCTGATGGTATTCCTTCGGCTTTCAGGTTATTTGCCGCATGCTGCGTCGGAACAAAGTGGTAGCTGGCTAGACCGGCTATGAGGCGACGGCTGGTTTCTTCCGGAAACGGGGAATACCTTTTGTATGTACGTAACCCAGCTTCAACGTGACCTACAGCTATCTTTTCGTGAAAAGCAACGACAGATGCTACGAAGGCCGAAGTCGTATCACCCTGCACAAGCAGCCAATCTGGGCGATAATGAGTCACAGCTTTGGTCATTCGCCCGACGATTCGCTCCGTCAACGAGTTCAAACTTTGTCCCGATTTCATAACGTTCAGGTTAACATGTGGCTTGATATCGAATAAGCGGAGAAGGGGTTCAACCATTTCCTGGTGCTGCCCGGTTACGCATATGATAGGGTTAATACCGTGAGTGTTGAGAGCTCTGATAATAGGAAACATCTTGATAGTTTCTGGCCGAGTGCCCATCACGATCATTACGCGAGGCGATTTGTTGAGTCCACCGTCATCGGGCAAAAGAAACTCGATATCCTTGCTGGTGACCCTCGATTGCGAGACAAGATGCGTGGAGGTGTCCAGAGAGGATACGAAGAAAATAAACAACAGGACTGTACAGGCAAGCAAGGCTAAAAGCCGAGTTCTGCGGGAAATCCGAATGGACCGTGGACTCTGTATCTCTCTCTTTGTAAAATGTAGTTTTTCATGATCAATCAGTATCTTAACTGTCTTAACAGGAGGGGTTTCCATCATGATACGTTGCGGGAGAGCGAAAGGTCGTTGCCTTGCTCATCTGCGCTTGGAGATCTGCTTTTGTGCGGGTCGAAGTTGGCCCTGATCGGGCCCTGCTCTTACCTAATCTAACGCGTGCATAAGCCTCTGAAAAGCATAAAAGGCTTCTTGCAGCAAACAGAAATAACGACAACGAAACAATGACCCGACGAAAAGCACTTTCCAACCAACTTGTTATCGTTTTGGCTATATGCGCCTCCAGCGTCTGTTTCTTTTTCGCAGGCCCGATACTGATCCCACATAGTCAGATAGAAAAGGCAATTGACAGAACAGGCACTTGACGTTCATTCATTGCTGAGGAGAGCTGACACTGGTACTATACTTGCAGCCAGAGGACGACCTCATTTCAGCTTCGTCTGCATGCAAATCTCAAGTGACGCTAAGACGTGCCCCTCCGCGAAAGGTACCATTGCCATCAATTCTCCGATTGTATAGCCAAAAATAATCCATTGGCCGTCAATCAGGTGGTGGGAAGCTATTATGACGATTTTCTGAGGATCACCGCAAATATTATTGAGGTCTTGGAGAATAGACGATCGGGAGTAGCAGTTGCAAGGTAAAGAATTTAGCAGGGTTATGTGATCACGGACGTCGATTGAACACGCGTTGGATTAGATATGGAGATGGTGAAAGGGAACTGATGCTAGGAGGCACCATTAAACCAGCTACACAGGCTGGGCAGGTACATGCATCTGTTGCCATTAGCACCTTGCATCTGCTCTAATGAAAAGCGTAGGTTGACAAGTGGTCATGGGAGAAGCCGGGCATCTCCTTTCTTGGTCGAGATCTGCTGGACACCTTGTCCTCTCACTATGATGAGCCATACTACTATGGGTTCGCTGCTCCTGTCCAAGATGCGAGCGGACTGAGATTTTTCATCAATGCCACAGGTAGCTATAGCAAGAATTTCCCGAATAATGATATATACCAGAAATCTCTGACGCCCTCTAATAGAACAGCACTTGGATTACATCACGTTTGCGAACATATGGGTGAATGACAACTACAAACATACAAAAGAATTCATCAAAAAGATTGCAGAACAATACGCTGGCCGTATCGTCATTATCGCAAATCATATTACAAAGGACAGAAGCTTGGTGCCAAGTTGGGCTTCAGAGTTTTTCTCAACTCCAGACGATTGCGTTGCCTTCTGGGAACAGAATCGTGACGAGCATCTCGCAAAAATTGAGGCTCTCGGCCGCAGACATACACGTAAATTGTTTATGATATCAGCTGGCCCTATGGCTAAAGTATATGTGCATAAGCTCTGGAACGTGAATCCGCACAATGCTATAATTGACTTTGGATCAAGTTTGGACGAAATACTCAAGGTAGTTATAACAGTATCCTTCACGAAAGCTGATCAAATTTAAAGTTTGATTATGCTACTAGGGAGAAACGACACGACCCTACCAATCCGCCAGTGCAAATGAAGTGGACCCAAGTTGGCAGCTTATACCGCAAACTATATAGAAATGTAAAATATTGATATTTTCGGATATATGATAAAATGACGGTATTATATGAATCAAACATCATGCAGCAGAAGATATTATCCACGTAACGGCCAATAAGTATCTTCAAAACATAGCATACAGGCCAAAACTTGTAGCTGTTTCCATAAACTGTATGTATACATGGGCTCTTCAGGCAGCATCCAGCATCGAAATTTACTTCCGCCTGACGAACCGTTGGCATGAGAGCATTTAGTACACAAAGAAATAATTCTTGGCTTGGCACCTGGTCATTTTCTGCAGCAATACTATGTCAATCGGTCAAGATCGTTGGTAATGGGCTGTGGAATGGCGGGGTTCACTTTGTTGAGAGGCGCCTACGTGCGCTTCGCTCCTGACGATGTAGAGATGTCACTCAGGTCGGGTGCTAGTGTTAGGAATAAGGTGCGGCCACTTGCAGTGCTATGTTGTCCATTTCAATCCCAAAAATCATTTCCTAATTGGACAATATAGTATTCGGATTGCATTTTGAAAGCAACGAGTGCTGTGGTTGTTGTATCAATTGGTAGGGATGTATATACAATGAAACGCTATGTATGAGCGGCATGGAAGGTATGGCTAATTTTGGTGAACAAGACCTCACACCTGTTGGCAGTATTGATTTGAACTCTAGTGCACTGTTTGTCATCCGGAAAAGCAGCAATGCCCTAAGTTGGCTAAATTAGTTCAGACTTCACTGGCAAGTTAACGTAACTGATCTGTATGATTGATGCTTCTGCTGTCAAGCAGGATTGAGGCATGTATCAAGACAATTCTGTCAGGTTGATGTCTGTGAATTTCGGCTGGCAAGTGGGCTGGAGCTTTACGGCATTAGCAGGGTAAAGTAGTGGATACTCTGCAAGCCATCCGATACACTACACGCACATTTGTAGTTGTTCTACGAAAAGTCCCCGAAGAAACACGTTGGCAAAACAAGCTCTTCCGAGAGCACATGCACGGCATATGCAGACCACCTAGACCGCGATTCCAACGCTTTTACGACACTGGTTGATGTATCAACCGGGCTTCAGATATATTACGAAAAAGAATAGGCGGAGGTACCAGCATACCAAGCGTAAACGTTGGCCAGTGTCAGGGCCAACTTTTCAAGATCTAGGAACACTTCATGACAATGGTCTTATATCTCGCACAAAAGGATGAGCAAAGAAGTTAATTGTTTCTCACATGAACGGGTGGTGATGTGAAGTTCTTTATGCATATGTTGCTCTCAACCTTTCCAAGAAGGGTTGAACCCGAACGCTAAAAGCCACTTGATTACTATAGATTCTAGCCGCCGTTCAATTCTAACTTAGTACTCAGCAGCGCAGTGGAAAGCAGGTTAATTTTGCGTAACGGGATCTGGATAAGCTTCATACTCAAGTGACCATCTTAACTTGGTCACGCCGCCCAGCCCAGATGCAGATAATTTGCCCAAAGCGTTTAAAATATGTATGAGGAAAAAGATTTGCATCCCAACGGATCCAGAACGCATGCGAGACTGCAATAACAAATTGATCAAGTTTATAGGCAGCTGACAAGAGAAATCTGATTTACCAGACAAACGGGGAAAATCCTTCGTTGACAACGGGGCTCGTTGATTAGGAATGGGACTGCCGCACGATCTGTTGATGCAACTCAACGAAAAAGATTATATCATTATGAGGTGGGATCGTTGCAGTGGTTCTCCCGACCTTGACAAGAAACCTTTCCTCTGCCGCATATGAAGGCACCTCTACCTGTCAATGGGAGGTGCACAGACAATAACGCAATGCAATCAAAAGCTGCGTCAGAGAATATGAGAAGGCATTGCCAGTGATAAACGGCAGTCTGGACCGGCAGGGTTTTGATATCAAAAAAGTGAAACTCCGATAACCTTCGCTATTTGGTAAGCATCGAACACATCCGATACGCGTGAATTTGGTAAGCGTCGCAAATAAAAGTTGGCCCAACGCGAGGCATCCTACGCGCTGCACGATCCCCATAGCTTTTGCCTTAAAACCCTCCAAGTCTTCCGTCAAACCTTTTGGTATGCTCCAATCAACTCCTTTTCCCACCGACGTCGCAGGAACTGTGAACTCTGACTCGACTGAACGACGTGTCGCCCTTATTACTGGTAAGTGGGCAAATGCTAATAAACTAGAGAGCGTTTGTGGCTCGCGAAGAACGAAACTCTGCCAATAATCAGAACTAACAGTCTGGCCGTTGTTAGGTATCACTGGCCAAGATGGCAGTTACCTGACCGAGTTCTTGCTCGAAAAAGGTATATTCACTCTCTGATGATGACGCAGACCTTTGTCTAATTGCAGGCGTTTAGGCTACACTGTCCACGGCCTCATTCGTCGCTCATCTTCGTTCAATACTGGACGTCTCAGCCACTTGTACGCTGATCCGCATCAGGGTACATCTTGCCAGATCCGCTTTTGATAGCCTCGAAATATGCTCAATCTACTTGATTAGAACCGCGTATGATCCTTCATTATGGAGATCTCACAGACTCAACCAACTTGGTGCATCTCGTGGTTAAAGTGCAGCCCACAGAGGTGTACAATCTTGGGGCGCAATCTCATGTTAAGGTGTCATTTGACATGGCCGAGTACACAGGTATATACAATTGCAGCTAAAGAGAAAGCACCACCACCTACAGTATTTGCTTTTTAGCCGACGTGGATGGTCTCGGAACCCTGCGTCTTCTCGATGCTATCCGCACTGCGGGCTTGGCGCACAAGGTTAAATTCTACCAAGCAAGTACAAGTGAACTCTACGGCAAGGTTGTGGAAACTCCCCAATCTGAGACTACACCATTTTACCCACGTAGTCCATATGGTACGTGTTAATTATGCTGACACATTGGCCACACACTGCATTCTTACAAGTGGTATAGGCGTCGCAAAGCAGTACGCGTACTGGATTGTTGTAAATTACCGGGAGTCGTATGGTATGAAGGCATGCAATGGTATCCTCTTCAACCACGAGAGCCCAAGACGAGGTACGAATATACCGTTAATGCGAACCACTGTTTTGCCCAATTTCTGATGGTTACATATTACCATTGCACTCAGGGGCGACGTTCGTGACTCGCAAAATCACTCAAGCAGTCGCCAACATTTATCTCGGAAAGCAAGCTTGCTTGTATCTTGGAAACATCAACGCAAAACGTGACTGGGGCCACGCTCGGGATTATGTTGAGGTTCGTATTATCTTGTAATTTAACTTCATAGGAGGAAACTGACAATCTTGCACACACTTTCAGGGAATGTGGCGTATGCTGCAACAGGATGAACCCGAGGATTATGTCCTCGCCACAGGGGAAACTCACACCGTGCGATCATTTGTTGAAAAGGCGTTCAAAGTCGTCGGGGTCGACATAGTGTAAGTGAATCTGATAACTTTTTAAGCGCATGCACGCTTACACGTATTGCACTTTACCTAGATGGGAAGGAGAGCATGAAGACGAAGTCGGACGCGATGCTGCCACGGGTGCCATTCGTGTTCGGATTGATCCCCGATATTACCGACCAGCTGAAGTCGAGCTACTTCTAGGAGATCCTTCCAAAGCAGAGAGAAAGCTCGGATGGAAGAGAACCGTTGACTTTGACGTAGGTGGCGTTATTTTTGTTCGGCTGCTGCTGTCGATGTACTAACTTAATCAACCGTTACATAGGGTCTTGTAAAGGAAATGGTGGAATCTGATCTGGAAAGCTTGGGAGGCGACCTTAAAGCTTTGGAGCAATCTCTGAAGAAGGTCGAGAAAGTGATAAAAACCCGCAAAGATGTCGCAGGAGGTTTACCTGTGGCGCGCGCTGCTGGCAGGGATATGTGATTGATGTCCTAGGCGGAGTTTGTGTAAATTATGATGAGGGGCCTCTGTACATTGTTCTACGCCTTGTGTATATTGGGTTCATAGATACTGTCGTTGGTGAAAAGTGGGTTTCGCGTTGTCTTATAGCTCTACTACCAGAGACATGTCCCCTCGTTTACAATGGTGCAATGATCCGCTTGGTAGCTATTTTCGTTCATAGAATAAGGCCCAACACTCTTGTAGCTGGAAGAGACCATGTTGTTCCTTGCGGACCTGTTTCGGTTGCCGAGTCATATCTCGGGAAAACAATAAGGCGCAAGCAACGATAACATCCCGAGAAATAGTGCATCGCCTCATCTTGACAAGTCAGTGAGTGACTTGCAATATCTCCTGATCATCCCGCCTGGACTTTGCTCACATTGATGCTTTCGCTTTAAAACGCATGTTTCTGCTGTGAAAGTTTGTGGATTCCTTCACATTAAGCATGTAGCAAGGATTTGCGAGGGCGACGTATATTACCAGTATATTACACAGGGCGAAGATAAAAAGATCAAACTACGAGCACTTGCCTTCTTTCTCAGCTATCTTACACAGTACGGCCCTCCTTCCTTGCTGGATCATCGCTTTTCCTCGGTTTAAGAAATCGTTGTACAGTGGCTGCTCACAGCCATTATAGCGTGACACGGCAGCGATATGCTCCATTTGCGCTTCCCTGATGATGAAAGTGCTCTCTGGCCCATACACGGAAGTCAGCCAGTCATCTGAAAACCAGTCCTGCGAAATACGATTATAATAGTGAGCGACTAATATCTACGAATCCAGGAAATCATGGCATCCCACTTTTATTCCGGCATCGTACAATCGTCCGAAAATTTCATAGTGCTTTCATCCAGCAAAAGCTTGAGTCAGAAGTCGTCCGTTATGGCGTGGATCCCATGGTCCGGCGACTCCGAATCCATTATTTTTCTCTAGAGCATCGACAAAGTAAGTGCTCCACTTGGTCCCTTTAAGCGCAAGATCGTCATTGACTTGAAAAAAGAAGTCGGTACCATCTCGGATTGCGAGGGCAAACAGCGCATTCCAGATGTAGGTGACCCATCCATAGCTGTAAGGTAACCGGATGTACTTGAATTTCAGCGGTTTATCTACGACCAAGGATTTCAGAAATTCGTCAATCTTTGGAAGAATTGTGGGATCATCAAAGAAGCCGTGTCCAACGTCGAACCCTATGTACAGAGTATACTCGCTTCGATCCCATTCCTCGTCAGTCTTGTTTTGAATGTGGCAGGCGTGAAGGTTGTAAGAAGCATGCGTTGATTCCAAGTTGGAAGGTCGGCTGACGACATTGTTCCCATTCCGATGGCAATCTTCGTGTTCCCCTTGCTTGAGTTTTGCGCCCAATTGAATTGCAATGCAAGGTGCACCGGACTGAGGAAACGATTCCGGGACATATTGCAAGATAGTTTTTTGTCAGGCTTGGTAGGAGTTATACCGTATTACCCAGCTTTGCAACTTTCATGAACTCTATGCTTGTCTGCTAGGGTCTTTTGAAAGGCCTCCGGACATTGATACCCACGACTGCACTGTAGCCGGTATGTTACATGATGCAGGTACGCCGGTGAATTTAGCTGGAGGCCCATCGCGTCGATATCCGACACGTCAAGTCTCCATCTTGGTTGATTCTCTTTTTCAATGTCGGTAAACTCTGTTTCTCAAAACGCATCTTGTTCTTTAAAAATAAGACCGTTCCGTGTCTAAGAAGTTGCGTTTCCAATAGATATAAAAGAGTTTCCCTATCAACGGCCTGTTTGACTAGACCGTCAACTGGCCTTGGGTTACATGCATCCTGTACGCGCTGCCAGCCGAATACCTAACATTCAGTCTCCTTGCTTTTATCTTTCCTGTTTAAGTTACGTCACTTGTTAATTAAGAGGCATTGTTATCTGTTGGGCGCGCAGGAGAGCGGTTGGCAAAAAGTTAAAGTCAGCGCTCCTTAAGCCGAATATGGTGGAGATTTCCCATGCCTCTTTCCTAACAAGTTTCTGCTGCGCGCAATGGGACAATCATGATTTGCATTGGTAATTATTTTTTTAGATAACATCGCATGAATGATGTCGACTTTGTATTCAGTACAATAAACTCCTTGGTAACAAGCTCCTCTACACGACTATCCTGTCCTTTTGATCTCCTTGTGACTGACATCCGCCCTAACTTGGTAGCAACATTGCGCTTATTTGCCCGAGTTTCGCATCCACTTTAACATGTAATGCCGCCTCACACTTTGGCATGTAAACAACAGCCAGTCGGGGACCAGCATAAGAATCCTTTTTCTGCAACCACCAAGCGTATACGGGCCATCCCGGTTAAAAAAATCCGGGCATGACAAGGAAAGGTGTCGACAGCCCACATTTCCGTAAACGAATCATGATAAGATTCGAGCATAACGTTCTTACCAGCCTTCCAAGCCTGGTGCAGACCTGCTGACTTATTTTTTATCCCAGAATGAGCCATCTTCGTCATTGGTCTCGCCGCACCCTTGAGGATGGTCAATACTAGCAAAATAGCTGATGGCTAACATAAAGGATGATGAGGAGGACTTTGAGAAGGGACGTGGATAGACTGCCGATTTAACACAGCACCTTTATATGTTGCAACTAGCTCGAGCAACATCTCATCATCATCCGATTTTACCAGGCCGTGTTGCATTTTATCTTCAATATACATATGTGTTTTTATGGAGAGGAGTCTACAGTATCGGACATCCGGTGTGGTAATACGCGAGTGTCGCGTTATTCACGCGTCTCAAACTATCAGTTTGGTCAGGTCGTCTTATTCACTGATATCAATCATGACTGCCTCGCAGTCCGAAAAGTCAAGTTATTATGGAGCCTCTCTCTACAATGACGATGAGGAGCGAGGCAAAATGGACAAAGGACCCGAAAATCAGCCTTTTCTCGATAAGGGTGCCGCCGACTCGCATGCCAATCAGACCAGAACCGTGACGCTCTCGGTCCTCTTCTACATGGTTGTTTCCATAAGTATGAACATCTTGGCGTTCCATTGCACGACAGCATGGACATGGTCTCACGCTCCTTTGTCTTGTAGCTCTCTTGATGGTGAACAAAGCTGTCCTCCTCGAAGTCGCGTTACCTGTTACGTTTCTTTGGGCGCAACTGTTGATTGCTGTGGCTTTGTTACATATTGGAGGAGCTCTGGGATGGTTTACATTGCCCCGACTTGAGTGGACGGTCTGCCGGACGCTGTGGAGTCTCATGGCGATCAACGTTATTGGGTTAACAGTGAATACCTATACCATCCACTTCGGAGATGCAAGCTTTTATCAAGTAAATTTAGATGTTTCTTGTTTCAAGAGTGAACGACACCCACTTACAGCGCTTATGCTCAACAGGTTGCGCGCGGTCTTGTCCTTCCCTTCACGGTGATCCTCTCCTGGATTTACCTTGACAAGCCGTCAAGCATGGTTCTCCTTGCTTGTGGTGTTGTAACTACCGGATATGCAGTCGGCACTCTGATGGAATCGGCTCAAGTGAACATTCCGCTTAAAGCTGTTGCCTATGGTACGATATCTTCGTTTACGACTGCCCTCCATGCTATCATTATCAAAACAAGTATGGGCACCGTGAAGAACAACACAATTGCGCTCGTCTACTACAACAATGTGCTGTCAGCGATGTGCATGCCCATTGTAATGATGCTCAATGGAGAAATGTGGGTTTGGCATACCCACCTTCGTGAAGTTTCCATTTCAAATTATGGTGGAAGAGAGAAAATGCAAACGTTCATCGCCGGATGTCTGCTCACTGTATGTCCTATAAAAGTTGTTCTTTCTAAAGTGAGCTTGTATTTACATTTACCTATTGACAGGGTACACTTGGCTTTCTTCTTAATGTGGCCAGTTTCTTCCAAATCAAGATCACCTCCCCCGTCACACATGTCGTCTCATCGGCCGCTCGCGGAGTGTAAGCTTACCTAGCGTCGTGGCATATATTTATTCTATTCGCAAATTGATATACTTTTATCTTGTTAGTTTGCAGACTATCTTGGCTGTGTGGATTTTCAATGATACCGTCACAATCGCTCGAGCCAGCTCGATTCTCGTCATCATTTTTGGCTCGGGCCTATATACATGGATTAGACATCATGAGACGCTTGTACCAAAGGATAGAAATCATGCGTAAAGGATGTCTCGTCGAACGTTTACATAGTGTATAATACCCTGCCTAATTTGAATTAACCACATTTATTGTGACATTATCATGAAGATAAACAATCTATTTGCGGTCATCTTCTGCAGTTGCACTCATTTTTCCAAATAAAAATCCCCATCTTCCCTCTCATCCTTCTTGTTCTACATCCTTATCAGCAGCTCTCAAAACATCAGTCAATCATTACAAGATTGCCAATCTGGTGCTGAGGACCTCGCTTTACTGACAATAACAAACAATCCAAAGGACCATCATGTCACGCTACTACTACACTATCCTTCTACGATCGAAGGTGATTGTCTTTGTAGATTTTCTCCATGCTCATTATCCAGTTTACTTCTGTGTTACTGGTATCTGAACATTCTCCGACCCAAAAAGAAACGCTTCAGAACCGCCTTATCCAGGTTGGCTGTCGCCAGCGGCTGCCCAGATCCTGCATGTAGTCACGTGATCTTCAGATCGTTGAAAAGAATTGTCGCTCGCAGGATTGCTGCTGCTGATGGCCTCATCATGTCCTCTGTGCGGATCTAAAATTGTGTCATGCTTCATCAACTTTAGCGACAAGCTCCAATTATGCAGCTCCATTGAGGTAATTGCGTCAAATTGATCAAACCTGTCAAGATGCAACCCAATAGCTAGTCCATCCGTAGTGTCCCCATCCCTTTCAGGAGCCGACGTTGCTAATACAAGCATGTGAGGAGAAGGCCAAGGATGAAACCCCTTCTGGTGACACTTTAGAGATGGTGGCAGAGGCCGTCCATCACCAGACGCCGGTTGAGGAGATTCCCAACCATGTTGGACACTGCGACCCGGCGCAACCCGAAGCCGCAATTGCCGAACAGTCCACAACGCTTGCGTTTGACGAGGCCGACATGCAAGCTCCAGCTTCTGTCATTCTTTGTGACGAAACAACCTATTCGATTGCCCAAGAAGCAGAGTTTGATTTAGATCAAGTCCTTCTGTCTGGCGTAGATCTCGATCTACCACCCATCCCTGATGACCTGGGCACAACATCGCACCATGGATGTGAATTCGATGTTTTGGGCCTCATGGAATGGGTCGGCAATGATATCAAAGTTGACGACTCCGAATCGGATGAATTGGATAGATTGTTTGCGTCTCTAGATGATACAGATGTCAAATGATCGTGTTACAATACATGAGACTCCCTCCGCAGTACTCAGTATCCTGGATTCATCTGTCGGAATAGCTGTTTAGGAGTACATAGTTTGCTATTTGAACATTGGTCTGCAGTACCGTACTTCCTCTGCTCTAGTTAAACCCTACCATCGTGGGTTGTGAACGAGTAGAATGCATCGGCAATAAGCTTGCATAATTTCACAGCTTGGCGAAAGCTACCTACTTTACATCTGCTTGCGGCGCGGATGCTCTTCTGGGTGACCCAACTTTCTTCCTGATGGAGTTGACGGGGACTACCTGCGACAGTACGCAAAACAAGAATGGTTGACCCTGTTGCAAAAAGGATCCCATCCACTGGCTTCCGCAATTGGCCAAAGCACGCCAATTAATGTCAAGGTCAGTCAGTGGTGAGTGTTGCGATGGCTGCAACTTCCGCCTATGCTTCGAGTCAGGAAACGAATCGTGAGGAACGATTTCGCGCTGGATGACATAAGCCACCAACGCGCCCTCCGACGCGACTCAATGGATGATCGACGCTGAGGACAACGTCTGACCCTATGCTGTGCTGCGTCCATCCAGAAATGCCAGGGTTCATAGCTTACACAATGGGCATCAGTTTGATCGATTTCAGCACTAGGTGCAACGGTGAAGGAATTTTTGAGAGCCAAACTTCGTCATTGTTTATCTTTGTTACCCGTCATGTGTGCCGTGAACGGCAAACGTGGACTCTTGGCAAAAAGGGTTAATGTCTTTCTGGATAGATTGTTCTGAAGTTTTGAGGCTGTGTCAAAGTGGGGTTGGGGAGTGGGGTTGTGGAGTATGGTTATAAAATGAGCAGCAAGAGCAATTCAGCGCCGGAAAATACCGCAAGAGCTCTCCCTAGCGCATGTCTCTAAGGCTTCATCAATTTTCCAATTAAACAAACACGCACAAACATGAACCGCCTCTTCACTGCCTTCACTTTCTTGGCTTTAGTGGCCCTAACTTACAGTGCCCCGGCCTCCGACCGACAGTCTCACCTGGTTGCACGCCAGTCCAACAGCAACACGAAATGCGAAGCCGATCCGTACCCAAATTTGAACGGCACGTTCCGTCTTCAGAACTGCACAGTCGAATACGATAGGCAGCTGGCTAATTGCGACAACGCGACCAGTACCAAAGACTGCAAAGACGCTGCCAAGAGCCGTCGTACCCAGTGCGAGGCGATCTGCTCAACAACTAGTCGCGCGGTGGAAAGATGCGTAAAGTCTTGCAACAGGAATTGGAAAACATTTGATGACAAGATTTGCAAGCCGATTACAAACGGAACGGATCAGGAATCATGCAATGATATAGCTCTCTCGCAGGTTTCCGCTTGTCAGGATATTTGTTTGGAATATCATAAGGGATTGTAGAAGCCGAGAGGCGGATCATTTTGTTTAGATATTTGTACAGACCGGTTGGCCGGCAAAATTGGTTTGCGCGGACATTGGCAAACTCGAAAAGATTTGTAACAGTTGTGTCCATAGTTAATAAAGAAAGCTTGTAAATGTGACCGCTGCTTGGGGTATTTGTTCCAGCAGCCGTTGTCCCAACCACACGAGCCCTTCGGAAGGGACAATCTGAACGTAGGAATCCTCATGCGGAAGGCACGCAGACTCCAAATGCGTTCATCGGGGTCATCATACACCCAGATCATGTCCCTGTAAGAGACAAGAACCGAGCGCCATGCGCAATGATGCGTTTCTGAGTAACTCGGTGTCACTACCTCTCTTTCTTCACCCATCTCTTGACCCACCCAGCACTTTGTTGCTTTACAACAAACGCCCAAAGGAAGAGCGCACAGATCGCCCAAAATCCCACATACGTATGCTTCGATCCATAGAGAATCACGAGCCCACTCATTATCCATACACCCCACGTTGTTACATTCCGAAGCCTTAAACAGATGATTAATTAACACCACGATGTGCACAACATGAAGGGCGAGACGGCATTAGGTCGTCAGTAACATACCCCTCAGGCAGAGCGGTCACGTCCTCGACCCCGACCCATAGCACAAGAAGGCCCACAAATGGGTTCAGATTCCCAGTCCACACCCGGCCCTCCCAGGCGTCACGCGCCCATATGACAACGGCAGGAATTGAGTAGGGTTGGAGGAGGAGGAGAAGCAGGGTAATTGGAAGATGCTGTTGGGATAGCGTCTTGGCGGAGAAGAAATGATGAGATGTCGCCTGTTGCACTAAAGGCGACGGAATGCGCACCTTTTGATTACTGTGGGCGAGGAGAGCAAGAAGCAGAGCTAGGGTACAGAAGACATAGTGGGGTACAAGGCAGCAACCGAGAACGAAACTAATCAGGTAACCAGTAGGACCGAACGTAAGGTGAAGCCTAAACCGACGACAAACGTTAGTGCCCCGATAGACCTATCTCAATCGTACAAACTCGCCTTCTAACACAACGTCTCCAGATCCACCCCAGACCGGCACCAAGCAAATATCCAACGGCCACCAAAATCCCATAAATAACGACAGTTAACCCAACAGAAACGACGTACATGGCCGGTGCCAAGATCGCCCCCCACATTCCGCGACTACCCAGCAGCAGTCCACCAATGTGTGTTGCAAGAGGGACCCGGAGAGGGAGGGATACCAGGAGTGTTTGAAAGATGCCAAAAAGGTACAGAATGACAGAGATGGGCAGGTGGGGAAGGCTGGTGACAGCTGCAAGGAAGGACGAATTCCGACCTGTCCAGTGATACGTGAGATACCTGAAAAACATAGGCGACTCCGGTAACGAAAAACAAAAGGATACCATTTATATTTCTAGCCCAGATGTTACCGGATCCCGCAATGGCAATGCCAACGAGAAACGCCATCCAGCTCATCATATACCGTCCTACCAATCGTCCCATACTGCCTCTCCAATCAACAGACATCCTAACATGAAGTATACATGATCTGTCAGACCATACGCGAAGTTCCAGGCCTGTAAGACCGGGTACAGCCGCAGTATATTGGGGATCGCCGTAGAAGGACAGCCAGTCACCTCCGCTATTGCGGAGAAATTTTTCTTCTGAGAAAGGCGGAAAGGACTGGTGAATGACGGGAGAGAATAGCGGAGGGCCTGTGGAACATGTAAGCCGCAGGCGCATTGTGGTGAAAAGGACAGAATTGCGGTACTTACCATTTGGACAAGCCGACCGCCACTGTATGTGGTACTTTAGCAGACTACTCGTCATGCTGGGTATCCGCAGACGACTGAGCGTTGCTTTCACCGGAAGGGTTATATCAAAGCTGGTTAACACATCTAATTTACCGCCCTCATTAACAGCTGTTATATGATGCAGTTTCCACACAAGCGACACCACCCACCCGTAATAGAGACTTCCTTCGAAAATTTCACATCGGCTTCCTTCACCATCTCCCCCGCAAAGAAACCGCTTTGCCACGACCTTACATTCACAGCCACAAGTCCCATACCCTCCAGTTGATTCAATGGGACAAACCCATGATAGAGAACAGGCTCACCAGGGAGTGGTACAACCCAGTTACTGACCTTGCGGCATGCCTTCGGGTATGAGCCGCTTTCATCACTTTCCTTTTCGCAAAAAAGGACTTCAACTTCGGTCGGCTGAACGCTTGTGACGAAAGTAAAAGTGTCAAGTTTGGTCGACGGCGGCGGCAGTTCTAAGGTGTACAGCCCGCGAGAAACTGTCTCACTGGTTCCGGAGAGAGTGAGGTTGTGTCCCTGGATACGGTTGAGTAGATGGATAGGAAGGTCGGAGCGAAGCGATTCATCCAGTGGTCCTTCAGAGCATTGGGTTTACGTTGGTAAAAGCGCAAAAGTCAGAGACTACGGTTGCTCACCTCTCACGGTATGCTCGCCGATCCCACTTTTCAAAGCTCTGCCCAAGATAGTCATTCGCTCTTCCACACTACCGACCCTACCCCGTTTCTCAATTGCAAACAATGCCCGAACCAAAACTTTCATCAGCTGATTACACCACAAGATCGCTTTATGATCCGCAGCGGTCCAAACAAACGGGATACCCGTTGAATAAACCGTGAACCCATGGGAAGGTGGGACTATAAGACCAGTCTCCGCTGCGTCAGAAGAGATCATTGTATCCTGGTTTCCGCCTGCAATAGATACTAGCACGATATTGGATAGAAGGGTTTCATTCGAACGGACCAGTTCCGTTCGCCAGAAAAGATTTATGCGTCGGTACAACTTTTTCATGGTCCAGTCCAGCGGTGCGGGCGGCGAGAGGTGGGGCGTGGCAAGAGTAATGATGGTATGTACTGATTCGGGGCTGTATGTTGCTAACGTAGGGAGTGTACGAGCAACAATGCCGCCCATAGAATGAGTAACAAGGGCCATTGATGTGCGTTGTGGGCTTGGCTGGCCGGGAGAGGTGTATAACGACAGAATATATTTGATGGCTTCATTGACGTACTCGGCTTGGTCCTGAACAAGGTGACCTTGGAAGGCCGCCAGTTCTTCATTTGTATCGACTGGCAGGATATGATATCAATGTTCGGCAATAAAAAGGTCGCCAACGACCTCAACCACCTACTAGTAAACAAGTCAAATGGAGCAAGCCGTTGCTTTTCGTCCCAACTTAGCCCATTCAAGAGATCCCAATAGTGGCCTGACAAGATTGACCCAAGCGACCTGGCTTGTTTGTAACTCCCCGCATTGCCAGGAATAAAGAGGACTGGTACACCCACTGGCTTCACAGATTGAAACATAACAAGAACAAAAGGAAAAAAGATTTCGTCAAGCGAACGTTGTCCATTTACAAAGATCAAGTACCGCTGCATCTTGCATAACCCCGAAACCAGCCGCCCTCACCTTGTCCCCAATATTTCTCCCATCCCTTTCCTTGTAAAGATACAGTGCATACTTTCTCAATTTAGGGATAGAGTGTACAAACGAATCTACACGGACGTAGTCCGGGTGCATGTACGTCATATGGCAACCTTTCGCATCCTGCGAGCGATTGAAAAACGAGTCCAGCGACAAGAGGAGGAGGGCAAGTGAGAAGGCAGCAAGGACGATAAACCGAGCTGGGATGCCGGTTGGACGAGGCATATGGGCATGAGCTGTCGGAAAGAGAGAACGGTTGGACATGCCCTTGCAAGAAAATGCATGGCGGGGATTCAATGGGCTGCCAATCGACGACGAACGCTGACAGCAATCCCCAATCTCGCGCTGGTCACATGACTGTAAGGTCCACAGCAAGGCACTAGTCATTGAGATCGCAATTTGCTTTCCATGAGATTAAAATGGACCGCTACATTTCCCGTGCAGCCACGCTGGCCTCAGAAGCCAGCAAGTTCTCCAAGCGCCTAACTCAAGAAATTGTTGAAAGGTCGCGGGAGGTTGGGCTGCCGGGACATTTATATGACACTTCGGAAGAGAAGTACAAGGACATTCGGACACATTTGGATTCAAAGGTTTGCGACGGTTGGTTAAAGATGTGTTGTCTCGTATAGTGGAGCTAATGCGCTTCTGGAATAGTTTGATAAGGAAAAGATTGATGGGTTGAAAAGACTCATTGCGGTGAGTTTTGATTGGAATGAAGGCGCAATTATAGTATCTCGCATCTGACTACCTTGGAGATGATGTCCAAAGGACGGGACGTCAAAGAGTTTTTTCCAGGTACGGCTCTCGTTTGGCTAACACTAGAAGCAAAGTAATCTCAGCAATTCTATGACGCCGAATAGATGTAGTAAAACTCGTCGCGTCAAGCTCGTTTGAAGTGCGGAAGCTCGTCTATATCTATCTCCTCCGATATGCAGAACAAGAGCCCGATCTGGCATTACTTTCCGTGAATACGTTTCAGAAAGGTTGGTCTTGCAATATGGCGAGCTGCATTGTGTAGTATCCCAACATCTGCTCTTGTGAACAGATCTGACGGATCGGAATCCATTGATCAGGGCGATGGCGCTAAGGGTTATGTCGAGTATACGAGGTAAGGGAACACGACAGTCGCGATGCGATATCTGAAGGCCGCTAATGAGTACTTTACTTAACAGTGCAAGTGATTGCCCCGATAAGTATGTACCGATCGGAAACCAGGCGAAAACCACATACTAATCAAGACCATCCAAACAGTCATGTTGGCCCTCCGAAAGGCAACAACGGACCTTTCACCCTATGTCCGTAAAGCTGCGGCAAACGCTATCCCAAAGTCCTACAGGTAAAGTTGTAGTCCGACATAAGGAGACGATCGCCCGCAAATTTCACTCAACAATTTGACTGAATTGGTATACAGCCTAGACCCAACTCAAAAACCGCAGCTTATAGAACTCATTCAAACGCTCCTACAAGACAATTCCACCCTTGTTCTCGGCAGCGTCATATCAAGCTTGGCCCAGATCTGCCCGGAATCACTCGATATGATCCACAAACACTATCGCAAATTATGCCGATTACTTGTTGACACGGATGAGTGGGGCCAGATTGCTATTCTGGAAATTTTGGGGCGATATGCACGAACGTGGTTTTTGGAGCCGAAAGGTGTCGCGCTTACTCCAGCGAAGAAAGCAAAGGACTTTTATGCGGAGGATGAGGACGACAAAGAGGTGGAAATGATAGAGCGGACGGTATTAGGAAAGAACGAACCTTTGGATCCGGATCATGAACTGCTGCTCAAATCTTGTTTGCCGCTCCTAAATAGTCGCAATACTTCTGTAAGCCATTCTCACGCCTGATGCTAGCGCCGCGCCGTTCTGCCAGGCACCCTAACCCTGATCTGTAGGTCGTTCTGACTACTACCAAACTCCTGTTCGCCCTCGCTCCCGTTACCTACTATCCACCCGCAGCCAAGTCCTTAATCCGTCTCCTCCGCACCTCTCGCGAGGAACGTTACATTGTCCTCCTCAATATATGCACACTCGTCCAAACACATGCTGACCTCTTTCGCCCGTACCTGACACATTTTTTTGTATTCGGAGGCGAATCTCGGTTTATCCGCAATGTCAAGGTGGAGATTTTGGGACTTATTGCTGATGAAGGATGTGTTGGGAGAGTCCTGAAGGAGTTCGGAGAGTACGTTAGAATGGAGGGCGACATCGTCGTTGAGACTGTCAAGGTACGAACTTCGTCATCTAGCAGAAAATTGCAAGTAAACGCGGGTTTGATTTGGCATTGATATGGGCAGGCTATGGGACGGTTATGTGTGCGATTGCCGGATGTTGCAGAGCAGTGTTTACGGGTTTTGATGGGTTTGGTATCGAACAACGATGGTAAGTCTATCAATCGCAAAAGCGACCATGCAGATGCACGTCAATGGGTCTAAACTCAAGCCATGATGAACAGAGAACATTGTAGCCGAATCCGTCATTGTCATCCGCCGCCTCCTCCAACTCACACCTCCTGCCCAAAACACCCGCACCATTAGCCATCTGTCCAAATCCCTGGACCAAATCACATCCCCCCAAGCCCGAGCCTCCATTCTATGGCTAATAGGCCAGTACGTGGAGTCTGTCCCAACTATTGCACCCGATACCCTCCGGAAGTGCGCCAAAACATTCCCCAAAGAATCCGAAATTGTTAAGCTCCAGATCCTCAGTCTGGGATGCAAACTTGCGTGCGTGGATAAGAGAGATGTGTGCATAGCGTTGGTGAAGTATGTTTTGGAGTTGGCAAAGTTTGATGCGGATTGGGATGTGCGAGACCGGGCAAGATTTCTGAAAGGCATTGTCTTTGGTGACGGGATGAGAGATGTGAAAAGAATTTTGTTGTGTGAGAAGGCTGTTGGCGTCCCAACGAGTTCTTTTGCCGGTAAGATGACAATGAATGATCGTGACACCAGTCAAATACTAATCTTTCAAAAGCTCGACAAGAATACACTCTTGGCACCCTTTCACATACCCTCTGCCAATCCGTCAAAAACTACACCCCTCTACCGGACTGGCCCCTGACTCGCACTCCCGAAATGACACAAGCAGGAACAGAACGATCCGTGGATGAATCCGCGAAATGGAGTCGAGATCGTGTCGTATCTTCTGCGCCCACTGTGGTTGTTGGAAGAAATACTGGAAGAAAAGTCAAGAAGCGAATGGTTAGTTTGGAGGAATTCTATAATGAAAGTGAGAGTAGCAGCGAGGAGGAGAGCGTGAGCGAGATAGAGGAGGAAAGTGAGGATGAAAGTGAGGAAGAAGAGGAGGAGGATAGTCTGGAGGAAGACGACGATGATGACCAAGACGAAGACGAAGACGAGGAAGATGAGGAGGAGGAGGAGGAGGAGGAAGAGGAAGAGGAGGCAGATGGGATGCCAGGACCCAGTGGGTCACGTGTACCATAGGAGTAATCGTATTACGTAATATCCACGTGAGCATGGTCTCTCAGCGAAAGCTGCCACAGATCATTGCAGAGCTTTTGTCGCCGATCACAATGAATTCCACAGCTTCCAAAGGCGACCCAAACGTAACTCAACCCAAACCTCTGCCAGTGCCACGCACCAACACCCTTCCAACGACAATATCTGGCGGCGGTGGTAGTGGGGTGTGTCCCGATTGCTGTTCCAGTTGCTGCGGAAATGAGTGCATGCGATGTTGCAATACTGTTTCTGGACCGTGTGCTGTGCTGTGTTGCGCTGGTGTGTTTGGTGGTGTGAGGGGAGGTACTTGAGGGCAGTCGATAGAGTAGTATGTACATAGTATAGCATGTCAGCTGAAACGTGAGTCAAGCATTACGCAAGTTTTTCTACCAACGGGCGGGGAATGAGGATACTCCTGGGTGAGGGAGTCCGGAAGAAATTTGTACGACGATTATGCCACGATAGTGAGCTGGATACGAATGGTTCATCTTTAGAAGCGTTGACATAGTGAGGTGTGGGTGAATATCCGTGAGTTCCAATATGATGTCACTGTCCTTTAGCCCCTTCGTCAGAAAGCAAGGGTTTAAACGTCTGAGTCGGGCGAAGCTGCTAACGTACCTTGGAAGTTTCAAATGCGATCATAGTATCCCATGTCCTAAAGTAACAGTAGAAAAACTCTGTTCCAGAGTGCTATTTTCCGTTTAATCAGGTTTCCTAACCGCGCGGATGCTGGTCACCAATGTGTGGGGAATGACTCCACGCCGCAAGAAGAGTGTTGTCATAAATGCCCGAAAGGATTAACAGATGAAGGCAGCGCAGAGGCAAAGTCTCAAGATATCCCGCGTTGTAAGAACTTTGCGAAGAACCGTCGGTTTTTACTGACGCCTAACATCGCATTGGGAGCGCATGCTTTTCGTGCAGCCATCTCTGCACGGCCATCGCATTATAGTACATGCTGGAAAAGCGGACCGCCGGGCGCCAACTCTGGAATTGTCCAGTATCAGGAAAATCTCCGAAACTGGCATCACCTAATAGGAGATCATCATAATATCAAATACATGTATATACTACAAGTTGGGAGTTTGAGAGTCCTTATGAAGGGTGGTACCCAGGTAACCGTATCTGCTGCTCATAAGCATCCACATACCGTCTCTCGTCATTCAGTACCGTCGCAAGGGCGTTATAGATTGACATCTCGGATTCATTCGAATTCGGACGAACATAGTCGTTTCCTGCTGTCAAGATGGCTGCCAATTGAGAACGGTGGCTGGACTTCTGCAGCACTTTTGCGGCACGTCGACGTACATCGACGGGAAGAGAGGAGGTGCTATCGCATAGACTGAATAAGTCTGAAGCGAGTTCTGAGACGGTGTTTGTAGAGTTCATGTTTCGTAGTGGATTTCCACTAGTTTCTGGCAGTAGAGAGCGGATGTCTTGAGAGGATACAACGGGGACGCCAGATGCCATGGCGAGGAGAGCCGTGTCTACGGATGACAATGAAAGGGCAAGGACGACATTGGATGCTGCAGCTAAGAGTCGGTACCGCTCGTCGGACATATACTCTTCTTCGAAGAAATTCACGACCTCGGAGCGTCCGGTTGCGGTCCAGGCTTGCCGCACGGCATTTTGAAGTGGTGTTCCTCTTAACGGCACCATGACCAGCGTGCGTCGTTTGAGTAACTTCTTTAACGCCAATGCAATGTCTACCACTTTCGAAGCATCAATAACGGTGCCAGTGTACGCTACAACACAGGCAGATGATACGCCTCTCTCCCCCTTGAAAACCGCCCTTCGTGCTGCATTGAGATCCCGCTTCGGTGAAAGATACATGATATTTATGCCGCGTTCCAAATGAAGAACGGAATCTGGCTTGCGCGCTCCGTTTCTTTGCAGGATGATGTCGTGCACATGGGGGCTTCCTGTCATGGTACGATAGATACAGTTTCCGTTCAACGCCGACATAGTCGCAAACCCTCCCGACCGCCAGCCCATGTCCGCCGCGTGAACATAGTCGAATACCGCCGTTTGCCTTGGTAGATGTGCGCACAATGACGGCAAAGCGTCGTACCCGAAAACGGATTCGGATATCAAGAGCGCCTGGATGCGTCGACTGTTTGTTAGGTACACCAAAAACCGAGGGAAATCAACAGTTCTTAAAAACATGGGAAGAACAAAAATGTCATGGGTGTACATGTAGTATTCCGAACGGAGTTCATCGGACTGGTTGAGCACCGCTACAACCGTAATACGCCAGCCTAGTCTGGCTAAATCGCCTACCATCCCCAAAATCCTTCTCCCAGGAATATCGCCGCGGAAGCTGTCGATAAGAAACAATGCACGTCGTTTCGAACTAGGTGCTACAGAATTCAGAAATGGCGGAAGCCATTCTATGCTCTCGAAGGGTTGAGAAGCGGGAATATCATGCGCGGGCCAAGTTTGCGGCCCTGAATGCTTCTCGTTGATATATGCATGGGTCTTTTCCCAGGCCTTACCAAAGTTGGACCAGTTGTGTCCAGTACCAATCCGGTACCAATACGAATATTCGGGTATAGTAGCTCCCCAGGAACCGCTTTCCGCTAGGCATAACCAAAAGTCGTAGTCCTCCCCTCCATGGGTCAGCACGGGATCAAAAATGCTGCAATTACGGGTTGCAGAGTGTCGTACCACCGCCCCAGACGGGACAGTATTCTCCTTCTTTAACTTGGATCCCATGTGGGGGCCAGCTAGGCTGATATCTGCGGATGTTCCAAAAGTGACCATGTACCAGCTGGCAATGTCCAAATGCGGGTTCGTCTCCAACAACCAAACAGCTTGTTCGTAAGCAACAAGTTCTCGTAAGTCATCGTCGTCTAAGAATGCCTGATAAGGAGTGTTTACCTGAAAAAGGGTTTAAGCCAAGTTACTACGACATATGTTGCATTGCGTTTCAACTTTAGCTACATACGTGTTGAAGTGCAAACGTTCTGGCGGCCGATACACCGCGCTCCCCGGTATTATTTACTATCGTGATGCGTGAATCCAATGCAGCGATCCGATTAAGCATTTCAAGGGCTTCTGGTTTATCCGAATGATCGTTGACAATGACCCACTTGAAAGCTTGGAGGCTCTGTTGTCGCACAAACGGGGTTGTTTCTGTCTCCAGAAGCGGCCGAGGATTCTGGGTCACTGTCAGAAGGGTGAGCATTGGCTTATCGGCAGCCGCTGCTGCTTGGGTGACGAATTGATTGCGTGGTCTTGCAGGATGAATTGGAGTTTGTGTATAAAAGGTGGAATCATGCAGTCGTCGAGGGCGTGCTTCTGATGACACGCCAAAGGGAAATTCTTCGTCATTGCTCCAATTGTCCGTAATTATCTCTTCAGTATCTGGAAGCTTCTCGTTCCACAGTTCTACGTCTATCTCCTGTTCGCTGATGGTGTGCTCTGGCAGGTATCTTTTCAGATTGTCTCGGATGCCAAACATCCCATAGAATAAGCCCAGAAGAAATATCGTGCTTAGAAGCAAGATGGACCCACGTTTCCTGTACGGTCTCAGATCCGTTCGGACTTTCTTTTCAGCTCTTTTGGGCCCCGGTAATACTTGTATCGATAGACCTCCGTTGTCCACTGATCCGCGGATAACCTCATCATCATACGCCCCAGACAGGCCAGCCTCTCTGTGTATAATGTAGCTAGATCTAGCCACTCCAACGGCTATTAAGCCCATACCTGTTGCCAGTAGCGGAGACATGGAAACAGCAGCGTCCGGAATCCATCCATATTCATGGGTGAAAAATGCTAATCCCACCACAATAATCGATTTTACATCATCTAGGATTCCATATCTTGGGCGAACCGTGCTGCTGTGCCTTAAATTCAGAGCAGCAGGATGCCACATAGCGGTCAGGAGGCAGGTTATTAAAAACCAACCCCCTATTGTGCCGATCTCAAATGCCTGCTGGAACTGGGATATGTAGCCTCTTCTACACAGGATCAGTAGCAAGCTGGAACCGGCTAGGATAACCGTCCGATGGTATGATATGGAGCAAGAGGTATCAGCTCCACCCGCAGCGCCGTCCTTAACGCGGCAGTCGATGTGTAGAAGTACCTTCAACAATATACCGATAGCAGTGATGAAAAGCGCAGTCGAGTCAATGCTATCGACGGAGCATTGTGTCGCGAGAGCAATACCGAGTAGCCAAATGGAGTGAAAGACAATGGAAGATGTGCCATAGCGAGATCGAACGAGCACATATCTCAGGATTGCTGCACAGGGCGTATGCAGCATCCACAGGATCTGGAAAACAGAGATCGGCAAAAGGGCGAGGGACCTGCGCATACAATCAGACACAGTTGAGTAAAGTGCCCATATTTTCAATACCGTGTCAAGATGGCCTCCCTTTCGAGAGAATGTCATCCTACTTACCAGTTTTCTAATACATCGCTAACAGCAGCCACCACACCCCGTAAAAATGGCGCCGAATGACTCTCAGTCGCTCCAGACAAGGCGTTTGTAAATGCCAGGTCACACAGATGGCACGATAAAGAGACAAACAATGCGAGATCAAAGGTGAATTCTGCATCTGCCGAGGCGTAAATGAGCTTTCTAGTGAACACCTTGGCAGCATTGGCAGCAATGTATCCGATAATTGCGGCGTAGACATGTCGGTGGCCTTCATCCTTTGATTGCATTTGCGAAACAAGAGTCGGATGCGCAGATGAACGCGATCGCGTCGCGTTGGTCATCATGCCGCGCCACGTCGTTAAGCGCAGCCAACAGATAGCACATTGCAGGATTCGCGCGGCGTGAAGTGGATACCTGCCTTACATCTAAGTAAATTAAAGGTTATTATGAATTTGGAAGGGCGAAATTAGGTCAGAGGTAAAATAGAGGGGTAGAGGGGCATATAGTGGTAAGATCATCGATAGGTAACCGAGATGATCATTGTAATTAATCTCCCCAGCGCTCGCCATGAGGATTGTACGGCGACAATGAATAGAACATGGCTATGGATTAAACATGGGGAAAGGCTCAACGGGCTGCATTCAAGTCCCTTGCATCTTCGTCACATATCGCATCAACTTGGGGTGCACGTTGGTGCTTGTCAGGAACGCTTGATAAAAAAAGGGAACCAGGTTGACAAGTTGGGTACTCTTGGACGCATTCTAGAACAGCTGAGTGATCAATGTAGATGTTGTAACGATATAAGAAATATGTGCCTTCTTCAGTATTTAGGTGGATATGCGCTACGAACTACGGCCAGCAAAATGCGAGCAGTGACTCCTTGGCAGCTCTGTGCCGTAGTTTTGAGTTGGGAGGCAGAATTCTTTACTCCATATGACAGGTTCAAGTGGTGATATGCCAGGGGATGTAGTTAGCATTCTGATCGATGGACAAAGGTGCGTCACAACAAAAGACGAAGGAAGGTTCGGACACAACACTTCATGTACGGCTGTTCCAATGTTTGAAGCTTCACAAATATTTTAGAGGAATGCGATCAAACCCATCTCTTGTGTGTCCTTCAAACCCTTTGAATTCCATAATGTTCGACAAAACGCATAATAACTACCGTATCATTCATGAGGGAGAACTCTTCCGTTAAGTTATTATAGTGTGTCTACTATACAGATGTAAGTGTAATATATGTGTCGTCACCACCTAAATGTTCAACTCCAGCGCAACAGGATAGTCCATCCCTTTTGCGGTGAGATGCGCGTCTATTTTCACGAATGCATCCCAGATTTGTTTCTCCTTGGCTGTTAGCTCAGTCGGAATGCCAGCCGTCGCAAGGAGGCAGTCCGACCCGTCTGTGGTCCAGTCCAAATTAAATCCGCTCCGATCATTCATCCAAATGCTCGGCTGGGCGTGTTTGGATGGTGGAAGTTTTTGGGGAGTTCGTAAACCGTTGTTCACCCAGAGAAGTGCTCCTTGGTGGTCGCCATGCGCCAATTGTCTACCGCAGACCTATCATAGCCGGTTACTCCGGGTGCAAAGTTGAGCTCTTTGTCGACTTTACTTACTCGCAATTTGTCCCCAGAGAATTGACCCATAGCACCTCCATATCCTGGGTTCCACGCGTAGGGTATCCCGCTCATTTCAAAACCTATCCAGAACGTTTCCTTATCACCCCATACCCGCTGATAAACTTTACTAGCCCATGGTTTTGAATTTAGCAAGCATGCTGCTAGTAATCCTGGGAACACTCTTGCTTTGTTGATCACTACCACTCCTGACTCTTGCTCATGTTGGCTCTTTCCATAAATATACCGTGAGCCATATGTTCGACTAGAAGGATTTGGAATGACAGATAGCAGCCATTGTAGATCTTTTGCTGACCCTACCCAACCCGAGGTCCGATCATGGAAAAAGACTGCACCGGTACCGATGTAGCCCGGGTGTGCGTATAATGCAGACGGATCTTTAAAGAACACTGCATCAGCGTCCATGAAAATGGGCTCTGCAAAAGATGATGCTAGGAGTGCAAACGGCTTTGCTCCCCATCCGCCGTAGCCTGCAATTGAGATATCGATGACCTAACCAGGCAGTCTGTCAGCCTGGAGCAACTGCCTCATTGGATAAATGACCCCCACACAACCTTCGTAAGATCTTTACACTTTACGCCGGGGATCTTTGCTAAAAGTTCACGGTTACTTGCAGAGAGATCCTCTTCTCCCATGTACCAGATTTCGATTGGAAGTTTGCAGCGGTGAACCAGACGCATCCCTACAATCAAGGGATACGCTAGGGCCAAGTCGTGGTCTCCAAATGTATATACAAGCCCTCTTCCTTTTCCGCGTAACACGGAAATTTCATTTACGGGAAGCCATGGGTAAAGCAAACGGATGGCGTCTTCGACTGGTTTTCTTGACTTTGAATATTGAAATGCGTTGCTAAATGCGAGAATACGCGCTCGCAAGTTTGGCATATCTTCGAACGTTGTATTGAGCGGACTTTGCGAGAGTGGCACATCTTCCCATTTATATCCACTTTGATCGGCTACTGTGTCATCTTCTTGGGTGTAAAGGAAGCCTTCAGTAAGCTGGGAGGTGTCCTTGCTGTGTCGGAGCGACGATTTGCTACTTGAAGATGGCCACCATGATAGGAAAAGAAAGGTCGTTGCGATGATTAGAAGGAGAATTAGACGTCTGCGGAACATGATTCTCGACAGAGCAGAATGGTACATGACTGCTCTACTGGCCAAAGTCGCATTGGAAGAAGCTTTGGGTCGTTGCGCGTCACGAACGCGAGCAAAGTTTATTAGGTAAGCATAGTTGATAATTTTCAGGTGATGCGGTTGAAGGGCAAACAAGAAAATTGCTGACATGAATCGTTGAACCGTCTTTTTGAACAAGAACATTGCTTGGATGATGCGAGATGGTAAGTATCAAACGCAGACGCAATGGCAACAGCAATGGTCCTTTTCGAAATTAACTCGCCGCAAAAGGGTATAAAAAGTACGGAGCTCTCGTGGCGCTAGCAGTGCAGAATATCGCCTCCGTGATGGTCATTCGATCGTCGCGAAAGTTTGGCCGTGAGAATGCGGTCGCTTCAACCGCTGTGCTATGCGCCGAGGTCCTCAAATTTATCGTATGCACCGTGGCTCACGTCCTGCGAGAGGAGTCGCGGAGTGCCTCGACAGTTATTGCAAAGGATATCTTTGGAGAGGATTCTGCATGGAAAATGATGATGGTCCCGGCAGCTTTGTATACGTTGCAGAACTGGCTTCACTATTTTGCGCTTTCCCGTGTAGACGCAACAACACATCAGAGTGAGTAACACTGTCGGTTGGGGTACACTTGCACATTCCAATGGTTGATGTTGATGCTACGTTGTTAGTCACGTTGCAGTTACGAATCCTGTCCACTGCTATATTCTCCGTTTTTATGCTCAAAAAGAGACTGTCATGGATGCAGTGGGTATCATTGCTAGTGCTAACTGGTGGAATGGCGCTAGTACAGCTACCTAGTGGAAATTCGGCTACCAAGATAGAGGCGGGGAGCAAAGCTGCCACCGACAGGCTCATAGGTTTGGCTGCAATAGCCCTTATTTGTGTGACCTCGGGATTTTCCGGGGTCTACCTAGAAAAAGTGCTTAAGCGGACAGCTACAACCTTATGGGTTCGCAACATTCAGTTGGCATTCTTCAGCTCAATTTTCTGCGCCGTCTTTGGTGTGATTCTGCATGATGGGGCCGAGGTCGCTTCTAGAGGCTTCTTTGCGGGATATGGGTGGGCCACCATATGTGCGATACTGCTGAGTGCAGCAGGCGGACTTCTTGTTGCCATTGTCATCAAATATACAGGTACATTCCCTGCCTCAGTTCATTCAAGGCCAATACATTGTGCTTACCATCCCGTATGCCTGGTCCATTGCTATTAACCAGATAATATTGTAAAGAACTCGGCTATGGCCATCTCTATCATCACGAGCGGAGTGATATCGTCCCTCATTGGCGACTTCACACTAACGACGAACTTCCTTCTGGGTGGTATACTCGTGATACCATCCGTATGGATATACTCAATGAATCCAGCACCTCCGCCACCTAGTAAGCTACTTCCAACCACAGCGATAGAACCATTCATTTTGAGAAGCATTAAAGTTCGTTCTTATAAGGTAGGGCTTATGGGAGACTTCCGTAAATTTCTTGTTTCTGTGATGTTGAAGCACGGATCTCAACTATAGGACTGAAGCCGGCCAGCTACACTGTACATACATATTATTAAATTGAGCGAGAATTAGAAGACATGCCGCACACTGTGTTCCATTCCTGTACTCTTAGTACCTATACATATTTCGAGCTCATGGGCAGACAAGGATTTCGTGTGTAACAGACATATTTAGCTGAGGGCTTTGGTGTCCTCGCATATCAAATTGAATATCACAGTACTGCCCTAGCATATGCGTGTTATATTGAGGATTGTGTAGCGCACGGTCAAGGACTTCAGCCAACATCAAGTTGAAATAGTGCGCGAATACTTTCGGCCATGCTGGGTTAAAAAAAGCGATAGATAAGCGTTGACCTTCACTGTAAAGGGTGCTCAAGATATACATGGTGCCGTGAGGCAAAGAATGGGTTTGATCGTATTCGGAAATATACAGATATTTACAGAACTTGGTTAATTTGGTTCTGGGTTCACACAATACTGGTCAACGCCACGGAACCAATTATCAAATATTCGGCGATATAGCGGATGCGCTTCTCCATGGACCGTCCGGTCTGCGATATACCAGGGCTTTCCAAACTGGCCGTTAGGTTGTTCACTGAAATGGACGGCATACGCTGATCTGGCCGCATCTTCTATGGTTTTGTATGGTATATGTGATGATTTATCCGTCGGGTTTCCACGAAGGTGCCCATTCAGAATAATGGTACCAAAAGGAAGAATTGACATCCGATTACGGTAAAGGTAGTTAATCTAGCAAACGCACAATAAACTCAGATCTAATCAAACGGGCATGTATCTTCCAACAAGACTTACGACGTGCATGCCAAAGGCAGAATTCTTCTTCTTCACTCGGTCGGTAAATTCATTTTTAATTTCGAGCAAAGTGGCTTCCAGAGGTGTCAACACCATCATGCAATTTGTCACCCAGGGCTGCTCTGCTGTGAGCCAATGTGCTCTTGGAGCGTAGAGAAAATAATCCGGTAAATCAAAGAACTCGTCCATATTTCTTAGCGGGTACATATCAGTATCCAGGTAGACAATGCGGTCGTACTGTGTCAGGTTGAATATGAACAACATTGTTATGGAGTGTTCGTACAAGCGTTGGGTCGGATGGACATCCGTATATAGCCATGGAGCGGTTGGGATGAGTTTGACGTTGGCCAGCTCAAAGTTTGTTGCGATACTCTGGCGATACTGCCTCGTTCATTGCAACAAAATCTACCGATCCTCAGTGTCCTTGAGAGCCTGATTGACCACGAGCGCGTTGCAGGTGTATCTTTGCACCACGACCGGTATTGATTAGCTACTGTGTTGAAAACTAGAGAATGGTAATAGAGAAATCCTACCTGTCATTTGTCAGGTAAAATGCATACGCATGTTTGCTTTGTGGCCGGCAACCAATTGGAGGGTGCTGGAATGGTGTCCCAAGTGGGCTTGACAAAATCTCGCCCGAAGTGGTCCACTTTTTGGCGCGAGGACATGTCCGCATTGTATAGCAGCACAAAAATGCTAGTGGCTCCTCCGGCTGCACCGCTTGCAGCCCTGAGGCGGTAGAAGGAGACCGATCCTTGTAGATTTGTCTGGACGGCAAAGATGGCAAATGCACAGAGGAATGCAAATGCAATCTTGTGCGCAAGGTACTTTTGCCGCAAGCACCCGCGAAAGGAGTTGATGGTTGTTCTTGCTTTCATAGTTGAATTTTGAACAAAGATATGCGACAAGGTTAGTTTGCTGGAATCCTACGAACGCGACGGTTTATGTAATCCGGCCGCGTATCGAGTTGGCAGGATCGCGCGACGAAACACTCGCTTTTTTACAAACATTTGGATGTAAAATGACCCAAGACCCTGCATAGACTTGCAGTGTAACATTGTTGATCTTTTGCATCCTTGCCATGCGTTCAATGTACACATGTAAAGGGGGTCGGATCGTAATGACCTAAGTGTTCGGCTAGAGTTCCTTTCGACGGCAACTTTAGGCGGTTCATACAAGCATGCCCTTCCTGCGTCTATTCTCGCCCAGTACTCTTCATGATGTGACGCTGACGCTGATAGCGACCACGCAAGATGAATTCAAGGGCAAAAATAAAACTTACCAAGGCTTTGAATACCTTTGGCTCACCTTGCACCATGGGTGAGTCATGACGGAAAACACGTGATAGCTGACGGTGTGATGAACTGTCACCACCAACAACCAACCAACAACTTTTAACCCGAAAACTGCAATCTTTCATGGAACCTTCATCGGGACGGCCTTCCCATACAGCAAGCTAACCACCTCATCCTCGCAAAACATGTCAGAGCGAGAACAATCAACAAACACATTCCCATCACAGTCTGAAGGTTCTGATCCCGACATGGCTCAGTTGGTCGATGACTCGGACACGAGCAGTAACAACAGCGACCATGAGCACATTGAAGGCGGAGGCTACTGGTGTCACCAATGTCAAAGCGAAATCAGCCCGTTGATGGACTCTGGAACACCTACCTGCCCACAATGTCATTCTGAATTTGTCGAGGAGGTGAGGTTCCATCCGGAAGTCTGTGTATTAACTACAAGTTCTTACTATTTCCTTGTCGAAAATTCTTAGATAGAAGAAGATAACGATCCGCGAGAGTTTGTGCACAGTGATGAGGATGACCATCAAGACGAGTTTTATGTATTTGGGGGCGCGCCACCAGCAGGGATGGGATTACCGAGGGAGGGCGACCGAGGGAATGCTGGTGATATCGCAGGGTTGATTCAGCAATGGTTGGGTCAGATATTGCAGCCGCAACCAGGAGCTGCAAACAACCGGGAGGCGGGCGACAACCAGGAAGAGCACCAGGGTGACACACATGAATCAGATAGTGCGGAGCACCATGACGAAGAGGGACATGCCCTTGCGGCAGAGGAATTAGGGGAAGCAGCGGGAGGAGGTGCTGCAGCGGCGGAAGGACCGGATGGTACGCAGCCACGAGGGCTTCGATTCACACGTCGACCTGGTCGTCGGCTCAACATTGCGATTAGGACTGGTACGGGAGGGAATACGGAGGGAAATGTGCCAACATTGGATTTAAATGCGTGAGTTCTCGATGCATCTGTTCGTAATCATCGCGAGCGCCCTAAATCCCCTTTCGTAGCGTTCTGGAGCTTCTGATGGGAGCAAACGGTGGAGATGGTACAAATCCATTAGGAGCATTCTTTAACATGGTTGGAAACCCCGGAGGTATACACCAGTGGACTTTCTCAATGTTTAAGTCGCCTAACTCCCAAATGTATCTAGATTACGTTTTTGGACAGCGTGGACTTGATGATATCATAACACAATGTGAGAATCTTTTTCTGTATGAAGTCATGTGATGTCTTGAATCTAACTGAGTGGTTATTAGTAATGGAACAGGCCGGACAGTAAGTCTTTGCATGCCCATGTTTGCAAGGTAGATGTGAATGCTCATCTGACTCCTGATACAAAGACGAAATGCCCCACCACCAGCGCCACAAGACCTCATCAAAGCGCTACCGAGACAGAATGTGACAAAGGCCGACATAGGTATGTGCCCCGACACCCCGACAGTGTGATCGACTATGCACTTGAACCAACCATTCATCCTACAGCGGCCCACAGTGAATGCAGTATATGTCAGGATGATTATACAGAAGGCGAAGAAGTAGTCGCACTCCCTTGCAAGCATCTCTTTCATCAACAGTGCATTGAGAGTTGGCTGGAAGTCAATGGTATGCTTTCAATCGCCAATTTCAATGTTCTGTATGTTAACACAGGTCTCTTTCAGGAACTTGCCCTGTTTGCCGATACTCCTTGGTGAGCAAGCAGGAAGACAATGCAAACGAAGGGCCTGTGCAAAGTACAAGCGCCAGCCATCAAGCAGACTAGGAATCATCTGTTATCCGTTGGGCATAACAACATGGCAGAGGAGAAGGGGTGGGGCATGAGGTTTTAGACGGTAATATGCCCGTGCTGCTCAACATCAGACGGCAGTGAAAAAAGGGTGTGCCGGTATTTGTACATATATGGGCTGAAGCAACTCCGCTCGTCGTCGTTTGTTTGTGGCACAGGTTTGAACTTTGATCCGGATCCAATCGATTGACCTCCGTGACTCACCCACCAGACGAGCGTGGAATTTGGGAGAAAAACCCAAGGGCTGGCGAAGGATAAAAAAAGGAGAGCAATCGTTCAAGGAAAAGCATCCCCAAACTTGCCAAGGGGGTTTATAGATTTCGGGGCAGTGAAGGCAAGATTGTGGAGAGGCGCACTGCCAAGATTATAGACTTGCCAACAACGATTGTCCTTTCCTGCACGTCTTTCCTGGACCTCATTTTGCAAAACTCATGGCCCCACCTGAAGCTCACCACCAGGCGGACCCTGAGCTCAATGAGACCCTGCACGACGATTCTGCTCCGATCCTGACCGAACGTACACCCCTTATTCACAACTTGAAGGACCATGATGGTGACCATGCAGAACTTTCCGTTACCGTTCTCAAAACTGAAGCCAAGACGCTAGTGTCTTTGGCATGGCCGGTATCGTTAGCATACGTGCTCCAAGTTTCTCTCAATTTGGCCCAAATATTTTCGGTGGGGCATATCGGCACCAAGGAGCTCGCTGCGTCCGCTCTCGCGACGATGCTCTGTAACGTAACCGGGTATTCCATTGGTATGGGAATGGCGTCAGCGCTGGACACATTGTGTTCGCAGGCACATACTGGAAGCAAGGACCCGCATGCTCTCGGCAAGCACATGCAGAGAGGTATTGTCGTCATGGCCGCCATGAGCTTGCCGATTGGCATCTTGTGGTGGTTTGCGGCAGATTTTTTAAGGTTAATGGGACAGCAGGAGGACATTGCGCAATTGAGTGGAACCTTTGCAAGGTATGCCTTGATTGGATTGTTTCCAATGTTGGTGAACGAGTGCATGAAGAGGTATTTGCAGGCGCAAGGTAGGAGGGTTGTGCTTTTCTGTCCGCTTCCGTAAACTTGTTTTGTTAATTTGAAATGGCTCAGGCATCATGAAGGCAACTTTAGCTGTTATCATGATCGCTTCCCCTCTTAATGCCTTCCTCCAATATCTACTTGTATGGTCACCCATTGGCTTTGGAGTCATTGGCGCCCCTATCGCAACGTCAATCACCTACTGGTGTCTCCCAGTTTTGACTGGTCTCTACATCAAATTTGTGGCTGGCGGTGAATCATGGGGAGGCTGGGAATGGAAAGAAGCACTCGATTTATCACAGATCTGGGAATTCTTGAAACTCGGGCTACCTTGTGTTGCCATGACGTGCAGCGAGTGGTGGGCTTTTGAAATTATAGCGCTTGCTGCAGGGTGGATTGGCGACAAGGAACTGGCCGCCCAAACAATAGTCTTGAATACGTGTAGTTTGACGTATGTTATCCCTCTGGGAATTAGCATTGCCGCGTCTACACGCATTGGGTATGTTGTCAGTATGCTTTCCCCAATATGCGTACCCATAGGCTCACTCTTGCTTATAGGAACGCCCTTGGTGCCTATTGTCCCCGGACAGCGCGAGCAGCTGCAGTAGCGTGCATCCTCCTCGCCCTCTGCGTTGCAACCGTCAATTCGTCCGTACTCATCAGCGTCCGGCATGCCTGGGGCTGGCTCTGGAGCGCAGATGAAGAGGTCGTTAGGCTGGTAGCTACGGTCCTCCCACTTGCAGCCATCTTCCAACTTAGCGATGCGGTAGGTGCCGGAGTGGGCGGTATCTTGCGTGGTTGCGGGCGGCCGGATCTTGGCGCATACATTAATTTGGCTGGGTAAGTTCCGTTTAAATGTGTCGCCAGAGACTGCTTCATCGCCACTAACGCACCCTCATTCTAGATACTACGTAGTTGGCCTTCCCATTGGCCTAATAGCAACCTTCAAATACAACATGGACATTGCCGGTCTTTGGATGGGTTTAACCATCGGCCTGTTCCTCGTATCCCTTACAACGCTTATTATTGTTTATCGCTTGAATTGGACCGGGGAAGCGGATCGCGCACGTACGAGGATTATGAAGGTCGATCAGGGGTATGGTGCTCTTCTGCCTGGTGATGTCCTGGTTGATGAAGCAACTACGAGGGATGATGATGGTTATTTGAGCGCCTAGTATTGACTGAGCAAAAAAACGTAACAGTTGGGATGTCCCAAGAGCTGATAGGTTACAATCCAAGTTCTTTTGTTGTGATGTAAATATTTAATGGGATTTGGGATGTGAACATGTTAAAATAGCCGTATTGAATGTGAATTGGCCAATTTCGTTCATGAGTAATGGCTTGTTGGGGTTTAATGGCTGTAAAGAATCTGCACTGAAATTTGCAAAAAGTTTGACAAACATCATCAGTAAAGAGTGACGAGAGTGGGATTTGAACCCACGCCTCCGGAGAGATCAGGGCCTTAACCTGACGCCTTAGACCAACTCGGCCATCTCGCCATGAGAGTCGGGAAGGTCTTTTAAATAAATGTACAGTTTTTTGATATCGCGATACTCATTTATGAGATTCAGTGTCAGTAATTCAAACTCATCGGGTCAAGAAATAGGGACGTTCATTGACGTAAAATTATAAATGACTGCACGCCATTGACGAATCCCTAAAATACACCGTCTGCATGCCATGCCACCCAACTATGTACAGAATCATAAGATATGCTAAGAACCGGCGGGTCTGGAACGCGGATATCGTTGTCCTGCACAGGAAAGTTAGCTATTTGATTATGCTTATCTTGCAATTCTCAAACATGCATACCCCATTCGTCTTGTGCGAATCCAGCCTGTTCGGCCGTGCGTTTATTTTCAGTATTAGTTATTGTTGTCCCCGCTACTGGGGCTGATCCAGGAACCGCATGGTTGGTGCCATGTCCCCCTGCTAATGGAGGTCCAGGTTGTTGAATGCTATTTTGCCCGTACGTCATCAATGGTGGTCCAACAGGGTGTGGTGGATTGATGACGGGCTGGTGCTGAGTGTATGGACTGTGAGGTATAGATGGTGCAGCTGATCCCGCCGTTGAATATCTCGGGGGTATATAAGATTGCGGGCTTCCGGCTGAAGCAGCCAGTGTCGCGGGATTGTGTGGTGGGTTAGGTGCGTAGGAATAGACTGGTCTTGATGGGTAAGTCGATTGCGGTGACGCAGAGTAGTAGGGTCGGGGTGAGCTGCCAGGAAGAGGAACGAATGAAGATCCGAAGGCAGGCGAGATGGCTGCCGCTTGGGAAGTGAGTCCAAAAGGGGTGGAGGATGACGCGAGTCGAGGTGAGTGAGATGCGTTCAGAAAGTTTGGAGATCCATGTGCCGATTGTATTGGTGAATTCGCAGAGGACAGCGCTGGTATTGAGGTGTTGCTGTATGGAACTGGTGGTTTAGGTGCAAGAGACGGTAGACCCTGGCCTGCAAATCTTGGTGAGTTATGTGCGCTGCTTGAAGTCACAGAAGGACGGATAATTGGGAAGGCCGGTAAGGTTCCTGGATAAGAACCAGCATAACTGGACGATGGTTGAGGCATTGTAACAGGCAGGCCGCTATGTTGTGTCGGTGGTGCGGGAACTGGTGCTTGCGACCAAGAGGGGTGCGATATGTTGTTTGAAGATATTGTACCACTTCCCATCTGAACGCCTTCCATGCTGCCATTTAGGCGGCCCCCACCGGTCGCAGAATGTGTAGGTACTGCAGCGCTGAGTCCATTGACGATGCCAGAGCGCGGATGCTGATGCGTGGGCGGCGCCGCCCGTGTTGGTGCATTGAGGATTGAGCGTGATGCATTTTCTGTCGACGGCGTTCGAATCTGCGAGAGAGTTTCAAGTGATTCCGCCTTTACAACGTGCTGGCTAGAACTTTCGGTAGTTCCATTGGACACCGCGGGCCCTTTCCCTTTCTGTTCATGAGCGCGCGCAGTCGGTGGTTCAGGCTCCTCGTCGCTGCTCAATGTCAAGTCGATCACTTCCGGTTCTGTCCGCTTTCGAGGTGATGGCTTTGGCCGGGCAGTTGATGGCTCTGCGCAACAGTTAGGTCAGTAGCGTGTACACACTCGCACCGCTGAGACTTGGCCTTAGGCACTCACTTGAAGAGGCAGGAATAAGTCGCTTGTATTGTTTAATCTCTTCTTCATCAGAATCCACAGACAAAACCTCTCCCGTGTCCACTGTTTCTTTTTTTTCCTCCGATTCAAGCGTCTCTTTCTTATCGCCTGGCACATACCAAGACCCATCCGGCCGAATCTCAACCATATCCACATCTTCAGACACGGACTGCAATATATCCATGAAATATCTAAGACACACCAAAGGGATCAAATCGATATCAAGCACCACGTAAAGCTACCAACTGAAACAAAACTTACCCGTCAATCGAGATGGACTCCCATGATTGAATATATTTACTACAAACATTTCAGCGTGAGGTCAGCTTAATGCAACGTACTATGCAGTATAGAACTCAAACCCAACCTGCAGATAGGACATGTCCATGTCGGCACTTGCTCGTTCAATGCAAAAAATGTTGAGCAATCAAAGCACTGCACATGTGTGCAAGTCGATGGTCGTGCGGGGTACGTCATTCGCACCATGGACGCAGGATCTTTGAGAGATACTGGGATGTCCGATGTAGCAACGACGTCATCATCGTCGGCCTGAATTTGCTGTCCTGTGTAAAAAGATATACTATTAATGCGAATGGAGGGGCAAGAATGACCACGAACGACGTACTTTCTGCAAGGACCTGCTCTTTAGGGATAAACTTTGTGCTGCGGATCCGTTCTACAATGGTATCAATAGGTACACGAGTCACTGTTTGTACGCTCATCAAAAATCTGGTTGGTTGATCTCGTTGTGTCTAAAAATCGATTTATGAGCGTTCCATAGCCAAGATCGCGGTATCTACGACGGTCCAGGGACACCTACTCGTCTGTCGCGATCTGGGAAAGGTAGATTCTGCTTGTTTGGAAGCTGGCCAACGCGGAGTTCAACTCGTTGCCGCCCACCTCCATGCTTAAGTCGACAATGTCGGGTGATATCCGCTGGTTGACCCGTCCAGGGCTTTCCCTTCAGTCCAGTGAATTTCTATGCAGCACCTATGAGTGGAATCACCTCGCAATGGACTGCGCCGTTAGCGTACCTTGATATCAACTCGCTCATTATTGACCCAGAGCTCACAGGGGACAGGCCATTGCAGCGAAAGAGGTGTATGTGCAACTTCATACGGGCCAATGAAAACCATGACCTGATACGGAGGCGGGTTGGAACCTAACGCAGCTTGCAATCTGGTTGCTTTCTCTGCGCTAATATCGAAATCCACTTTGAAACTTGAATTTGCGTGCCGACCTAGACGCAGTGGCAGAATAAGTGACGGCCCACATCATCCACGTATCCCATTGACTCACAGTCACAGATTTTTAGCGCCGACAACTTCTGTTCTACCTCCCAGAATGGTGAACCTTTGAATGAATGCGGATCTTGCGATATTCTACCCGATCCATGCACGTTAACAACTGCAGAATTCCCCGCCAATTGTCCCATCGTAGCGAGGGCAGCACTGGTAGTGCTCGGTGGAGGAACTTTGAGGCGAATGCCCCTCGGGGATCCAATCGGCCTGGATGAGGAGGCTGGCGAGCTGTACCCGCTATAAGTCCTATTGAAAGATACATGAGATCCACGTTGATATGGATGGACCAGCAACAGATTCTAATGTTCCAGTTCTTAAAAGTGACAAGATGGTTACCTATCGTCAAGCTGCTGTCTCACCAGATCGAATACGCGATTAACGTCCTGGTGCCTATTTCTCGCGGCATCCTGGAGATATTCTTCAAGTCGCTCTTGAAGGTCAGGTTTGTTACCAGTTCCAGAAAGTTTCAAGGATTTCAGCACTTCCTTCAGCTGTGGTTTAAGTAGGCGAGGGATATGTTTGCGCTTGAGATCCTGAACAGACCACATGTCGTTTAGTTCTTGCAGCTGAGAACCCCTGACGAAAGGCTAAGCAGTAAGACACTTACGTTTACAAGTGCACTTACACCGTCCGCCGACATCCTCCTCGGCAGACGATTGGAACTAAAAAGGCCCTGCTAAAAGGACTTAGCCCTCCAGTTTTCAACGCCGTCCCAAAAGGAGCTCAAATCCGCGTTCGACTGCTGCTACTGGAAACGGCGGGTTCTAATTTTCTTGAGTACAGAGAGCTGGACGCCGAACCACCTCCAACAGCCTCGTTACGAAATAGTTTTCCTCCGATCGACAATAAAAAAGCGCTGTGCGTAGGATTTGTCAATTCGCTTCTCCCCGCACCAAGTCAGCTTATGATGATAAATAGGTGATAAATTTATAGTGGAAGGAACTTCTGGGTGCAAGCAGCTCCGAAATGGCAGATCGTTTTCTTGTTGATTGGAATCCCTCAAATGTCATTCAGAGACATGTCTCAGGCAAGCTCGCCATGCTCAACGGTTTCTCTTCAGTCCCTTTTGTGACTGAGGATGCAGGCACCAAGGTCAAGGATTCTTCCTATACTCTATCATTTATTCTTCAACGAATTGAAAGACTACATTCCACTGTCCAGCAACAAAACACAAAATAAAGGCAATGTCAACACCAAAACCTAATTTCCACAAAGCTAACAAAATGAACAAATCCACTTCCAAACCCCAGCAGTTACCACAACATTGATTTAACTTGGTGCGTACCCATTACCATAGCCGGCGCCAGAGTGTTGTCCACCTCCGTTGGCAGCTGCCCGGCGAGTAGGTCGAGAGAGCGTACGTCTCAGCGAACGGTTCCGGAGAAGATCTAGTTCTGCTTGTGCTACCAACGGCTTTGTCTCGTAGCCTATAAGAAAACTTTAAGTACGCACCCAATTTTTACCATAGCTGATAATCAACCCACCGCTGTAGCCATTCGGGTTGGCGTCCCGAATCAATTTCAAAAAGACCTCTTCAAGGGTTGTCTGGCTGATTCCCCACGCCTTGACCCACTCCGCCTCGCCACTTTCGAGGAACCGAATAAAGCGCGGTAACATCTCTCCACCATTTCTACTCGTTGGGAATTGGTACATGAGAGCTCCGGCAGAGTCGTCCTCAAGAATGGCATTCGGAACCATGTTGGAAACTGTTTGTTTTGCGATCTCGGCGTTTGCTGGATCGCAAATAATGGAGATACGGTAGCCAGTACCATACTTGGTTTTGAGGGCGATGGATGTCCCCAGAGCCCGCAATCGGCCGTGTGCCATAATTGCGATCCGGTCGCCAAGCTGAAATGGATCCGTCCATCAATAATTTCACCAGATGAAAAGGCAGTCTCCCCGGAACTTACCACATCTGCTTCTTCCATACTGTGAGTCGTCTGTACCGGATGGAACGTACACATGAGCGCCTGACACAAACGGATTTTGCCAATTACATGCATAGAACTCACCAACACAATGACACGCCCCTTCTTGAACTTCTCCACAAACTCCCATACGTGTCTTCGATTCACAGGATCCATTCCAGTGGTCGGTTCATCCATGAAGATGATTTTTGGGTCACCAATGGTCGAGATAACCAGACTCAAGCGTCGTTTCATGCCACCAGAGTAAGTGCCGGCTCTTTGGTTGCGAACTTTCCATAAACGTACAGCTTTCAGACGTTCTTCCACAAGGGCAGTCCATGTGTCTTTACGAACTCCCTTTAAGCCAGCGTAGAGACGAATATGTTCTTCAGCTGTCAGGTCGTCAAAAAGAATATCATGCTGTGGGCAGACTCCCATGATGTTGCGGATCTCAGGCATTTGACTGCGAACGCTCAGATTATACATCAATGCATCACCCGAAGTTGCCGGGGTCAAACCGGAGAGAATCTACCGTATGAAGGGCAACATCAGATTTGGCGTCTACGCATAAAATGCCTCTGGTACCTACATTCATCGTCGTAGACTTTCCTGCACCGTTCTGTCCCAGTAAAGCCAAAAGTTTTCCCTCCTCAAAGTTTAGACACAAATCTTTGACTGCAACTTTATCTTCCTTGCGTTGAATGAACCCGTTTCGGTAGATTTTGCGCAGGTTGACAATACGGACAGCGGCATGATATGCTGAACGTCAAAGACATATCAGAACCGCTTTCAACTTTTCATACGTTCCTATTCACGCTTAAGCCGTAACTTACTCTCATCCAACGCCCTGTTTCGCTCGTCGGCAACATCGGGATCCTCGTCTGCTGGAGGAGTCGAACCAGGACTCCTCCTTTTCTCGCTCCTGAGCCAGTCAACTTCTCCATGCTGCTTACGACCCCGCCCCAATCCCCAGTACTCTGGGGTAATAAAGAACCAAGGCGGCATACTCCATCCAAACTCATCAGGAATAACGCAGTCAAAGTACCATGTCAAAACGCCATAGAAAGCCATGTTCATCAGAAGAAAGTACCAACTCTGTATCGGCGGTGGTACATCAGGAGTATTGCCTGACGCATATATGGGGCGGAGCTCAACGGGGAGAGGGTCGTAGAGTGTGGACCAGGAGAAACCAGGTCCAGGGATAAAGGTATTCGTCAAAGAGTCGAGACGACCAGTTGTGTACGTTGTGATATCTAGGAAAGCCTTTCCACTGCAGAATACATATATGAATCAACATTTGTATGGTTGACCATTCAGAAATGAGTCAGACACTTACAAGTTGAAAAAAGGAAAGAACATAAGAACTAGACAACCAGATTAGCTATCATGTTCGATGCGGTTGTCAACGTCAACACAGCGGATACAGCAAGCTTACCAATCCATCCAGCCGGGCTCGTCCCTTTATCCCACCAGATGTAACCGACAAAGCTGCTACTAAAAACAAAACTCTCGAACAAGAGCCCAATAATGAAGACGAAAATGCCGATAAGAATGGCAACTCGGGCCTTCCGGACAAAAGTAGTGATGAAGAACGCCAGCATCAGCATTCCCTCGCCGAATAGGAAAAAGGTGAAGAATATCACGCCAAAATTGGTGTTCTTGAATGCAAAGAACCCAAACATTAAGCCGAATATCGCTGTCACGAATGCGCCGACTGCAATGAGGAGGGAATTCGAAAGAAAGTGTGACAGCCAGTACACCGACGACTTGAGGCCCATCATTTCCATTCCATGACGCAATTTGTTTTCTTTTTCAGAAACGAGCAGGTTGAGGACGTTGATAAAGATCACCATTTCAGAACAGAAGAAAAAGACGGGACCCAGGTTCTGCACGATGGTGTCCGAAAGCGTCTTTGGTGGGATCAATGGCCAGTCTTTAAGTGTTACGTCCATACTCGTGGGTTGGCCACCATTCAGAAATGAGACTGTGAACAACAGTACGGTCAAGTCGCAGTTCATGTTTCACGTCACGAACAAACGCTTACTGATAGCTTCGTCCACTCCACGCATAAATGAAACCACCTCGCGGCCGTAAACGTCGGTGCCGTTGGCAACATTCGATGCATTATACCAAACCTGGTACGCAATGTTGCGAGGAGGCCCAGGTGTATCCGTGAATGTGATACCTACAAAAAGTGGATTGACGTATAAGTACTATGAAATAAAATTATACTTCTATATTCATGCCCATACCCCAATAAGTGACGTTGGGATTGAACAGTGTGTAGTTATAAATGAATTGGAACGATGGTACTGGGACCATCCCAAGCTTCCTTGGGGGCAAAGTAGCGAGATTGTTCAGAGGAACTTCTTTCGGAAAAGCTGGTTGCCCTGTCCTCTGCGCGTTCTTTGTTGCAAACAAAGCGAGAATTCCGTCGGTAGTGGCATCAGACGGTGTATACATAATGTTTATGCAGGGATCATCCGGCTTCGCTCCCTGTTAACGACCCAACATGAATATGGTTTCTTGTGAGCACAAGTCTTATTTATGCTTGCCCAAAACAGGAGAAGGCTAACCTGACAATTGTAAATGCCCTGCAGAGGAGCTCCTGGTGGATTCGGGTCGCTTCTTCTTTGATTCGCATAGTCGGCTTTTTGCAGAATGAACAAGAGGAGCATGAACACAAAGGGGGCAATGATGGTTTGCGCAAGAGTCGACTTTGTGTAGCGAATCTAGAGTGTAGGTATTGTGACCAAGTTACTATTTGACACAAATGTTAAAGCCTCGGGTACTGCGAACCAACCTGAAGAATAGTGTTTCTCTTGAGCATAATACCAAGTTGATCAAAAAACCTCACAAAGTAGCCCTTCCTCTCCAATGAAGGACTAGCGAGGTCTGCTGGAGGATTCATGGCGTTCGTCGAGCGATATTCAGTGCCAGTCAGGAAAGGCGTTGACGATTGTCCTTCTCAAAGGTCCACCCAAAAGGACGCTCAAATCTTAGCCAAAGCAAGCTTCGCTTGGCTCTCGGGTACAGGCACTTTTCTAATGTTTTTTTCCGCTCCCGGTAGTGTTCAAAATGGGGGATAATACAAGGTAAGGCTGTGTGTGTTTTGCGCCCTTCCAGTTGGCCTTCCAACTCCGAATTCGGTCGCCAACTGTCACGTGCTGGTGCCAGCGCCTCGCAAAACGCCAAGCGATGAAACCACCATTTGGTTTTGGGCATCGCCTTTCTTTAAAGATGGAGATTGCGATCTTGCTTTTGTTTATGACAACAGCCGTACGGACAACGTCTATTCTTTGAACATTGTTAAAGACATTCTGACATCCGCTGTAACTGTCCATCACACACGTCCACCGCAGAGGCCTTCAAAGGTGCATGTTGAAAGGTCAGAGAGTGCACTGGCCGACCCGATCCAAATAGTCAAGGCCAGAATGACGCTTTTAAGAAAGGATTGTCTTGGCTTGATATGATCCGGTACTGTATTCTCTACAAAAGAGTGGAAGGATATTCTTTCTCCAAAGTCTTGAGTGACATGAATATACAAACCGAACCCCACTATCTAATGTATACCACGGCGGACACCATAGCCGTCTTGATGCTTCAGCATCTTTATCATTTCTCATCTTGTAGTGCGCAGGGTCATTCCGTGCAATCGCTGCATGTTCAAAGAACAGCCCCATTGCATTTCTTCATGTGGCTGGCATTTTCATATATACGCTATGGGATAAATGACCGTCATTTGTCTATTCTGGGAACGTTGCAATTCCGAATGAGGATGGGCGACTTGTCATCAACAGCAGGTTGGGTGCGCGACGGAATGCCCAATCGTCTCAACCTCCCAAGTTAACATTGCGCATATGGAAGCAGCCAGGCAGAATTTTGGGACGACAGGGCCTCTTCCGACGGAGCTATGGATTGCCATAGTATCCCACATTTCCTCTCCGACCATTCTCTGGCATATCCGCTCCGTCAACACTGTGTTCCGGCATATTGCGCTAGCGGCAATTTACGGTGTTTACACAGGAACAAACGCAGTACTTCTTTCAGATCCTGACCTTGAAGATTCTGCGACAGATAGTCTGAAGAAAAAACTTGAGAAAGGACCTGGGCGTCCGCGCCTGTCTCTCAACTTCAGCCTCCCATCGCCAGCTTGTTCCCCAGAGCCCGCCACATATCTGCTTAGCCCTCGCCTTCCGCCTGCTCTCAATTCCTCCATCAGGAGCGGCATTCTCCCCGATCTGCATTTTCTCCCGGATACCCCGTATGAGGAGTATGCGGCGATGGAAGGCTTTCGGGGATTTGCTGCATTGGGTACGTTTGAGTTTAAAAAGAGTCCAAATCAGGAACAATGTTCTCTTTATTTACGGGTCTACACCAGTGGTGAAAACTGCCAAAAAGATTCAGAGAGATGTGGCAGCGCTAGAGGACGAATACAGCGATGAAGAGTCGACAGTGGATGAATGGTCAAAGTTCACTGGCTGGCACAAAGAAAACACATCAGTGCCACGTGAAGGACATGTAACTAGCAAAGAGCAAGAACCGCAGCATTCGACACGGGCTCCGGGACAGATCAAAAACCACCTCAAGGTGGTTGCAGCATTCTTGAAAATGGGTCGAGCGGATCTGACAGGGCAGCATATGGCACGATTTTCCACACATCTGCGATTTTCATACGATCTACTGCTTGGGTACGTTGTCTAGGATCCATCCTTCTTTTTATTGTGTTATTAACTAGCACGTATGGCAATTTGTAGGCACATCCTCTCCACCTACGACCGGATCTGTCAACACTCATATGTTCGCGCTGAACCACAGTTATCCCTTCTCGCCCTCACTTGGCGTGTTATCGAAGTGATTGCACCTTCGACCCACACACGTGATCTCCGCATATGCAACAACCGCGCTTGTTGTAAAGGCGCACTCAAGATTGGTTTTCACCATACTTTATGGTCTCAAAGTTGTAAGCCTCCGCACGAAACTCAGGAGGATACCATCGACCATCCGTATTCCACAATTGTGTATCTCAATTCCGCAGAAAGACAGTCAGTGTCTTCGCCACCCACGGATCGATATTGCGAAACGCTATGGGACGGAACATATGGAAAGGTCGTGTTAACGACTGAGCGTCTCCACCTTTCTCGGGCACATCCGCCGGCATATTTGGAACTGGCGTATCTATCTCATTCTGACAGCGATCATGCTAGCTTAGTCACTGTCAAAGTGGTCGCCAGCCCAATGTGGCTACTCAAAGGCCAGATACTTGAAGGCACCTCCGGCATTGAAGAAGCGATAAAGAGAATGGAAAAGGCTATGGAAAAGGCAGTGGAGGCATTGGAAATGGTCGGCAACGCTTTTGGGAGGCGTGCGGGCGACTAGGGTGGCAGCTTAGGTACAAATACGAAAAATCATCGCATTATACTGTAGCTCTCCAATATATCCGCATCTTGGTATTGGACAATAAGCAACCGAGCACACGAGGCGGACTACAACAGTCAACGAAAGTAAACTCCTTCATCGCTGTCATACTTGGATAATGTTGCAGTATGCTACCCGGTTGCACAACCTGTCATCGGGCCAGTATGATAGAAGTGTCGCTGGCAGTTGGAGGCAGACTGAGGGGGCTTTCAACCTTTTTGGGTTCACACATTTGTATTGATAGTGGAGGAAGCTCTCAACCCCAACTGCCGCAATTCCGCCGAGAGATCAAGTGTAGCACTTGCAGTACCTGACCATGCTGCCTAAATCTCTTGCAACTATCCAGATATCCCCAATACAGGTATCGCAGGCGGATGTCATGTTCGTCGTCCTCGTCGTCATCGCGAAACGACAGAGCAGTTGGAACCGGTTGGAATTCATGGCTACTAATTTTTGAATCAACGCCCGTCTCGTCCTCGTCCGCCTCGTTCCGAAATCATCGTCTCTCGAATCCGACTCATCCTTTGCAATCTTTTATTTGCCTTTGACCGCTCCAATGGCCTACGCCGCCTCTGCAATTGCCCCCATCACTGGCCGATTCCGACGCCGAGTCCTCCGAGACCTTGTCGGTAGCATCGCTCTGGGTACTGGAATTGCCTACTACTGGTGGTACAACTCCCACGTTCCTACTATGCAGGAAAGTTGTGCTCCATATTATTTGCGATTACTCTATGCTCCGGAGCTTTGGAATTCAAAAGAGCAGCGTGGGAACGTTTGTATGAACATTAACATTGACAAATCGCTGCCTTAACAGAAATACAAGGACTACGATCACAAAGTTCGTGAGGAAATGCTAAAGGAGCACGGCGCCTGGGCAATTGGACCTGGACAACAGGAGAAGGTTGACCAACAAAGGGGTGTACCCGCTCCCGACCAGACTGTCGCGTAAATGCCAGTAAAGGTCAGTGAGAAGGTCCTACAGGTGGAGCGTTCCCGAACCTTCTTTTGACTATGGGCTGCTAACTTTGATTTGTATATAGGCAGAGGTAGGAAGAAAGACGAACATTTAAAAAATAACCAAAATCTACGAGCCGTATAAATCTCGATGTATCGGCGGACGTTCTGATATCTTTCCGTTGGAGATGATTATAATAGATATGAACGTTGTGTTTTTATGACCCTCATTGACTGGAAAGACGATATCATGATTTTTATGTATGTTGGGAGAACTGATATGGATGGTGCACATGTGCTGCATGACATTCTTCTATGGATCGCAGTACTTTACGGAGCATTGAATGCCAGGACGGTGAGGGATTGTAACCATCAGCCAAATGGGAGCTCTGGACCTATTCTTCTATTGCATAATTGGTCCAGACATGTATGGCCGGCAGAGCATCTTTTGAAAAGCTGAAAAGCAAGAGTATGGACAGTCGGGGTCTCATCTGTCCCATGCGTTTCTCCGCAACGTTTTGTGCGTGTCAGATCTTGATATCAATTTGGCACAACCGCGTTCGTTCAGAGCACGAGCAGCCCAACCTCCTTGTCGCCAAATTGCATAGGTCATCTCTGTCATTTACGAAAAGAACAGCTGCAAGGCGCACTGCTAAAAGTCTGGACTCGGGTTAACAGAGTTGCACGCAATATCACAATCTTCATTTTTATATTGCGGGGAACTGTTCGTTCAGGATTGTCTCTTCGCTGTCCCATCCCATGGCGGATTCTGCCATTCAACAACCCCAGGTTAAGCTAAAGCTGAAAGTAGGCACAAGACCACAGCTACCTTCAGACGCTAGTTTCCCACAGCCTCGAAAACTGGTCTCCGAAACAGTCATCCCAGATCAGTTGAACCTTCCCAACTCAGTTTCGCAGACAGCATCCTTGACGGACGATGCTGCAGCTTCGCCCCGGACTGACGATTCCTCCAGCCTTGGTCGACCTCCAGCATACGTACGCGGAAGAGGCCACACAAAACGTAAAAAAAGAGAGCCCCCTCCTCCTGCGGACCCCGATGCCATGAGGGTAGCCCTTCACGCCGCTCTCGGCGGAGGCTCCTCCAAAAAAGCCTATACTTGGACGTCTGATAGAGGCTCGTCGCCAGCGCCAGCGAAGCCTCCTCAGACGTTTTCTAAATCTCCCGACCCACCAGCACCTAACTACACAGACGCGATATACATCCCAAATGTGGATGAGAGGGGACGAACCCGGCAAACCGTCGTCAAGCAGAACGGTACGCTGCGTGTACAAGCGCACATGAGAATTGTTGGGAGAATGCTGACGCTGCTTCGTCTATGATTAAGAGGAGGTCGAATCAAAGCTATCACCCACTCAGAGCACATCACCTCGATCCACGGTCCCAACAGGAGCAGAGTTCCAACACGATGCTAATGGACAGTCAAGACCATCAGTAGCAAACGCAGAGCGGCAAATCAAAGCTCCGGCACAGAAGCCGCCAAAGAAGAAAAAGGCCCCGACAAAAAAGAAGGGAGACCTGACTGGAGAAGGGTACGTGAACCGTATGCGGTGATAAGTGGCCTCTGGCAGCAAATGTGGGTCCTATTTAAGTTGACATACGGTAATTAACACGATTCCTACAGGTACATGGCCTTGACTCCGTATGGAAGATCACCAGGTACTATATCTTGAATTTGGCTCACTTGATCCGAGTTATGTCTTATTGTACATTTGATAATACAGCGGGAAGCAGCCACATATCCAGTGCTTCACATCATCCCGGAAAGCCACCAATCCTGTTAGGCAAAGATGTAAAAGTCAGGCCATGGACTCGGGATCGATTAGTTCTGCCGACGTTGACAGGACACAGCTTGGAATTGCCTGTCTGGCGACCTGGTAAGAAAAACGAGGCTTTTGTTGCACGGGGACGTCGCACTTCCTGGTTTCTTTGCCTATTTGACGTATTGATATTTCCTTTTGTTTCGGGCGATAGCTTCCCGAGATGGCGCCTCGCCTCAAAACCCTGGCCAGGCGTAATCCAAACCGAGGGCACCCTAGAGTCCAGAATGACATTCCGGGATGGATTACATTGCGCGCGGACTTACGAAGAGCTACGATCACTCAGACACACGTTCACCTGCCGATATTGTCTCACGAGGCTCCATCAATCAATGACTGAGAAGTAATGCCTCAGTCATTGGACCTTAGGTGCTGTTACTACATATCTATGCGAAGCATTCCCTCCTCAGCTCATAGTCTATCATGCTTCGGGCTTGCTTGTCTTTCTGAAAACAAGATTCGACATTATTTGTCGTAGGAAGTGATCCAAGCTGAGGACGTCCTTTCAGCGATTGCTTGCAGATCAGTTATATAGACAGATAAATGTGAATTGTGAGGAAGATGACCTCCCGAATCAATCGTCCCTAAATATCATATCTTTTGCTAGTGGGAGCCTGCCCACATATTTTGGATTTTACGGAACAAGGCTTAGCAATGTTGGACAGGTTGGGCCCAAGTTTCCTCATTTGTGCTCCTTGAGCGCTGTCACGCACAAATCAGCTTCAGCATACCCATCAGGCAGCATGATCCAGCTCCAAAAAACCGACGCCCGGATATATTGTCATTTCGTCAGTTAATGGATAGATAGATAGATACACATTACCGATATTCTGCGCTGTTTGCGTGTGCGTACTTACGCAACCAGCTATATTCTTTACTGTCAGATTTATCTGTGCATCGAGGGTGCCTAGATGAGCTCCAGAAGAATTCAATGGTCGCAATAGACAAAAGACGAGATACCTGGTAACTTTGAAATGCCCTTTCAACTTACTGGAGTATCCACCATACTGATATAATCTCTCTGGGACTTTGTCCAGTTTAGTGTCATAGCTCTTCCTTCAATGATCAGTTGCATACCATGATCCATTTTCACCTCAGCAGATCCGTTACGTAGTTTATAGATTTTCTCACTTTGACATCTTTCTTCCCAATTTCATCATTGAAATATCATTGCATGAAATAAAGTATCACATATCAAATGTCTTTTTCAGGAGGACGACGTTCAAATGGTTGAAGGCAGAGCCTGTGTTGCTTAATGAAAATTACCACCAAGCGCCAATATCAGCAATATGTACTGCTCTGGCATGCAGAGCAATTTTCAGCTACAGTTGACTAGTACAGACCATGTTCAATCCTAGTTTATGTTTAAGCATTCTATAACGTGAGATTGTAATGGGAATGATCTATAGCATCCGATCCAGTCATAAACTACTTTATGACACTTTGAACTAAGTTGTGTTCAGCTGCACATGGAAAAGCAGGAAGTTATAATGGAAAACCAAACGTCCAACTTACTCGGAAGTCATCTGCACATTAGCTCACCTTTGCAATGTAAACCCGACGCTTACTCACAGCTTACAGCAGCCCGCTAACCAAGCCATCCACATGAGTCATTGGGAATTGGACGTTTTGAGGCCAACGATTCCAATCACTGATCACCAATGAAGTTAATTGGTCTTACCGGTGGGATTGCGACGGGAAAGTCCACCGTCTCAAACTACCTATCTTCTGTTCATCATGTCCCGATAGTAGACGCTGACATCATTGCCCGTGACGTTGTAAAACGAAACGAACCCGGTTATTTTCGAGTCTTATCCGCATTTGGCCCTACAGTGGTAGACCCTACCACAGGAGAACTTGACCGACCAAAACTAGGAAGCATAGTCTTTGGAGATGCAGAGGCACGCAAAAAGTTGAACAAAGCTACCCACCCGCCTATCAGAATGGAAATGCTGAGACAGCTTTTGTTGTGGTTCATGAAAGGAGAACGGTTATGCGTTTTAGATACACCGTTGCTTTTTGAAGCAGGCTTGAATAAGTTTGTGCACGACGTGGTTGTTGTGTATTGGTGGGTAGACAATTTTGAAGATTATGCTGTTTTTTTTTTTCTCCCTTCTGATGCTATTCCGCCACAAGTCCTGAAGAAGTTCAAAAAGGGCGACTAATATCCCGGGACGTTCTCTCGGCAGAGCAGGCGCAATCTCGCATCGAATCTCAAATGCCGATAGAAAAAAAGCGAGAAATGGCTGATATTGTGATCGACAATTCGTCTGATAGGACCAAGACACAACAGCAGGTCGATTCTGCTATCAGCAAGTTAATGCCTAACCGAGCATGGAACTGGTTAATTTGGGCGCTGCTGATAGGACCCGCAGCGGCAGTTTATGGAGCATTGACGGCCTACAAATATGTGGAAACAGTGAGAGCCAGGTGGGCAGCGAACCGCGCAACGAGCGAGAAGTCGGAAAAGGATCTATAGCTTCAAACGGCGCAACTGAAAGGAGGCTCCGCTGGTCAGAATGTCGTATGCTGTTCTGTCGGTTGGCCAATATGTTCAGTGTCAGTTCAGCCCTTCCGAATGCTAGCCTTTTCAAGCCAACCAGCGTGCGGGATACATTAAACTCCCGCGTATCACAATCAGCGTAGGTGCGGTCTGTATCTTGGGCACGAACGGAGCACTGGATGACAGCCTTGTCGACATGACTACATTTGCACCAGCCAAAAATCGCTCGTCACTTTAGACCTGTGGTAGTCTGCATCTGGTCGTCTATATACACTGAACTGCAATGAGCAGAACTGCAATATCGCTACAATGTAGTATAATCCCGATATCAATCTACATAAATGACATCGAGAACCATCGATCCAAAAAAAGCTGCAAACTCTGTCGCTTGCGCTTCCAATGCTGACTTGATGGCATCGGTAAAGAACACTCCATCAGGAAATCTTGTCATCACAAACTCCATTTGATTTGGGAGACTTTTTGTGTAAGACCATGTTCCAGCTATTCGGCCCTCAATCAAGATAGTAGGATTGATGATACCATTAACAGTCCATATTTTCGATTTAAGGTCGGGTCGAATCCAGAAAGATTTGTCAGCATGTGCCAAAAGAAGTGGGTCAAAACGGAACAGAAGATATACGGGCCATTCGGAGGGTGGTGGGACGGGTTGCTCTAAGAGGACGGCTGTTTCTGAGGTGACATAGTATTCTTGGACTTTAGTCTTTCGTGACGGTAATACAGCAAATGTTTCTTCAGCTGGTTCCAAGTGGACTTTGACAATTTCATTTGCCTCTAGTAGCGCCTGGACAGCCGCACGAGAAGGTCCCGCACTGAGTGACATCCAATATCGAAAGTCGCCTTCCGTCGCAGGGCCATATGCTTTAAAGTATCGTCGAGCAACCTCGACCAAAGCGTCTTTTTGTTCTACTTTCATACACAGAAGCTCTTCCTCTGTAACAACACGGGACCGAGGTGCCATCACCGGATTTCCTGAGTCGACGTCAATTCGAGCCCCATGTCCTTCCATCGTTGCGCACATAAACGTACTGTATTGAAGTTTACCATTGTGGCCACAGGCTTCTAAATCCTTTCGCGTCGCACACCTTCCTGCCGAGAGAATCGACAACAGGTCCTCTCGTGCAGCGTCCAATTCGGCTGATGCGTCCTTTCCTGTCACTCGTCCAGCCTTAACTGACGCAACTCTGTTGGCGATCACTGCCTCGCCAACTGCCCCAATTACAATGTCCCAATCTTTTCGATCGTATATATGAAGAGTACATCGTTGTCCCCATATTCTAATCAACCCTTCTCCATTTTTGATAACTCCTTGCAGTTCGGAGAGAGTGAGGGGGTCTTTCTGCGCTTTGTTGCAGCGGCAACGTGCACCACCTCTCAAAAGTCGCTGCCAAATGGATACGAATCCTGACGCTGTTTCCTGTGCTTGTATACCGAACAAATCTGCTGCAACTTTGACCATGTCTCCCACACTGCCCGATAGCTTCGGATTGATAAGATGTGAACCTTGAAGGCGCAGATATCGTGCATGTTGCTCGCTTATGGTTATAATGTCAGAAGGCAGGTTGCCTGTTGCAGTGCGTTTCGTAGTGCTTGCCTGGCGCTTCCTTGGCGGACTGGGAGCGCTGCTTCGGGTTCGTCGCTTCATGGCTTGGAATGTCCTTGACAGATTTCGACGTCGAAACATTTGGTATCTCCGGCGTGTCTGAGTCACGACATGATCGGCTTAAATAAGCATCCATAACACGAAGTTACTCGCTTTGAAGTTACTCGCACAAGGTGTCAATGGAGGGTTTCCTTTGATTTCCTCTTGTTACCGCCATCCGTCGCGAGAACAAGGGCTGCGATTCCTTGCTCCTGCAAAAAGTCCGCACAGATGGAACGTCGACCCTTTCAATCTTGACAACTCGTATCTAGTTTGCAGTAAACGTGCTCTCATTGAGACTAATTAGGTTTGAAAACGTGAATGGGTTGGGTGGATGTACATCTTGCACTCTATTCTCTCGTCATACCCTTCCAAGCCTCCTCATTTTGAGCTTCAGGACGTAAAAGAAAAATGAAAGAAAAAGGGACCAGGCGGGCCCAGCCTGGGGGGCACACATGAAGCCTGATTCGTAGTTTGTTGGTACGGATCGACATCATGCATCGCGGTCGTGAACATCATACGGACGTTTGCAGTTCCGCGCAATGTGGAGATCGAACCCTTGAGTTTTCCGCAAAGTCCACTCTCAGGAACGAACGCATTACCCCATAAGCTATCCCCACAAAGTCAAACTTTATGTGGTTTGTCAAATCGTAAGCTGTTTACTCGGAGTAATGCTATTCCTAGAAATCCTTCGTTACTCTGCGAACGCTTCAAAATATTAGAGAGCGCCTCGGAGCAATATCTTGAATAGCTTGAAATGGGCTGTATTTTTCATCGAGACATAAGTTTTGGGCACGCAGCTTTTGTTATGATGCTTGCTCAATTTACATCGCCGAGCTTGCCGTTCCCTCGGGCTCCATGTCCCATTTAGGAACTCCCTTCTCATGATTTGCATCTGATGGCAGTCCCCATTCTACCTCAGTACGCCATGTATACCAACAGGGCAATTCCGCCAATTCCATAGTGCATATCATTTTATATATTCTCTTCTGCTATGCCAGAGTGCTGCATGAACAAGTAATCTGTAGAATCCTTGATGCTTTATAAAACTTGCATTTCGCCGTATCTACATCGACGCCTTTAGGTAGTGGAATAGATACATTTGTCCCTTCGGTCTCCATATCTATTGATATGTCGGTAGCATACACCGCTACATCTGATGCAGATTCCTGTGTACGGAAATATTGTCAAACATTCAACATCGATTGCTGAGCGCCTTCTGGACTTACAATTGCTGGAAGGACAATCTCTACCATCCAATTACCATTGCCTGTGGTTGTAGTATACATGGGAGCTTTGTCCGAACCTATGCCCATTCTAGTTGAATGTCGTCCATCTTCAGCACCTTTTCCACGTCCCAGAGGAGTTGTACCGACTGCATCCAGCTCTTGGATCGTGCCCCTTTTCCCTGCTGTTCCGTTCCCGTCTGGCAAATTCAGAGCTGGTAATGTGTCGCTAGGAGAAGAGGCTTCCGCTGCGGATGATAGTTCAGAGTCTGCATGCATGCGAGTCAGCAGCGAGCTCGTAGTCATTTTCGACAAGTCCACTGGTTCGGGTATAGTATGCGATGGTATCCTTCCGCTGTCCTCGGTTGCGCCGTCACCGTCAATGGGCCGGCCATTCTCATCCCACCCGTACGGCGCTTTGTAAGATTGCAGTTTTCGGATATCTGCAAGTCATTTGCTTGAGTACAAATGCCTGAATGTGATTGTTATCATGCCATTCACGAACAGTACTTTTTCGGTCGATTCTTATCGAGAAAGCTTCCTCGATGCAGTCGATAACAAGATCTTGTAAGCCATTTGCAAATAAAGAATCGCTCCTGGCTTCAGCAATAATCATTTTATGCACCACCGCATCGTAGACGTGGTAAATTGTACCATCTATCAGAAACATGATTGTCAGTATCGGGAAGACCCTAGGGTTGTGTGGACGAATTATTTGTCAAGGATCAACCTGCATTCTTTCCTCGGCGTTGCTTCGAAACAACTACAGTAATCTTGTCTTCAACCCGTGCTTTCAGCTTTTCACTCTGGCATACATTGATATAGTGTTGCGGTGACCCGTTTACAATGGTTCCTGAGCATTGTAGTGTGAACACCCCTTGTGGCAATTGTGCCTTAGCGGCTTCGGTTCCTTCAATGGCATCCTGTTTGAGCTTCTGGAGAAATTGACCATATGCCTTAGGATCCTTAGCATAGAGGTTGTCCAGCTGTGACCATATTTGTTGAGCTACTTCCATGTTGGTTTTACAGCGTCCAAAAGCAGCTCCAGACGCGCTCAGCTCGTGTCTTGTGCCTTACATAAGCAAAGCACGTCGTCTTTACGCTCGTTTACATCCGTCTTTTGGAAAACGCAACTCTCGTTCATGAAACTAGTCCGCAAAGGGCAGAGATACATGCAGGCCAACCCAATTTCGACATTGTAGCATCCTGCAAGTTCCAGTTTTCATTTCGCCTCGAGTTATATTTCAATTGAATGTACATCACTCAAAGTTGCGCAGTTGCCATTATATCCACCATTCGTTTTGGCCACATTACTATGTACATTGACTTTGATTCCCTCCGGTCCTTCCCTAGGAGTTGGTCTTCTTCAGATGAAACTACATACAAGCAAGAGTCCTCAACACCTTCGCTGATGCCGCTACCTAGCTAGCATTTTCACCACGTAACGCACGGCTTTCTCGTTTGAGTTCTTTTATGACAGCAGCTAGAGCCTCAGGATTCACACCACTCTCGCAAAGGGATACACAGAGCGAAAGGGTTTCGCGATCGAGACTGGTGTTTAAGATACGCGATATTTCATGCAATATGTCCATGGTTTCACGGGCTTCCTGAAGTTTAGAGTCCATGGTATGATCGGAATGAGTATCGCAAGCGTTGGAAGCCGTGGGTGCAAGAGTTTGTGTTGAGGAATCAAAAAGACTACGGGAGGAGAATCGCAAGAACCATGCGGATTCTGCACGCATGGAAATGAACATTCCTCGTGTTAGTAGGCACCAACTGAGACATCATTCTTCAAGACTCCAATGACGTTTTCTTCTTACCCACAATAAACACAATTGCAGCGACGCTGTTGGTTGGAGATCTCTCTCGGACGCGCAGGGCGGACAGCGCTGATAGCAACCAGCTTCGAATCAATGGGCTAAACCGATTCGAATGACAAATCACATTTGCGTAGTCTGAACACACAGGCTCCAATGTTCCCACTAGTGACAGATCGCCGTCAGAATTCCGCTTGGTAGAGTGTGAATGTGATTGGAAGCCAGTCCGCTTATTATTCTCCGTCTCCCATACACGATTCTCACCGTTTGCTAGAGTGCATAGACTGCGTGTTCTCGCAAATGAGCTTCCAGGGAGGACGACGAGGGCAATCTTACGGTTCAGATCGTGGGCCTCGTGGGGGCTACGGCGACCTTGGAGGAGGAGGAGGTTACGATAGACGGGGAAGAGGACGTGGGAGAGGTTACGGTGGGCGAGGGACCTACCAAGGAACTGTAGAAGACAAGGATGGAGATATCATGATGGGGGATTCGGCTGAGCAAGATCAACGTCGTTCGAGACAGTACGTACCCATCTGGCATGCTCTGGGGAATAATTTATTGTATGGCGAGCCAGCTGCCCCAAAGTTGAAAGTCTTATCAGACCTGGGGCACCTGGCACCTCGATTAGCGCTGTTCCCTGTTGTGATACCAGACCTTCCGTCTTTCACATCTGCCTTTTTGGCCCTCGCGACGCTAACTGTTACTGTACGAAAATTAGGAGCCTTCCCTACAACCGGCCCCGTCCATCGTCTAGCGCATCACATAGTTTTAATGGGGATGTTGCACAAGTCCAAGTATGTACCGCAATCGTCACCGTTACTCAGTAAACCTCCTCACCGTCTGCGATTTGCGGTACTTATAGGTCAGCAATGTTCCGCCGGAAACTGGGGCTCCAGGACTCATGGCATGGTTATGTCGGCGAGCGGGTGGACCTGTGACCATTGTTCATGTACGACAGCGTGTGATTTTCAATCGTCTCGCATGTATCTCACATGTACAGTTCATCCTAGACTGAAGTCCAAAGGAATTCGATCGTATTCACGACTCAAAACGCCTTGCAAGCTCAAACGTTAGCGAAACTCAGCGGCGTGAACTTCCTCCAACATAAGGTAAACTTGCAGGTTACAGCTCGATGTTGTACCGTAAGCCTGACTCTCGTGCTCTAGCTCATCATTACCCAAGGAGGAGGTGGTAGCATGCAATCTCACCCATCAAGAGGCGTACCAGGCGACACCTCCGGTCGGACAAATATCATTGACGCATTTCGGATGCTTATTCGATCTCGATATCGCCCTGAGAACAAATTTCTGGATTTGGAAAATATGGTATCGGACCCAATTATGCAAAATGCTGGAGTGCGTGGCTTTGAGGCGGAATCAAAAATGGGAGGAGTAATATGTAAAATGATCGGCGAATTGTGCCCTGATGTTTGTATCCCACAAAAAGGCAATTATTGACCACAGAACGCATGCTGACGATTCTTGCTGATGTAGGTATCAACCATATCGTTTGCTTCGAATCGCCTTACAACCCTTCAACACGTTTCGAACCTCCCCAAACATGTCCCCAACGTAACCGCCCTATCTTTCCAAGATAATCAACTGAGATCTTTCAGGGATCTCGAACCCCTGAAAGGAGCGGATCTTCCACATCTAAGAGAATTGCTGCTGATAGGCAACCCAGTGAGAGACAAGGAAGTCGCAAAGCCAGGCGGCGAGATTGTATATCGAAGGTGAGACCACCTACTTCGACTCTAGTGACCAGGAGATTCATGGCTTTATTTGCAGCGATGTGAAGAAATTATTTCCTAGTATTGAACTCCTTGATATGGAGCCAGTGATAGGCGATATCACGTTCGCTGTCGATGCCATGTCTGTAGAGCTGCCATTAAGCGTCAAACCCGGCTTTATGGATTCCCCCGCAACCGCTGCGACGGCAACCGACTTTGTGCAAAAGTATGTGTTATTAATGATCAAGCACGTTAATCGTAGCATTGACCTGGTATCGTAGATTCTTGAGATCTTTCGACGGCAATCGAGAGACTCTTTTTGATGTCTACCATGATCAAGCATGTTTCTCCCTCATGGTGGATAACCGGAGTCGAGGCACCAGTAACAAACAACACTATTTCGATACATGGCGAAATTTCAATCGCAATCTGGACAAAGTAAAGGATGCAGGTCCGTGGAGTCACGCAGTCATTTTCGCCACACCAAAACTAATTGACAGGCTTGTCATATAGGACAGCGCATTAACACCGTGCATCGCGGCGCAACAGACATCATTGGAATTTTCAAACGACTTCCCAAGACACAGCATCCCATAGATCAACCAGAGGATCACAGAAAGCTCTTAATTGAGGCTTACCAAACGGGCGGCGGTGCCGGGGCCATGCTGTTTGTGATGGTCCACGGAGAGTTCAAAGAGGGTGCGGTTTTTTTGGGACAATGAATAATGTACAACGGCTGACCTTCTCGCTTCTCACAGCTGATATCCGAACGTATCGAAGTTTTGACCGTACCTTCATCATCGTACCCGCAGTGCCAGGGAGCAGGTGACGTTACATTGCTGAGAACTGATTTTGGCACGGTGTGAATTGACATTGGTGTCAAATCCATAAGATCTGCAATGGCTGGACTACCGTATAGTGTTGTAAACGACCAACTCACGGTGCGAGCATGGGCGAGTAATCGTGCGTGGGTGCAGCCGACCGACAAAGCGACATCAGGCGAAATTGCACAGACTCCCGCCGTAAACGGTTCAGTACCGGCGCCGCAATTGCCTGATATTGCCACATTGAGAGCATTACAATTGCAGCATGGATTGGATGATGCCAGGCAGAATCTGGTGATTGAGTTTGCAAAAGCCACGGGCTTAAATTATAAGTTTAGTTTCCAATGCTTGTCCGAGACGGGATGGTCAATGCCGAATGCGATGGATGCATTTCAACGCGTCAAGGTAAGTGTGACTCTTGTTGTGCCGTAGACATGGATGGCACTTAATGATGGTCTTTTGTAGCATAACATTCCGCCTGAAGCGTACAGATTGGTGTAAAATGTAAAGAAAGCGGACACTTTAATTCGATGGGAAGAGAACGAGTTGAAGGGAGATCGTTTAGGTTGTGTATATATTCCCTCCCACCACCCAAGGCATTAGAAATACGATTCATTTTATTCTAGCCCTTCTCCCTTCTTCCAAGCGTTAATAATCTCCTTTGGGATATCTGCCTTCTTCTGTCCCTTGTAGTCAAAACTAACAACCACACACTCTCCTTCAGCAACTACTCTTTCTTGAGCATGCGAAACGATTACAGCTGACTGCGTAAACCGGTCCTTTTTGACGCTGGATGGGTCAATTCTTACTGCTACTGTGACTGTATCTGGGTACATGACAGGGGCCCGATATTTGCAGAGCACAGATTTGGCGATTGGTCCTACTCCTCTGGCTGTGATGAATGATGTATACGCAGTCTCTGAGAGGTGCGGCTTGATGATTTGATCAAAATAAGCTATCCCTAAAGAAGGTATCGAAATATATTTACAAGGATTCAGGATTCCTTGCATACGATGGGAGATACTCACGTCCTGATTCAAAGTATCGCACATAAGTTACGTTATTCAAGTGTCCATAAACCTAGATCATATCGCAAATATAAGAAAAAGGCTCTGTCGAAGCGAAACCACATCGACTTTTTGCTCACATCCTGTTCCCCCCATTGAACAGGCAAATTGATAATAGAAGGATAATCTTTCACCAACTCTGCAACGCCTGAAGGAAGTTGTGCACGAACTTCGGCGACCGCTGCAAGGCCACCAACCGGAACCCGGGAAAGAGGGTGACCTTTAGAAGACGTCGACTGGGTGCGGAGTCCCCTCAGTGTGTGATTGCCTGCTCGGCGGAGTGACATTGACAAGGGTATTGATCGAATCATTGTTCAAGTTGTGTGCAGAGTGAAAGTTGAAACCCGTGGATTTTTGGATATCGCTTGGTTGTTGTTGTGTGTCATACCGTGGATCATCTTGTTGGACCAAGACCTTTGCGACGTTGGCATCGTACTTGCCACAAACATGGATGCATCACGAAATTTCCTCCAAAGCGACAGAGGTATGGACTGTCGAACCTAGTAGTCAACAACATCTGCTAATAGATCGGCGACAGCATCGGAGCATGAACGTGCCCTTTCGCAATTGCAGCAGTTGGACCAAAGAAGTTCCTATGGTAATTGATTTTCACCAGCGTGGTCACCAACGCAATACTACCCCGCAGCTGACTTCCATCGGGCTGGATAGATAGAGACTCGTCTGAGCTTTTCAAAAGCTTGGACCAGCTGCGTCGCATGCAAATAGATCTAGCTTTGGAACATTTGGCCATGGAAAGCGTGCCCACTGAAGAATTGTACGTGACAGACATGTCTAGTACCACTTGGTTTCAATAAGCTTACTTCAGTCATATAGGTCGTTGCCAGATTTGGAACAGGATAAGGATTCTGCACAACGCTATCAGAGGAATGCCGACAGATTTGCAAAAAGGGAGGCGGATGTCAACAATCTCATGCTCCGGGTAGGAGTGAACAATTACAGTTTCATCGACGTGCAAATATAAGCTCTAATATGGGCCGTTTCCATTTCAGCTGGAGGATTTGAGTCAAGCTATGTAAGTGATTCTCAAAAACTAGAGACCAAAAATGAAGAGATATTGAGGGTGGTGCTACAGGCGGGATTTTCACGACTCTATGGACGACGTTCGAACCAGATCAACGAACATTCAAAGGGAAGGGGCCTCTCCTAATCTTCCCCCGTCAGAAAAGCGCCCAAATCCAACAAAGCCAGTCAACGTATCCGAGAAATCACAGGAACCAAAATGACTATGGACAAAGGAGATGTTGTCTTGGCACAGCGACCGAAAGATTATCGACAGCACGGATCCCATATCCAGCGATAGAAAGGCCCCGTTGGCCTTCCGCGCAGCGGCGTCATTTTGGACTTGTTGCCCTACGCGCTCGCTTCTAGTAATCGCCACCATCCAAGGCCGCTGTCCAATCGTACTTTTTCCATTTCTCCAGAAAGTACTCCATGCGGGGCCCGTTATACTGCGGGTCGACTCGTCTCGGTCTTCTCCATCGGTCAGGACTGAGATCCAAAGGGCTCGCTATCACTTCCTGTGAACAAACCTGTCATTCATTAAGGCCAAACCAAGAGGTCAATAAAACAATACAAACCCTGCCAAAGTATTCACGCCACTTTTCTGAATCTTCAATAATGTGGCCATATCCCCTATTCGGATCAAACCATACATGGAAGTATGGAAGGTGCTTCACCATGGATCCTCGGAATCCATTTTTGGATGTATCGATTATTTTGCGATGTTGCGACCATTCTCCTTCGGCTTCATTGATTGCCTCCTAATATCGACTTTAGTAACGAGAATGACAAACATGACCAGCTAAGAAGCACGCTCAGGTCCTCACCTTAAAGTATCCGGGTGCATCTTCCCATACGTCCTTAGGTAGCGGTATGCATTCAATGATGACATGTTTATGCCATTTCAAGTTGATAACCTGTTCCATAAAAATCACGCCTTGATTATTCTCATCAAACATCGCCGTCAAGGCTTTCTGAAAGTTCTAAATCCCAATCGATTGCATCAGAAAGTGGCTAACTGTAAGGGAGCGAATACTGCGTAAATTACCCGGATTTCGGTCCAGGTATCGTCATCGCATTCCAAAGAACTTAACACATGATCCAACGGAACAATGATACAGTGACCTGGTACCATATCTACCACCTCTGGTAACGCAAGATATGCCTTCGCTCCCAATGCCACGATAGGAACTCTAGGTTTTTTGCCCTCCTGGAAACAGTACGAGCATTTTGACACTGCTTTTTCGTGCTTTTGGTAATCTGCATAAGATATACCTTAGTATCTTCGGGCGAAAATAAGAGTTGACGCGAAATCTCACCATTAATGGCAATGTTGCGTTTACGATCATCTGACAGCTGCTTTCTCTTAGATAGGCGGTCTATATTATCATCCATGTAATCCAAATTGTTCGTAAAAGTGGAGTCGCGGGTGATTTGCTCAGCCATATGTGTGTCAAAGTCGTGAGCACCCGCCATTCGTTCTTGCAAAATCAGGTCTGAGAGTCCCTGCTTGTCGTCGTCTGCGGAGTATCGTACACGATTGCCTTGCTCGTCATGTGTATTTTGGTCAAACTAAATGAAACGAATGAGAAGGGTCTCGTGAAAAATCGATAAATTATCGCAAAGCTTGTGCGAACCTTTGAGGGCTGACGTCGCTGGGGACCTTGGGAGCGCGGCGCAGTTGAAGCTACTCCAATGTCCTGCAATCTCCCTCGACTGTCCACATTTGAGAGCAGTGCCTGTCCTTCGCTAATTGTCCCGCCACTTGCAGATCGTTTCTTTTGTCGGTTATACTCGGCTTCCAGCTGTACTGCGTCAGGGTGGCCCATGAGCTTTGCCTTTAACACATTGGCATTGAGCTTATTGAGCTCATCATTCGATAATATCGGACCGTCATTTGATCTACTTTGGGCTGCCGGTAACAGGACGTTAACAGATGGGATACGAGGAGCTGGTGAACGTGAAGGAGCGCTGGTTGCCGGCTTCGAACGTTTTAGAGCTCGCCCTTCTGAGTCAGATTCTTCTGCCGGGCGCTTGGTAGAAGAGATCTCGCCAGGTCGTTGGAAAGACGCGGTTTTTCGAAAAGTAGGACGGTATGGTATGTCTCGTCCGAATTCATCCTTCCGGTCCCCAGATCGTTGCCTCTCTAAGAAGTCATGCTCAGCTTGAGCTTCTTCATAGGCATCTAAGGACTGTATTATGGATTGACGCTAGGGTTTGCGGAAGAGCGAATGGCACACGATACATACCCCATATCGTTCAATTGCGACCTCCTCTACGCTTTTACCCTCTTGGTTTGCTATCTCTAGAACACGCTTAAGCTTCATCATTCGCCAGTTTGCGCCGCTATCCCCAAACTCATAAGTTCTCGTGCCCACTGAGAGAGATCGTATATTTTAGGTTTGCAAAGCATTATCCGAGCAATTATATGAGGCTTACCTGACTTTGTGGAGGAGGACTCATCAGTAGGTACTCCCGCTCCTCCATCTTTGAGATAAGGGTTGAGTTCCCTCTGAGACCTTATTTCCTACCGTATATCGAAATCAGCTTTCCGACAGATCAGTGTCTGATTCTTAGATTGCCTACTTGACGCCTTTTCTCTTCGTCTTCTCTCTTTATGTCTGCCTCTCTCTTTCGCGGCTCGCTCTTACCGCCCATCTGGGTAAAATCAAAACCTTCTCCGGGCGCCATCATCCAATCATCTCGCATGATCTCCTGCACCGGTTTTGGTGCTTCAGTTGATTCTTGCAAGGCGGGATTACTGATGATTGTCTCCTAGAATAGACATGTTTGTTACATATTGGCAGACAGCAGGCCACACCCCAACTGCTTAAATTAAACAACAACATACCGGAGACTGCACAGCGGCAGGCTTCTCCACCCATTGTTCTATCTCATTACCATCAGAGTCAGACCCAGATCCCGGGGAAGGCGAGACAACCCGCTCGCTTTTGCCCTTTTTGCTCCGCTTCGAGCGATCTCCGCTTCTGTCTTTGCGATGTTTTTTCTTTTTCTTGTCTTTCTTCTCCTTATGCTCTTTCTGCTTTCCCATCTTCTTGAGGATAGAGATTCAAAGCAATTATGAACAGCTTAAGCACCAAAACTGGTTGGAGTCGGCTATCACGTGATACTTGACTGACATAATCTGGCGACCAGAGCGGGATCTGGCAATTCATCGCCCAAAACCGATTGAAAAGCGATCCTACTGTAAGCAAGTTGTTAGGATTAAAATCCCTGCGGACTATATCAATTTTCGACCAGATCTACAGGATATCCATGGCTGAACGACCAGGTAAACATATTGTTGGGGATCGCAGGGGAACGCACAACGGAAACTCATGAAGATCTTGCATCTGTAGAAACAGTCAAATCATCAATTGGTGAAATGCGCATGTCATGGGCATCCACCGCAACGGTAGATCCCGTATCTGGCACAACGGTAGCAGATGGTGATCAAATCACAGGTGGACAGAATCCGCACGAAGCGTTCGGTCTCACAAAAGAACTGCTGGTACGTTCTCCAGCGACTCAAAATACGATATTGACCGTTCATTTCGAACCATTTAGCATTTTAGGATGTAATTGAAGCAGGTAGACAGACCATTATGAGCAGAGAACAGGTGCAGAGCCTGCCTCTGCGATCTTACCTCGATCATACTATCGTCCCGGTGCTTATAGAGGGTCTAAAGGCGCTAGCCAAGGAACGGTGGGTATAACCAACTTGTTACTGTCGATCAATTTTCACATTCTCATTCTGCAATGTACTCCCCAGTCCACCCAATCCGTGTGAATACCTGGCGGTCTATCTGTTGAAAAACGGCGATAAATAGGACTAATGTATAGTAATATGGGCGAGTTGTGTTTCATGCAAACTAGGAATTTCGCAGCGACACGCTGGCATTGAATATATATTTGAGACAGCGGTTAGAACCAATGTTTACTCGGCCCCTCAAACTTCACACCAGATTGAACTGGCTCACAAACGTTCAATTCTTCTCCAATATTCAATTGCTTCTTTGCCTGCACCCCTTAAGCGTCCCTACGCCGATATACTTCTGCAACCTTATGTTTCCGGACTTTTGCATGCTTGTGATGTCACTACCGTTCGGCGACAGTGGAGACGGTAATCGTGGCGGTAAGGGTTGACAAATCACAGGTAAAGCATTGGGTTGGCGAAATTGACACCCCGAAAACCCGAAGCAGATAGGAAGGATTTCGCGCAGGCTTCCGCGGACCAAGAAACCAGCTGCAGCATTACCACCCATCAATGGAGGACGGGGAGTTTCGAAATGTCCGTAGATGCTTCAGAATCAGAACTGAGTGAAACCCTGGCTCTGGTAATCGGTCTGGCTCTTCATTCCCAGACCAAATTCTTGACTCATGTATGTATCGACTTGACTCTTGTAGTCTTCCAGATACGAATCTTGACTCATATTAAGAGATAGACGGTCGCTTTGCGAGAAGGATGCATGGGTACCCTGCGACCCGGAGAAGTTGCTTCCCTGAGTAAAAGGCCCCTGCGAGTCTGATTGCGAGAAACTTCCATGCCTGTCGCCAAAGTGGCTGCCACCAAGAGAATGCTGAGAGGCGGACATCGCCAAGTCTTGGGAGAATGGTCCGGGAATCATCGGAATAGAGTACTGGGATTGAGAGAACAACCGACTTGCATCCACGGCTGCTAAAGGATCATGGTACGGATTGTACCGTCCTGTACCTCTAGCTGTAATATATAAATATGTAAGCCTGTTGACGATTAAGAAGCAGTATCACACTCGAAGTAAGACTCACTGTCTGTGGCTTTCGGGGGACGAGCAAAATGCTGTTGCGCGTCAACCGGGAATCGGCTGTTGAGCTTGTCATCTTTGGGCTTGTTGCGGGGACGGGTGAATTGAATCATCGACCTCTTCAAATTGCTGAGAGGTCCTTCTACAAGACAGTTCTTCTCTTTGAACTGCATAAGTAGTTGGTACCACAATGGGTTCTTTGCTAATACTTTCGGATTTCCGAGAATGACAACGCCATACTTCGCACGGGTTAACGCGACGTTCAAACGGCGGGGGTCGCTCAAAAACCCGATGCCCGAATGATCATTTGAGCGGACACAAGTCAGAATGATGTAGTCCTTCTCACGACCTTGAAAGGCGTCAACGCTAGCGACCTCAATTTCCTTGTATAAATCTTTCTTCAAAGCTCCGGCGAACTGCATGTGATTTACCACATACGAGCGCTGGCCTTCATACGGAGTCACAATGCCGATTTGGGAGGGCTTAACGCCGGCTTTGAGAAAGCGAGTGACGACTTTCTCACAATTCGTGGCCTCCGTCCTATTGAGGTAGGACGTACCCGATGAAGATAGTTCCTCCTGTCCATACGAGCAGTGGAAGCACATAGGCGTTTCTGGTACCGGCCAAGGGAAGTCAACATCCTTTCGAAGGCGCTCCTGAACAGTGACCCCATTCTGAAGTGAACCTTCGTAAAACATGTTCGATGGGAACTCGGATAAGCAAGGATGCATGCGGTATTGCACTTGAAGCCGAATTGGCCGAATGTTGAGAAGTACTAGACGTTCAAATAAGGACTGTGAAAGCCCAGCCTTCGCAGCCTTCTTATTGAGAATGACCGGACCCAGCTGTTTGTGATCTCCAACAAGCACCGCTTGCTTCGCACCAAGTACGAGTGGAATCAGGCACTCTGGCTCAGCAGCCTGTGTCGCTTCGTCGATCAAAACAGTGCGGAACTCATACTTTTGCAAACGAGGATCTCCAGCACCAACGCAAGTACAACACACAACGTCCGCGTTCTGCAGGATTTCACGCTCTGCGTGACGCTTCAATGACCGATATCGTTTCTCGTCTTGAGATTTCAGTTCACCGAGCTCCCTTTTCAGCTTTACATATTTCTGTAGCTCAGGGTCCGTATCATTGTTGATCACTTGCTCGTGCAATGTTAAGAACGAGACAGGAGAGTCCAGTGCTTCTCGGCTCTTTGCGGTTACACGGACCACCTTGAGACCGGTTTGGTGGATTTTTTCGGTGAGCTGATCGACAGCTACGTTACTTGGTGCGCAAACGAGCACTTGCCCTGGATTCATCCTCGCCAGATGATACACTATTGTCGCGGAAGTTACGGTTTTCCCAGTTCCGGGTGGACCTACAGGAAGCATCTCTGTAAATAATCTGAAATACATTATCATACGTACATTGCCGTTGCCTACCTTGAATTAGACTAAGCGGTTTCTGTAGAACACTCTTCACAGCAAAGACTTGTGAATGATTGAGGTCGGGAAGATTCGGAGCAGTAAACCTCTTTGGCATATTTGCTTTCAACATTTGTGGTTCGACGTCATGGCCCAACAGACGATGATAGATATAACCACTAACGGAGTGCTCGTCAACCGCAAATGTCTTCATGGCCGCTTGCATCCTAAAGACGAAGTTTCATGATAAGTGCACGAAATTAATCATAACAAATCGATGCTATCGTATGAGATCGCGTTGATCGCTTTAAATGGATACCCACCTATCAAAAGAAGTCGATTTCCACACGAAATCCACCGTGAAGTTATGGGTGCAATTTAGCGGGGTCTTCTCGTCCTTCTTCAATTCCAACACCACCTCGTCCGAGAGATCTACCGGAATATATCAGATCGGCCAGACAAGAGAGCAAGACTTTCGTCATGGTACTTACTGTTTGGAATCTTGATAACATGGCCTATGCCCTCCCATGGCCCTTTCATCAGTTCTCCCGAGTAGCGTAACAGAAGCTCATCGCCAACCGCTAAGCGAATGTCCCCTTGCTCCAACTTCGGCAAGATGAAACACGCAAGGCGTTTCTTGTTCAGACCCTGGTCCCATCGAATCACGACTTCATCTTGCGTCTGAGACTCTTTCAGCCTCTTATCATAATCCGCTTCCATCTTCATCAACGGGCCAAATATGTTCTGGTATTGATAAGCATCGTCGTACCGCAAGCGCACTGGTTCCGGTTCATCGTCAATTCCAGGCTTGTTCAAATCATCAAAGGTAGCATTCGCATCGTCCGTCCATCTATCCTCCAATGACGCAATCTGTGAAGGCGTGACGTGCCTGGCACGCAGTTGCTCATGTTCTGATGGGATCTTCACCAGCCAAGATAAGAAACTCCTATCTTCAATCAACGGCAACCACTGGGAAAGATCCCAGCTGGCGTCCTTTTGACCTAAAGGATTTGAGCAGGCCCTGCCGAGCACATATCAGTTCGAGGTACAATTGTCCTATACAGTCAACTTGATATCATACCTGCAAAGCAATACCACAACCGTGTCAGATTTTGCGGGAATAAATCCCAAGTTAAATACATTCCGGGCGCCGCAGTTATAACATTCCAGAATCGTCTCCCCTAAAGGTGACTCCGGATGCAAGCGGACATCCTTATGCCTAGCCCGCACCAGATGTTGAATGATGTGAGAACCTCTTGTCGAAGCGAGGCGTGCATTGCAAAACCACTTGTTACAGGCGAGACATTCTACAACTGAGCAAGGATTATGGATGCCGCAGTATCTGGTGAAAAAAAAAAAACGGTGTAGATGATCAGCAACTGTTCTTTCCACCAGCCCCAGAATCCGCTTCGACCATGTTCTCCGTCTGAAACACTCACTTGCAAGCATGTGCCGGCAAGTCTCGCGGCTGATCATCAAATCCGTCTTCTGCTCCATCGATGTCATATCTCGACGGCAGATCTTCAACAAAGCCCAACTCTCCATATTCGAGGGAGTTCTTCCGCACTTTACTGCCCAATGACGACAAGCCCGGTTGCGTCAATTGAGTGGATTGCGAGTTTAGGGTCAAAGATGCCAGCGACAAATCGTCGGCTACATCTTTGCTAGACTGAGTCTGAGAAGGGACGGTGAAGTTTTCATAGTCGTACTGGGAGCCCTGAGTATCTTGGAACTGGAAACCAAGGTCGATAGTTAAATTACCGCAAGAAGCACAGCAAGGGAAAAAAGTCTTATGGCATACCTCCAGAAACCCAAAGTCCTGATCCAGCGTTGACATGATGCTCGCTGCTCTGGTTGCAACGAGGATTCTCACAGCTGCAGGTTACGACAAGGACGTCTCGCGAAGAGTCACATCGCCACACAACTGCACTGGTTCCAACCGCATCGTCGATTGGCGTGTTGCTATGAGCGGTATCTAAGGCCGATGCACCAGCTTAATCGAGGTGTGTTGCTTTCCTGAAACTCCTAGGCTGTCGATTGTAGATGTCTCCTGATGCCGGACCTAGAGGGGGAGGTGGTAATTCGACTTGGTCAACGCTTGCTTCGGCTGCTTGATGCTTGGAGCGGACACCAGGATCGCTCTTGCGCTTTCTTCGACTCCGCCCTAAACCTTGCTTCTCAACGAGAAGACACACTGCCCTTTCTGCTCCCACAGGAAACTGAGATAGATGGGTGGATCAACCCAATCACAACGCCAGCTATTGTATTAGAGTTTCCAGATATTGCGTCGAGACTCTTAGGAAAGCAGACTCGGGCGTTGGAGCGTGCGCTTCACAAACTGCACGGGGAACTGCGCGATTTTCAGCGGATTGCACACGAATTGGATGGTTTAAATCGGGATGCGTTGCGTGAAGTAGGTATTGCAGAACTGCGGGAAAAGACGGAAGACTCCACCCCAACACAGGTTTCGTTGACGGAGATGGCGGCATGGATAGACCAGCTATGTCTTTCCTATAATAGAGAATGCGCCAGAAAGGTTGAAGTCCTGAAATCAATGGATTTGAGAGCTGACAGTGGAGACGCAAGAGCGCGATGGGGACTGTATTACTGGATAGATCTAGAGAAGGAAACCGAGGTCCGCGATAGGTTGAGATTGATGAAAACAATCGGCTCATGACATCCTGCCAGCCTGATGAACTTGTGAACGATCGGGATTTTCATTGAACGAACCTTGTATATATATATATATATATCAATTCCGTCTATAGCATGAATTAGCACCATTCAGCCGTACACCGCAACCCGGCGAATGATGATATGTACAATAGATAATGCTTCCTAATTACACGTGTCCATCCGTTGGCACCCTTCCGGAACGAACGGTATCTTCAGCATCAGGGCCGAAACCAGGACTCTCCACTTCGCTGTCCGTTGTTAACTCCACAGAATTCCGTTCATCAAAAAGTGTCGCTAACCCAAGCGGAATTTTACCGCTACGCGCACGAAAACGTTTTGCAAATCCGGTATGCGACCCAGCATTGTCACTACCTGTAACAAAGATGTCTTCCTCCACCTCACTTTGAGGTTCTCCCCTAATAATAACCCCACTTCTCCGCTCAAGCTCAGCGTCCTCCATGTATGAAGCAAAATAGCTACTGGCGGCGAAAGACCCTTTTTTATTTGGTACCGTCCACTCCTGCGCGTGTTGCTGACTACTGGCGCCCTGCCCATTTCCAGGAATCACAATGTCTCTGGGTGCCATGCTTTCTGGTTGATTTGGGTCCTGCGGCATTCGTCGACGATCGGTACTCTTCAGGTATTCTGTAGCATCGCGGACTTTCCGAAAAAAGTGACTTGGCCCGACAAGATCATACAGGCCGGACCGCAGGAAAGCATGCTTGCATGATTCCCGAAGTTTAACAAAGCACACTTCCATATTCCGGTGTTTGTAGTCTTCAACGATTTCCAATAGGGTCAACGTTGCACTGTAGGTGAAAAGACAAATGTCAGATATACCTTTTCATTCCACCATCTACCATCGGACGTACCTGGCATCAATAGCAGTGACTGCGCCGAAATCAAAGACCACCGCACGAATATGATCATCCGCTGGGGAATGGCCCTCTTCCATGGCTTGCTCCTCAGGTCGACTCTGCGATCGCCGTCGAGTCGCTGGTATTCTCCGTGGCTCCTCGCCAGGGTGTACACCTAGATCGCCGTACATTTCTATGCGTTTGAGGCGATCTTTCAATTGGCCTGAGTTTCCAAAGAACAGCCCTTCCTCTACACGAACTACCAAAGCATCTTCGATTCGTTGAACCTTATCTGAGTCATGAATGCTTCGATACTTTGTCTTCACATTGCCAGTACGAGGATCCACAACGAGGATATGTCCCAAGATAGCCAAACGGGTCTAATCCAAAGAGGGATGATCAGATACAGTACGCATAAGACGACAATCCAACCGCACGCATAAGACGACAATGCAACCAACCTTTGTCGTATGCTTTATCACCAAGAGGAGCGAAATACCGACCGATAGTAACGTTCCCGATTCAATTGAGAGGAGGATCGTGGTTAAAAATGTTATCATCATCAAACCCACGTCCTTCCATGCTCGAAGGCGTAACATAAAGTGGACATCTTCCAGTTCTACCAGTTTCAGCGCGGCGACAACGATGATGGAGGAGCACACCGCTTTTGGCAAAAACTGAAAGAACGGAAGCAGCCAAATAGTGGTACAAAGCACGACGATACCGGTAAAAAACCCGGCCATTTGTGTCTTCGCTCCAGCCGTGTCGTTTACAGCAGAACGCCCCAGAGACCCAAATGCTGGATACGCCCCCAATATACTTCCAACTATGTTAGAAACCCCGATCGCCACCAGCTCCCGATTTGGAGACACGCTGTAATTGTGTTTGGTCGCATATGTCTTTGCGACGACGATCGATTCCACAAAACCGATCACCGAGATCAGAATTGCGGAGAGCATCAGGGCTCGTATTCGTGACAGTGTCATGGTTGGCAGTTTTGGATAGCGATACTCCGCTGAGTCAGATCCCTTCACATTCAAGATAGCCACTCCCTGACAATCCCATCGGAAGACCTGACACAATATCGTTGTGACGACCACAAGGACTAAAATTTCGGGAATCACTTGAAGCCACCGCTTTTTGCCGAACTTTGCTTTCAGCACCTTCATACCGATAAGGAACGATATACTAGATGCGGAGAGTATTGTTGTCAATGGGTGAGCTTGGCCCAACTTCGACAAAGTGTCGAAGAGTTTCTGAATTGGCGATTCGCCATCAGGAGCTGGATCGACAGGTTTCGATGGACCATGACCACATTGATTTGAAGGTGGACTGATGCCCAGCAATGTGTCCGCCATGTCAATCATCACCACCATGGCGACAGCTAAAACAAATCCGCGCAGTAAGGCGCGGGATAGAACCGAGTCCAGGAAGCCCAGTCTGAAGAAACCGAGGAGAAAAGTGAGGATGCCGACCATGAGGCAAAGTACGAGAGCGATCTCGACTGCTTCCTGTTGCGGATCTGCGGCCCCAAGTGACGGTATACTGCCATGGCGGGGTTCTTTGGACGCACTATATTCTTTTATGGTTGCTCCTACTAGAATAGATATCAAGGCTTCAGGACCAAGGCTCAGTTGTCTAGATGTCCATGTCAGTGATCCTGTGGAGAATGTCAATTATAACCGATGCAGAATACCTCGACGTTCCAAGAAACCCATAAACAAGCAGAGGTATCGATGCAGTAAATAAACCGTGTATAGGAGGTATCTTCACTAAGGCCTGCGCATATGATAGACCTTGTGGAACCTGGAATGAATGTGCGTCATATACTTTGCGTCAATGATACGGTACAGTTGCGCAGGCTTACCAGCAAGAACGCAACAGTAATCCCAGCAATGAGGTCAGACTGCAAGTTTCTTCGGAAATTATATTTGGGAAGCCATCCAATCACCGGAACGTAATATCGGAGACGAGTTTGAAAGGCCTTGTAGTAGGCAGAGTACGAGTCTGCAAGGAAAATGGTCAGTCCATGATCTGAAGTACGCCGAGAGATCAAAAGTACAGGTTGAAGGGGTCAACCACACTCCGGTCTCTGGAGAGCTAAACTGACCTTTGCAGCCGTCTCTTCTCCTTAGTTCAACGGGACTTCCAAACAGCTTGTCATTGTCTGTAGATTCGAACCCATCCACAGACGTATCCAATAGTGGAGTAGATTCACTTACGGGACCGATATTATCATTGTTCAAGCCCTGGTCCTGTTCTGCACTCGCAAACGGTGACAGCGAGTTCTTATGGAAAGCGGGCATCTCGGGCGGCTGGAGGGGGGCAGCTCTATTCCCACGTCAAGCAGCTGCAGAACAGCGCAGGTCTTATCGACGTATCGAACATTCAGGTAAGGCTTAGTTGCGTGTTTGCAATGCATTCCAGTGTAAGGCTATCGTCTCAGAACACTGAACGTTGGGAACTTTTTGGACTTGTAAACAGCAGTATGAATACGATGGACAGGTAATGAAAACCAGAATTGGCATCTTCTTTGTAATGTCTATTGCGTCCTATTGCGCTTACAGAGTGGATCGGGATCTAAGAGAACAATATTTGCCTTCTACTGTAGCGTTGAGCTTGAAGTGCTTCCCGAAGCCCTTCGTGCCGAGGTCACAAGCCTTGCTACCTCCTATCCACCTGCCATTCCTGTATTAAAACATCTGGTGCACCTTTTATTCCTGAACTCCCCCTCTCCGGCGCCTTCTTCTGAGCAACCGGCAAAAAAGCGGAAGCTTGATGCCCTTGAACCTGCGTCAGACGATCTACATCTCCATACCATACATGATCTCTCCTTCATCTCTCCGGCGCGAAAGAAATTCTCCCTTCGAATCCATAAAAACACTTTCCATCTCATTTCCCCAAAGGACTTGGGTCAAACTGAGGCATCTTACTTGTGGAAGGACATAATTTATGCCTTCTGCGTGCCAACACCAAATAGAGCGAAACCTCATTGGACGATCTGTCTAATGCCAGCTGGAGAGAAAGACGCTATCATATTCGGGTTTGACGATAAAAGCTCCAACATGAAGATAACAGATGGTGCGACGGGAGAGGTGACAGTTCTGGATAAAAAGGAGAGTTGCAAGGCCCATATTTTGCAATTGCTGCAGAAGGGAACGAAACGCGAATTGGTGGAGCCAAGCGCACGGATCTTTCAAGCCAGATCACGAAAAGGCGAACTTCATATTGACTGCTATCTCAAAGCCAGAGAAGGGTGAGTCGAAGGTAAATTTGTGGGTAGCATCTCCATGTCCATGCTTACGCTCCACGGCTCTGACCAGCCAATTGTTTTTTCTTCGCACTGGTATTCTCTTTGGTCTGAGAAAGCCGTTGCTGTTTTTCCCGTTTTCAGACATTGCGGGCTTGGACATAGTCTCGCCCACTGGCCGAAATTTTGGTCTTTTCCTGCAACGGACACCGGCAGAAGATGATTCAGAGACTAGAAGCAGCCCAAGTTCTGAAAATTATGAGTTTGCGATGATCGATTCGGCAGAGGCCGAGAGCGTGTTACTATATATCGAGACGTATAAAAACCGATTTGGCGAAGGTAGTCAGACGCGGAACGGCGCCAATGAAGAAAGTAAGCCCGGTTCGGAGGACTCTCAGCCAGAGGAGGCGATCGACGAGTTGGAGGAGGAAGAAGACGAAGATTTCATGCCGTCCGATGAAGATGAAGTAAGTCGACCTTGCTGATTTGGATGTCATACCTTCTCATGGTTCGAACTATCTTTTGTTAACAGGTCGCAGAGGAATATGACAGCGACCACAACACCGATGGTGAAGCATCATCGTTCGCAGGTTCAGGGGACGAAGAAGAAGAAGAGTGGGAAGATGGCTCTGATGAGAATGAAAAGACCATAATTCCAAGAAATACCTTGTTGTCCAAGCCTGGTGCGGTGCCAAGATTATCTCATAATGCGATAGATGCAGTTGTGGGGGCTGTGGAAGAAGCATTTGGCATTAAGCAGGAGGCGGACGATGACGATCAATTTGACGATGACAATAAGGATGGCGATGACGACGATAAGGAAGCAGACGAGAGTCAAGGGGACGAAAGCGAGAACGACAGCCCTGCGGGTCCGCGAGGGATGGCGGCCTTGGCGGCCCAAATTGAGAGAGAGCGGGCTGAGAGAATAGGATTGCCACATGGAAAACTACCTCTAAAACGAGAATAGCATTGAAACGCTTTGCAGTGGTGCGAAGAATAGCGGCCTTGGCCGCCCAGTCTGCGCGAGTGAGTTCAGAGAATAGGATTTTCACCATCTGTCAAGTGAGAATGGCCGACAGCCCATATTGCCATGGTGCGAAAGCGCGAATTATATTTCTAATATAAACAAAAGCCGACACGAGACAAGCACACCTGCCGTCCATGCCATCAAGTCTAAACAAGTGTGTACACAGCAAACAGTAACATATCAAAACTGAAGTAAAAGTGACTACACGGGTGTCTAGCAGCTCAAAAATGTCGTCAGCAAGCCTTTCCAAGTATGACAATGCACGCGACAGATGCTTGGGACTTACATCAGGCAATCGTTCGATTGCATACTTTCTCGATGCAATATACATGATTGGGATTCCTGGTATCTTTCGAATTCGCCTCTTCAGTTCTCTATCACACGTGGCGACGATGTAGCACTTGTGCTGCATCACACGGTTGACAATGCAGTCATCAGCATAAACACCTTTATGCGTGCATGGTAGTCGTTCAAACCGCGGATCCCGGGCGATCTTGAGGGCAATGCGATATTTGACACCGAGCTTTTCTAATTCAGCCATAACGCAGTCTGTTATGCAAGGGATGCATTTTGCATATAGGCAGTCCATCATGGCCTTAACGAGCTCGAGTTTGTTTTGGATGGAGAAATTGATAAAATTTGTATCGACCAACACATGGTATGGTGGGCCGAGTGCTTCGTTGTATTTGAAGAAGAGGGACGAGGCCACTTGAGGACTATGAATGAAAAAGGGGTCTGTCTTACACAATAGAGTCCAAGGGAAGCAAGGACAGCCGCGTCCTCACTTACATGTGTCTGACGAGTTCCTGTTCTTTCTCTTTTTCCTTCTTCTCCGCCTTTTCCTTGTTTGCCTTACTAGAAGCGTCAAATAGGAGAATGAAAGTGTGAGCCACGCCATGCCGTTCTCTGCAAAATCCGCCGAGAATTGCTCCACCTACAGCCTCTGATCCTTCAAAGAGAGCGTTCGTTTGACCTCTGCAAACTTTCTAGTCTTTTTTGCTTTACCCTACATGGCCTCAAAAGTCAGCATTCTCATCTTCATATACGTGTTGTTGCTGCCGAGCCATGCCCTTACCATGTTTTTTTGAAATCAGAGCCAGTTGCGAGATGCCAAAAGAACTCGAAACTGCAAACGGAACTTGAAGTTTGCAAATCCAAGCCACGCATGTGCCACTCATAACATGACTGTGCCTTCGTAATTTTAGTCTACTTGAACAGATGGCCCATCGCCCTTCACTTGCCCCACAGCAACCTTTGCTCCGTTTTTCTCATCGCAAGGATTTGCTTTTGCACTTTCAGCTTTCTTGTTCGGGCATCCGCATAGGTCTTTTACAGCTCTTCGCCTGCACGGACACAGATTTTAATACGCACGCAACACCAGTTGCAGTTTGATCACGCGACACAATATAACAATGGCTATGAACTTTGGTCCCCAGTGGTAAGTTGCAGTGAGCACACAGTCTAAAGACTGGGAAGCCTGCCTGCAAGTAATGTTCATCATGGTGAATCACAAGAGATTCCTGTGGGCACCACGGGTTTCGTCGCCATACCATAAAGGGTTGCCTATCATGTAGGTAAACTAAGCGCCAACTGTTGCCTCTAGGATGCGCAAGATCCCCACCAATGACGGCGCAGTCCGGTCTTCGTCTCCTACACTCTCCGGTCCCAGTACGCCAACTGGAATGAGCGCAAATACCTTCTGGGGCGGTGCAGGGACCTCGAAATCAGTGACGCCCCTCTCAACAGCGTACGGGGAAAATCACACCTCCGGATCGAGGGACCATAGCGGGGGCACCGGATGGTCGAACTCGGTGTCTTCCAGCGAGTCTAGTCAATACCGATACTCTAGGGAGTTCATACTTAGTTTGTTTGACCCAGCGTTACCTGCTCCCAATGATTACGAAGCGGCACCTAGTGTTACTACGGAGGAGGTGCTGCCACCCATGGCCAATATCCCGCTCAATGACCATGAGAAGAAGGTAGGTCGAAGTAACTGGTCATTTTAAAGTCTATAATGAGTGCTTGTTGACTAAATGTTACTGGTAGCTTTTCACATCTCAATCGGTTAACAGCGATATTAGTGCACGTCGCACACCATACGGGCGCAACGATTCCAAGGATGGCGTACGACCTTCACGGCCTCCTGGTTCAGCACAAAGAAGTATGTGATGTGTATTAGTTTGAAATGTTATTACCAAAATTGCTGATCTTCTGCATCCTACCAGGCTACTCAAATCGCGTGGATCGAGGTAATCGCGTCGAGCTTATTTAATGCTTCCTCCATTCCCTCTCTAAGATTTCTGAAAAAGGAGGATCGGTGAGCGATAACTATCGTCCCCGGCGAGCTGATACCTACGCCGGTGACGAAGATCCCTGGGATACGCCCTCCGGTGTCGGGAGCTTTGGTGGAAATGGTGTATTTAGCCATGGGGACGACGAATATCGGTCAGCAAGGAACCGGAACAGCGACAGCGGAAAAGAGGTACTCGGAAAGTTAAAATGTCATCATCGATTACGGGGTTAAACATCTTTCTCTATTGCTAGGCACCTATGCTCTTGTCACATCGTGGGAGGGAGTCACCGGTGCGATCTGCCTCTCCTGCACCATTGGAGAAGCCTGACACCTCACCCGGCAAAACGTTCTCCGGTGGAACGCGTCCAACGTCGCCAGTGAAAACGGCTCACATTGCACATCCAGAGCATGGCACGGGCGGGATATCTGGGCATTCTCTCACCTCGACAGGACCGGTGGCCCCTACTTCAGCTGCACTGCATGCTGCCCACGAAGAAGATCTTGGCCGTCAATCAGTGTCAAGGACGTCTTCGTTCGTCGATATGTTTGGAACTTTTGCGAGCACTGGAATAAAATCGGATCTGGGGGGCTTACCAACTCTCGGCCTTGGTGACAGACATACACCCGACCATCTGAATCCACCTCCTATCACGCGGAGCTTATCAAAAGGAGAATTACATCACCCGCCTGTCCAAAGTGCTCTCCCTCCTGGTATTCCTCATGTGGGTGCTGCATTCGTCCCGCAGAAGTGGCAGTATAAGGATCCGTGTGGCAACGTGCAGGGTAGATATTTTTGTGTGATGCAGTGGCATATTGGAGAAGACAAACTCATTGGCGTTTATTTTGTAGGCCCGTTCACTGCACAGCAGATGCATGATTGGTTTCGATCTGGGTATTTCAATGATGACCTCCCGATAAAGCATGTGGATGACTTTAATTATGAACCTCTGGCGCGGCTTATTCAGAAATTGGGTCGAGATCGTCCTTTCCTGGCAGACCTGGAAGAAGCCGAACAGCGTGCGCAGCAAATAGAACATCAGAGGCGCTTTGGTCCTGGGATGGGGCTCTCCGGAGCTTCTTACAAGGATTTATATCAGAATGATGTATCCACACCGGGTAGCCTCGGATTCAATCCATTTAATTCCTTTGGCAACGTGGCAGGAACACCGACTCTTTTCAGCCCGAATACGTTGGGAGCAGATCCTTTCACGTCCTTGGGTCGAGACAGGTTTGGCACTGGAGGATATGATCCGTTGAATGGTGGAAATTTTGGACGGCCATCTTGGGGCGAACCTCAACCTGTTGGCCGTGCGGGCTGGTCAGCACTAAATACCGATTTGTCCTCTCCCTTCGGTCGACCTGGGGCGACACCCGGGTCCCCTGCTGGTAACCTACCCGGCTCATACTTCGACCAACGTGGAGGCGTCCAAACACTTCCGCCTTCTCAGGATAACCTAATGAGCGCTATGGGTCAACGACAGCCTTCACCATACACTCCGTTTTCCACACAGCAGACTGCGCAAAACTCTATCCAAGCGCCTCAATCTCCTGCCGCAAACCTCTTCCCTTCCCAGCCCCTTTTAGACTTTGCCGGGACTTCTCAAAGTGGGTCAGCGAGTCATCAGGCTGGCTGGGGTAACTTTGATGGCCTAAGCGGACATATTAGCGGGTCAGTATCTCAATATTCTGAAGAGGCACATGGTCCTGTTGATGTTGTTTCGAAACTGATTGACGAGACGAGTTTGGACCAAGAAATCAGTGACCACAGGGAGGAAAAGTTGCGGAAGACGCATGACGACATTGTGGATCGGTTTACTCAACTAAACGTGGGAAATATCATTGGCATTCCGAGTAAGCCTGCAGTTGACCATGCAGGTCTGGCCATGGAGGTTGATCAAATGAGAACAAGGGCCAGTGATGTGGATAAGAATGTAGCCGGAGATCGGAAGGCTCGCGAGGAAGAACGGAGTAATCGATACGACCACGATAATGAAGAAGGACAGCTAAGGGAGCCCCAAATAAGCTTGAAAGGAAACCATCAGGAGGACGGAACATCAGGGCAGGTCACTCCGGCAGTTGACCTGCGTCAAATTATGTCGGAGCAAGAAACGCGCAGCAAATGGGAGAAGGAACAAGTTGCAGCTGAAAAGAATAAGCAGCTTGACAAAGAGCTCGAAGCACTCGACCGTCAGAAGGGCCGTGTGGCCACGTCAGCTTGGGCAAGCGGGAATACGGAGCGACCGAAACTGAGCCTTAAGGAAATCCAAGAGCTTGAGCAGCGACAACGGGAGAAAGAAGACCGCGAACGCCAACGTCGCGCCCAGGAGTTATTGTTGCAGCAAGCGCAGCAGCTGCAGGAACAAGAAGCGCTCTCTGCCGGAGCGTCGTGGACAAAAGATCAAGGGCAGGGTGGAGCTGTGTGGGGTTCTGGCCCGAGACCTCAACCGGTCAGACAGAAATCCCTCGCCGAGATTATGCAGGAGGAAGAGGTGCGGAAACGAAAGGAAGCAGAATTGCGCGGTGCTCAGACAGCGGAAACGCAGGTGCCAACTGGTGCTGGCAAGCGTTATGCCGATACTATCGCAGCCGCTGGAGCAAGTGGTACGTCAGCATGGGGCCTTGTTGCAGCCAGTGGCCGCCCGCCTGTGGCAGCACGTCCAGCAGCTGTGATCGCGTCAGGAAACGTAGTTAAATCCCCGGCACCTGTGCCAGCTGGCGGACGCCCGGACGAAAGCATTGCTGGAGCTTGGAACGTTGTTGGTAAACAAGGTCAAGTAGTCCGGTGAGTACCATGTGAGGTTGAGGTGGTTTGTTCAGATTCTGAGCTTACTTTGGAACTTTTTCGTGTTGCCAGTCCCCTCACCCAAACCCCAGTTCAACCCGTTCGCCCAGCCGCACCACCTTCCCGAGCGCCAGTCCAAATGGCGCCCCGAGCCGCCGCGCCCTCTTCCAGTGTTCCTGCGACAATCGCGGGAAGCGCCAACCAAAATGACGGCAGCAAAGGCCCGTCATCTGCATTCATGCAGTGGTGCCGCTCTGCATTGCGACCATTGGAGAGGAGCACGTCCGCTGGGGTAAATGGTGCGTATGAGATACAAGTTTTGATTGATTGTTGCCAGTGTACTAACCTGAAATGGTCAATTCCTGTAGTTGACGATTTTGTGAGCATTTTGCTTTCTGTAGCCATGAACGATACCGCCACGTTGCAGATGATCTGCGATGATACCTTGGGGGGCCTCACAGCAATTGACCCCCGCAAGTTCGCCGACGAGTTTAGCAAGAAGCGCAGAGCAGATGCCAGCGGCTCTTCAATTTCATCCGATGGATGGACGGCGGTGGGGCCCAGTGCTCCTAGCACTGCTTCGCTCGATGTGTTTGATTCAGGCAACAAGTTTGTCGTCGTCGGAAAACAGAGCAAGAAAAAGAAGGGAAAGAAGCCTTGATTTGAATGATCAATGTGTTATGGGGATGTATAGCATTTAATGTTACTCTTTGGTTTTAGCAGAAGGATTAAATATATTTGTAAACATGTGGCCAATCCCACTTTTTCCTTTCTCTACGCATCCCCTGCTGTCATTACAAGCCAGAAATATCTTATTTACTGGCATGAAAATGATGAAGCGATCACTGACACATTATGACTCACCGACCAGATCGTTAACAAATCCTTTGCAGTTTTCTCCAGTTCTGATCCATTGAGTTCACCCTTACCTTTTTTTTAAAGCAAACATTCCATGACACAGGGCGATCGCAATCTCTTGATCCTGTATGGGACCGAAACGGGCACAGCCCAGGATGTTGCTGAGAGAATTGCTCGAGAAGGGCGCCGAAGACATTTCCGAACAAGAGTCTTCGCCATGGACGAGTATGACAAGGTAAATTGGCACTTATTCAGCCTCCAATTCTCTCACTCTCCACCGATTGCATATTGATGTTTCTGGTATATATTGCAGTCTAACCTTGTATCAGAGTCCTTGGTCGTTTTTGTCTGCTCAACAACCGGGCAAGGTGGCCAACCTGCCAACATGACAAAGTTCTGGCGTTTCCTTCTCCGAAAGTCCCATTCTCCGACAGTTCTCTCGCACATGAAGTTTGGCGTCTTTGGCCTAGGCGACTCGTCCTATATCAAGTTTAACTTTCCGGCGAAAAAGCTCCATAAGCGGTTGCTGCAGCTGGGTGCACAGGCTTTAGTGCCTCGGGGTGATGGGGACGACCAGCACTATTTGGGCGTCGATGGAGCACTAGACCCTTGGTTGGAGGATCTATGGAAAACCTTAATGGATATTTACCCTCTACCAAATGGAATGGAGATTGTGTCGGCAGACGTCCTGCCCGAGGCCACTTTTGCAGTCAGGTTTCTGGAGGATGGGGAACAAGTTTCTGCGCTGGATTTGGCTGATGTGGACGACAAGCCAGCAAAGGTCATTGTGAATAGGAGAGTCACGGCGGAAGATCACTTTCAAGAAGTGCGGCATTTCGAATTTGACATTGAGAATGAGTAAGCATTTTATCTTAGACCTGCCCCGATGCGCCTTGTCGAGGCGAGCTTATGATTTTCTTTCACATGAGAAACTAACTTGCTTGTTCAGTGCTACATACTCTGCCGGCGACGTTATGGTCATCCGCCCTCGAAATCTGCCTGATGAGATCCAAACGGTCATAAACCATTTTGGATGGCAGGATATTGCGGACAAGCCCTTTGCACTGATTCCAAATCATGCAGGTATCGTATATGGTGGATTGGGCAGCATTCGGATACTGGAGCTAATTCTCTAAGGAAGACAACAGAGTGCCTTTGCACTGGGGTAAAACTCACACGATCCGCCACCTCTTCGAACATCACCTGGACATTTTTGGTCGACCTCGCCGATACTTTTTTGAACTTTTGTCATTTTTCACAACTGATCCGCTGCACTCTGAGAAGCTCCGAGAGATGGCTTCACCGTCGGGTCAAGATGAGCTATATTCATACGCTTACAGACCCAAACGGACCATGTTTGAGATCTTGCAGGATTTCCATTCTGCCAAGATACCGCTGAGATATCTCCTGGACCTCATCCCAGAAATGAGGCCGAGATCATTTTCCATCTCTTCGTCTCCAATAGCATGCCCGCACAAAATCCATCTGACCGTCGCCATCATTCAATACAAGACTAAACTCAAAACTCCACGAACTGGCGTTTGCACAAAATGGATGCGAACCCTTCAACCTGGGGACATTGTGCCATTTCGAATTAAGCGCGGAACTATGAAGCTACCACCGATTGAGGCACCTCTTCTGATGGTTGGACCGGGAACAGGTGTGGCACCGATGCGATCGTTTTTGCAAGAAAGGATCCAATTCAATGCAAGAGGTGCGTGTTTCACAGATATGCAATGCGGTGACTGGAACCGACACTTACCCCAACATTTCCAGATAACACACTGTTCTTTGGCTGTCGATATCGCGAAAAGGACTACATATATCAATCGGAATTTGAACAGTATGAGAAAGATGGTAGCCTGAGCCTTGTAGCTGCTTTCTCAAGAGATCAGGTGTGTCTATTAGACGATTTTTATTGCATACATCGACTACCCATATGCTGATCGCACCCTGCTGATAGGAGGATAAAATATATGTCCAACATCGCATAAAAGAGCACAGTGCTCTGGTCTACCAAAAGGTGTTCAATCAAAATGGATACGTCCTCTTGTCAGGGTGAGAATTTTGGCTGTTTCATTCTTGCGTTTCGCGTCCTTACATTTCTACGTCAGAAATGCCCTCCGAATGCCCATTGACGTCGCGGACGCTTTGGCCGAGTGCTTGGTAATTGAAGGTGGAATGGAACGGCAACAAGCTGAAAAGTTTGTAAAGGATTTAGAAAAGGAGGGCAGATTTCAACAGGAATGTTGGTCGTAACCATTGTATTTATTTGGGTTTGGCTTAGATGAGGTGCTTAGAGTCTTTCGGCTTCCAGCCGTTATGGAATGCAACCCATGGTGATTGTTTGATGCTACTCGCACTGTCTCAAAGTTGTGCGGCCATATGACGGGCCACGTTGACGAGAAGCCCAAAACCCTTATTCCCCGTAAGCTATCCCATTTGCTACTCCCGATCAGCCATTCCCGTATGTCTATTCCGTCTTCGTTATGTGAAGACCAGGGAAATAAGGCCGCCCAGTTTGGAACGACCGCCCTGATTTAACTTCAAAAGAATGGAAAGCGCTTTGTGTATACCATAAAATACGACACCGGCCTGTTTCCTAGCCCTCAGGGCGGATCCATTCAGAAAGCCTGTCAAAGTTGGTGATTTGATCGTGATGGAGGGGATCAAATCGAGCATAATCGAAATGGAATCGTTGCCTTTGCATAAGCCAACGAACCCAGACGTATTCCGGCCGTTCATTGTGAGGTGTTGTTGGGTGGGAAGTCTGTATCCATGATTATGCTGAGGATGTCTGTTAAGAATTTAGCTGGGGAGGAAGTTTTACCGCCAGAAAAAGCAGTTTCAACATGGAATTTGTAGGAACGGCCATTTCAGCATTTAACCCTGCCCTGGAGCAAATACGAAGCCTCAGTTAATACAGAGTACTAACGTGGGCTCCACAACAAGGCATATTTCGACAACGGTGATGAGCGAAGAGCGAGAGACATGAAGACAACTAGTCTAGTCAAGTATTCGTCTGCTTATTAACGTGGCCTAGTTGTAATTATGTACATTGCTTACTCCAATATATATTATCATCTCAGCGGATGGGCATCAGTGTTCCGTCAGGTATCGGTGGCCTCATCTGAAGCCTTCGGTTTCGATTCATTTCGTTGCTTTCGTTTCTTTGAAGCTTCCACCATTTCCCTAAAAATATAGATATAAAACACGATGAGAAGGGAACGCAAAAAACATGCCCTCGTCAATAACCCACCGCTTCTTTTTTGCCTTCTTCTCATCGAATTTTGAAACAGTCTTGATGGCATCTCTATCAACAGGTTTGCGCTTCAAATTCTTTTTCACATTTTTGCTGGGATTCTTCATGGTCAGCATCCATTCCGGAACGTCGCACCCCGAATCCCTCATCACATTTACAACACTCTTCAAATATGGTGCGTCTTCCTTTGTAAAATAAGTCACCGCTTCGCCACCTCGTCCCGCACGACCCGTTCGTCCAATTCGATGGATATACGACGCAACACTTTGAGGGAAATCATAGTTGATGACCAAGTTCACGCCCTTGAAATCTATACCACGCGCCATCAGCTCGGTTGCAATGAGCACCCATATTTTTCCTGAACGAAAATTTTGGACGATAGTATCACGTTGCAGTTTTGTTCGATCAGAATGAATCACATCAACATTGATGCCATCGTACACAAGCTCGTGGAACAGCTCTTTCGCTCGCTCGATCGATTGGACAAAGATTAACACCGGTGGCTTAAGTCCTTGTTGAACGAGTTGTCGAATAGCTATTAGCTTGCCTTCCTCCTGGCCGACGTAAAGGAGCTTTTGTGTGATGGTTTCCGTGGCAGCATTCCTAAGTGGTAAAGACACATTAGACACCAATCTATACGCCAAAGACCCAAATTTACCAAGAAAGACATACTTTTGTCCTATCACGACCCTTATAGGATCTTTCATGAACGTCTTTGCAAGGGCTTCAACACCTGATGGTATCGTCGCGCTGAAGAGGCTCTTGTACACCCCTTCATCCTTGCAGCTGGCAAGAACCTCATCGATCTGTTCCAAAAATCCCAATTCCAACAGCTTGTCCGCCTCGTCCAATACCAAATGCTTCACTTTATCGAGTTTCAACCCCTGATGTTGGATTGCATGAACGAGCCTCAAGGGAGTGCTGATCAATATGTCAAAAGACGCAAAGGAAGCAGATATTTGTTCGTTGTCGCTAGAGTTTGACAACTTGGTGAGAACGCAGATCTTGAACGGTTTCCCTTTTGACAGCTTCTTCATCTCTCGGAAGATTTGAGTGGCGAGTTCTCGAGTTGGACATATGATGGCAGCACGAATGCCTTCCTTTGCGGGACCCTTGAGATCATGCAGAATAGGAAGGACGTATGCCAGGGTCTTCCCTGATCCTGTAGGAGCGCAGCCCATTATTTCTCGGTGATGTAGCATTATGGGTATGGATTGCATTTGAATAGGTGTTGGTGTATCGTATCCGCTGTCGGAGAGGTTGCGTTCACGTATGAGCGGAGCTTGAATCTTGTCAGCAGTCAGAGAAGGAGA